GATATAAAGCTTTAGTGTGTTCCATTGATATGTTGAATGCTCGTTTTGGCTGGATGCCCGGGACAGTCGCTCTTTCACATCCTAGCCACTATACACCATCAAGAGCAGAGCTGATACTTCAAACACGCATGACATTTATTCTCTCTGATATTTAATAGACCTTTTAATAAACCCTTATAAGCCAAAAATTTACATAAATAATTTTAAAAAAAATTCTTACACTAAAATTTAACAAATGTACTTAAAATAATTAAAAGGAAAGCAAAAATAATGAAGAAATATTTTCAATATAAACATCAATTAAATAATATCAGCTTACGAAATGGTCTTTTTATTTTTACAAACAGTATTAATATAACGGCCCTCACCAGCTCCAGGGACTGCTGACTTGGGTTCAAAATGACAAGGCTACGGAGCTGAATATTAAGACTCGTGAACTCGAATTGGAATTGTTCAACGACGGTTATAAAATAAACTAAAATTTGACCGGGATAGCCTGGTTGATAGGGCGTTGGACTCGTGTTCGTGAGAATGGGAGTTTGAATCCAGCCGGCAGAGGAATACCCGTGTATAAAATGGTGACTGGTGCATGTTAAATCTGTCGAGGTCACAAAGTCCTCCAAGTTCTCACAGCAAATAAATACCTCTGGGTACTAATCCAGCAGTTCCCATGTCTTCTGGATTGGGTTCAAAATTACAAGGCAACGGAGTTGAATATTAGTAGTCGTAAACTCGAAATTTAGTCGGCTGTGCAATGACTGTTATAAAATAAACTAATAAATTTGGCCGGGATAGCCTGGTTTATAGGGCGTTGGACTCGTGTTCGTGAGAATGGGAGTTTGAATCCAGCCGGCAGAAGAATACCCATGTATAAAATGGTGCGTGTTAAATCTGTCGGGGTCACAGATTCCTCCAAGTTCTCATAACAAAGAAATACCCCTGGGTACTAATCTGGCAGTTCCCTTGTCTTCTGGATTGGTTTCAAAATTACAAGGCCACTGTGTTGAATATTAGTAGTCGTAACTCGAAATTGGATCGGTTGTTCAACGGCAGTTATAAAAGAAAATAAAACTAATAATCAAAATGTATTTTCTTGTTCTCTTTCTAACTCTTAGCATATTTTCTACGCACTTTCAAAATTTCATGTTTCTAAGTCTTATAGATTTTGCAACGTAAAAAAAAAACAATTGAGAAAAAAATTCGCGAAAAAATCATTAAAAATTGCAAATAAAATATATTCAAAATGAATCTAAAAAAAAAAATCTGTTAAATATATAGTGGTCCAGCACGCCAAATTTTTACTCTGTGCTTAAAATGTGTTTCTTTTGTAACTTTTTTCCCTCGTTCAAAAAATATGTGCAATAAAAGAAAAGTTCTACATAATAGTCTCGTCACAATTAATATATTTAACAACAAAGTGATATTATCAAACTTTTTAATAATATAATGTTAATACTCAACAATAAAAAATAATGACAGTTTACTTTAGGTGTATAGAAATGGAATTGAACTCATAAGGGCCCCACCGAGCTTAAATCCGGCCCTGGTCGGTAAATAGAGGCTGTAATTTTAATGTAAATAAGTAACAATTATAAAAATGTAAAATTTTTGTTGTGCAACACATGAAAAACATACATGGAAATTATTTCCCCCTCTCACTTTGAAAATCATCACACAATTAAAAAAAAACGTAATTAACGTAAACAAAATTATTGAATCACACGAACGGACGAATTACCGTATTAAATATAACCAGTTATTAAGCAAGAATCAGTAATAATAACGGCCGAAAAAAAAATGACAGATTTGTGTCGCCATACTACGAATACCTAATTGCAAGATTTAAACGGAATTCAATGTCACGAGAAACAAAAAGATTGAAACACTGCAAGGATTTGTTATAAACACAAATAGAACGAATTAGAGATACTGAAATGCACAATCCAGATTTTGTGACGTAAGAACATGGAAATTATATATGCTATCGAACGCGTAGAAAAGTGATTACTGAAATGCTGGATTCATACATTTTCGCTAACAAGTTTTTGCATAACGAAATTTCAAAATTCCTGGAATCCCATAACTGTACTTGTTCAACTTCTCAATCATAATTCTCGAATCCTGCAAATATTGTCACATCTAAAATGCTTTGTATCAGTAGAATCGAAAATTATAAGCTATTTCTCTACCGAATTTCGTAAGAAAAAAAAAACTAATTTCCATGCATTATGGGACACTAGAATCTAGCATTTAAATCAGTGTTTCTCAAAGTAGGCGATAACGCCCCCTTGGGGGCGTTTGAAACCTAGAGGGGGGCGTGGACGTGGGTTAGGGGGGCGATGTATAATTTGTAATTTCATTTACTTCATATAGTATTTTAAATTTCACTAAAATTAAAACACACCTACTACACAATAACGAATAATTAGTTTATATTTCTACCCTGTATGATGTTATATAAACTTAAAATACTTAAACATAGATTTCGTAGGATAGCCCGCACGCAATCAAGTTGTAACAAGTTTCTGCGGATAGATAAAGGGACATGATCGATGATAGTTAAAAAATTAGAGCAATTTTACTTTAATTACATTGCACCAGAAATTATTTTAAACATTAGGAAAAAAACTAACATGCAGAGTTTTGAAATATTATACATACGTAAACTAACATAAATTGAAGTTTTCTTTACTTTCTTTCTTGTTTTTAACAAGGGCATTTTATAAGAAATTACTGATGATGTAATCATCATATTTATATAAAATGGAAATACGTATATAATTAATGTTCAAAAAATTGTGTTAGAAATTTTTTTTATAATTATCCCATGTTTGACTCAGTCATAGAGTTCTTGGAAAACAAAGACACAGAATTGTGCGAAAACCTCATCACATCAAAGAATGATATCGCATACCTGACAGACCTTTATACACTGCTTAATGATATGTATCTACAACTTCAAGGCGATGACTTGAACTTAATAAAAACAAAAAATGTCTTCGCTGCTTTCGTAGCCAAGCTGCTCTTACACAAAAAGAATATTGGCAGACGTTCCCAATTTATCAGTATCCTACAACAACGACGAATTGCTCGTCTACTGCCAACATTTGGGGAATCTTCACATTGAAAGATTCCAGGACATTTCGAAATACCAGACTGGGTGTTAGATCCTTTTTCAAATGTCAACATAGCAATATCACCCCAGTTGGAAGAACTCACCACGAACGAGGAAATAAAAATCAAATGGCTACACCAACAAAAGTCAATTCCGCAGTTGTACCCAGGATTGTGATCTGTCGTTGAACGATTTTTGATAGCATTCCCATATTTGTGTGAACGTGGCGCTGTGAAAACGCTGCAAACCAAATGCGGCGACTTACCGACTGTTTTTGGGTAAAATCGAACCCGATATCAACAAACTTATTAAATATCATCAAATTCATCCATCTCATTAGATTAGTATAAAAACGAAAACTGATTACATATTTATAATGTTTCTTTTAATTTGATTAAAATATATTATTAAGTTGGGTTTTATTTGCTCTCACAGGTAAAAATTTCTAGTTTAGAATGTAAGTTTAAACATCAGAACTGACTAATAACTAAATTAATTAAAGTAATGAAATTGTGGTTTTTAAGTTTTAGGGGTGCATAAAAAAATGGGGGGAGCTGAAAAAATAATTGATTTTCAAAGGGGGCGGTAAAAGAAATAAGTTTGATAATCACTGATTTAAATGATCGCAAATCGAAGATTTTTCCGATTTAGAAAATTACTAGTATGGCATTCTCGTTTTGAAAGAATTTTAACTTCAATTTTACGCTAATACTAAGTCGATTGATAACATGAACTGATTCTAACTAACTGAAGCTTAAACTAAAACTGCCGTCAATACCTAAATACTTGGGCATGTAGCCTTTCATTCAAAAAGGTTGACTACTGCCAAGTTTTTCGATATTTTATAATTCACCTTACCAACAGAAAAATAACATATACTTAACATTGAATGTACCAGTCTACACGCCACTGTTCTTAAACTAGGAACGGCGGGCGAGTGTAAAGTAATGTATCAGGGCACCAACACACAAGGAGTCTAGGAATGGTAGAGAATTAGATCAATTGAGGAAAAAAGAATATACAAGGGACGATTGTGAACCCAAGTCAAAATTCCGGAAAATATCTCGAGTTTTATAAATAAAAAAAAAAGTTTAAATTGAATAAAAATTTTAACAAGGTTCTTTTCCTTTCCTCAATTTTTCTGAATTTACTTAACCATTTACACACAGCTATGATGACCCGGAGAAGTAATTCATGAATATAAGCTTCTAAAGTATCTCTCTGGCTCTCCGTTACAATCAAATAAAACAGAGTTTTTAAGTTCCACCTTTGAAAATTTGATTTCCGGAATCCTCTGATCAATGATTTTTTGAAGCGCCTGGACCTTCGATTTCCGAATCACTGTTAGCGAAAATTCGGAAATCTGGAGTTTTTCCAGAGCACAATCAGCTCTGAATATACATATTTCCCACACTAATTAGTCTTACTGACTTATGTTTAACATATTCGACTGAGTTGATATTTACCAGACCCTACAAACCAGGGGTCTGCCTAGGTTTGTCTGAGGTGCATCAATTTTGTTAAAATTAAAAATTATATCAAAAATCAACACGAAAGTATGGATTTATCGTTTCTTACGGGATACAAAATAAAATTTTAGGAAAAAGAATTTTGTTACACTGCCGTTTTTCATAAAGTAGAATTTGTTAAGGTACCACTAATCGGTTGTAAATTTGGCCTGGACAGACCCCCAGCAAATGTTATGTTATTCTGAAATCAACATGACCTCCTCAGACCACAGTAAAAACCCTATCACTAGCATGAGAAAACTTGGACGGTTCAGCCTCAGTCGAACAATGAAGGGAACTAAGAAATTCACTATTTAGATCCATCATGAGATTAGCTCCAAGCAACAACAATGCTCACACAAGAAATAAAGACAATATCAACATAATTTTTTTTTATTTTAACACATAGTCTATTTGCCCTTTTTAGCTTTTATCTTTCGTTGGTAGAACTCCAACTCTTTTCCCTCTAGTATGTAACCATCACATCGCCCGCACTGGCCTGGCCGAGAAGATATACAGGCTGAAATTGAGAAATTTGATAATAAATTTGAGGCAAATCACTAGAAAAATATCAAAGGAAAGAAAAAGGTCGATATAAAATATAACATAAATACTCTTTGAAACTTAGTAAGGACTAGGTGAGGTAAATACAACAAAGGTTTGTAAAACTGATGAAATCTTGGTGCTATAAAAAGCACAACTAAACAAACAAAAATTTTAATATCTTTACCCATAATCAGATAAATAACATCTCATCAAGGATCTCAGCCGAAAGATGGTGATGAATATGCATCATTATATAGGTAAAGATGCAGTTTCATTTAGGAAACTTAAAATTAATAAAACAAGGGATTAAAACCGTACCTTGGGGTAATAAAAAGCACAACTAAACAAACATTTTAACATCTTTACCCAGCATCAGATAAATAATATCTCATCAAGGATCTCAGCCGAAAGATGGTGATAAATATGCATCATTATATAGGTAAAGATGTAGCTATTAAAGAAACTAAAATGAAAATCAACATCTATTTAAATTAGGGTAACCTAGCTATACAGCGGCAGTAAAGCTTCAGATATGCTACCCTTAGTTAAACAAGACACTCTTAAAAACTATATAACATCTTAACTTATCAGACAATAAACACTTAATCAATGGTGATGAATATGAAAAAAAAAATGATAAATGGAAAATGAAAAAGGGTGATGAATATGTATCATTTAAGAGCAATGGTAGACTTAAATCAACAGTTAAATTGGAATAGTGCCTGAAAGATTAACTGATCATTTCAGTAAAAAGATGAGGATATGATACATTAATCATTAAGAGTTCCGCAGTGTAACAAAAAGCATTTAACCAATCAAACAATAAAAATTTTAACATCTTTACCCAGCATCAGATAAATAACATCTCATCAAGGATCTCAGCCGAAAGATGGTGATGAATATGCATCATTATAAAGGTGAAGATGTAGTTTCACTTATTTAAGTAAATTAACAACCTAACTATTCAAACTAAGGCAATCATGCGATGCAATCGCAAAAAGAAAAAAAAATCGACAGCAGAATTTAAACATTATGTATCACACCTTAAATATAATTTAAATAGACTCTAAACTCAGTAATGCGACAGCCCATACGCTTAGTCACTAGAATTTAAAACCACATAACTTAATAAAGCATTGGGTTTTAAATGCAAGCACTGGTTAACAATTTTAAAAACTAGCACACTTGCTACATAAATCACCCATAAAAAAATTGGTAGACAAATACAAACATTGATAAAATTCAAAAAGTATAAAAGACTGCCCTGAGTATATGTTAAACAATAAACTAAACACAAAATTTAAGCATCAGATAAAAATATTTCATCAGCATGTTCAGCCGAAAGATGGTGATGAGTATAACATCATTGCTTAAATACAAGTGATAAAATATACTTGAAACAACTTAACTTAATAAACATTTATGACACACATACATCAACTTAATAAATACATGGAAAAACAATTTAAATTAAAACACCTAGGCAATTTTTCACTTAAGTATTTTTTCGTAGCCTAAGGGTGCACAACCTGTGGCCCACGAAAGCCTGAAAACATAATTTAAAATAAATCAAAATTCTAAAACTTTGAATCCCAAGCTTAAGTTCCCTCTTTGATGTGCCCAGTTTGAACAGATTCTATTGTAAACCTGTAATGTTTGTCGATAAATTTTTCGTATTTGTTGAAATTGCTTGGGAAATTTGCATGACTGTTTAAAAACCCAATATTTTCAATGATATTACGATATGCAGACTACCAACAAGTGCTTTTCTTTGACAGTTATAAATAATACTTTCAAAGCAGTTCTTAAAATTCCAATACATTTAATACGGTATTACTTGATTTAAAAAATTCTGACTTTTATTCAGGGATGTGATTGACAAAAACACAAAAAAGAGGAAGTTTATAACTGTAGCATTAAACGTGCAAAAAAAATTATATGAATTCAATAGCCAATCGGATGATGATAACATTATCTATTCAAATAAATATAAATAAATGGTAATTATGTTCTTAAATAAAATCTTGATTAAAAAATTTTTTTTTTTTAATAATTTAGATAACTTTGAGTAATTATGCATAAGCACGATTTTTTGTATCACATATTTCAAAAAACATTTCTTTAATGGTCAAAGGACCTTTATGGACTTTCTCATCAGTTCTTTGTTTTTTCGATGGTCTTTTATTAACATGACTGATCTGTAGACTGTGTTTTGCAAGCTTTTGATCATCAGTGTTGATAGGACAAGAAAGTTCATTTTTCACACAATTTTTAGAGGCCTTAGATTAAGAATCGCGATGTTGGATTTGAAAATTGCGTGAATAAGAATCGCGATGCTTGATTTTAAAATCGCGTGAAAAAGAATCGCGATGTTGGATTTTAAAATCGCGATGTTGGATTTTAAGATTGCGTGAATAAGAATCGCGATGTTCGGTTTTAAAATAGGGTGAATAAGAATCGCGATGTTGGATTTTAAGAGTGCGTGAATAAGAATCACGATATTGAATTTTAAAATCACGTGAATAAGAATCATGATATTGGATTTTAAAAGCACGCGAATAAGAATCGCGATATTGGATTTTAAAAGCACGAAAATACAAATCGCGATATTGAATTTTTAAATCGCGTAAATAAGAATCACGATGCATAATTTTCAGAGTCCGTGAATACTTATCGCAACGAGTAATGCTTAAACCGCGTATAAATACGAAAATCGATGTTTGATATTACAACCNCTCCTTCAGGACACATAGCAAAATCTTTCAACAACAAAATCAACATTTTATTCACAATCGATATTTTATAAGCTGAGCACTGTCGAACCCTGTTTGAAATTAAGTAATTTTTTCAAGGAGAAAAAAGAAAAAAACTTTTCATTAAAATATTTAATACTCTTATCCAGTGAGGAATTTATCTTAAAATGAACTTGTGGATTACACGATGATTAAGACTTGTAACTAAACGTACATATTTTCTCGATAAAAAGGGGATTTTTTTTTTGTATTTTTAGTTTAAAAAGCACATCACCATTTCTTGAATAAACTAATAATTAAAAGCCCAAATTGCTGTGCACCCCTATTTAGCCTAAATGCAAAATAACCGCAAACATGCAGTAGTCATAGTTTTTTTTCTCCACTGTTATAAAGCATCAGATTAACTATTTTTCATCATCATTTCAGCCGAAAGATGGTGATAAATTATACATCATTGCTTAATTGATAAAATTAATTCAACTTTACAAGTCAAAAGAAGGAGTTTCAAGACCAAGTAAAACAATGCTGTAGTGAATGTGACAATTCTAAAATAACTAAGCATCAGAGAATAGTTTCTCTTCCCGGTGCATCAGCCGAAAGATGGTGATAAATTGACATCATTGCTTAGAAGGATGTGATGGGAGTCTAGTTCTATAAAATACTTTAATTTAAACACTAAAAACTGAGAAATAAGCACCAGATAATAGTCTTTCATCTCAATAACAGCCGAAAGATCACTTCACAACAGCCTGCAACACATAGACAGGCAAATACTGCAGAAAAGGTTGTTTTGACTTTTTCATAAGATCATATACGTAACATGATACACTGAACCACATGAACCAGGTACATGCAACAGAAGAAAATTTTTTGGAGCCTATACTAAATAAAAAATCTGCTTTTTATATAAATATGCATTGCCCATTTTACAAAACTTATTCATTTACTTTTACACTCATTAAAATAAAAATATAAGAGCTACTTCCTCTAACGTAATATATTGGAAGACTTGAACACTGACCGTAATAACAAGGACTAACATCTGACACAGCAATACTATTTAACTATGGCAGCTGCGTACAAGTGCATAAAAAAAAGCAAGCTGCTTTTACCAAATAAAATAATGAACTTCAATAATTAAGGTTAAAAAATAAAACTTGCCTAAAAATTAGTACCTGCAATTCTATATTCCGATACTATTGTGATCAATTGAGTTTTAAATATTAATCATCAAGTAAAATGGTAAAGAAATTACATTTAATACAATGAAATATTAAAGCAACTGAAACACAGTGTAAAAATTAGTTGCCTTAACTATTATTTATAGATGATAATCGGTTTTACTTCTGCTTAAAAACTTACTATATATATATACATAACGACATAATGCATACAAAATAATATCTTACCGAGGATACGACCTGACATAAACTGATCTTCCATTGCAGGATCAACTTTAGCTAGCTTTTGACGTTCTTTATACTTCTTTTCTGTTTTCTTACTTCGTTTCTTATTTAAAATTGCATCTTCTTGCTCAGTCTGCATAAAATAAATACACATTACTCATTGAAAAAGAAATTCAACACCAAAAATTCTGACAAACAATATAATAAGAAAATAACTTACTAGTTTAGCACCCTTTTTTCGACCAAGAGGTAAAGCGTAGTGAGCTTCGTACCACTGACGAAAAGGTGTAGCATCAATCATGACAATGCCATTTTTCACTAATGTTTTTGTACGAACCAACTCATTGTTACTTGCATTGTAAACAGTATCTACAATCCTAGTTCGTCTGGTGCATTCTACAGAAACACAAATAGACAATTAGTGAAATAAAAATACCTTATAAATATTACTTTAAATTAAAAAAAAAACTGCAAACAATCAGAGTAACTATGACTTTGCTACACATAGCTCATAGGATGAGCCATCAGCAATTTAAAATCTCATCATACAGTTAACTAAAGCAGAGAATCTTATCAGTAACTATGACAACCTTACACAGCTTATGACAAAGGCTATAATAGCAGATGAAAAATACCATTATTAAATTGTATATATAAGTTGGCTTACAATATATATTGCAACCTGGGCTTTAAACAGAAATGCGTGAAAGATAGTATAGATAGATTAAGTCTAATAGATCATAGTTCAAACACATATTTTAAAATGTAACCCAGAGCTCTTCCCAAGCGTTCTTTTGTACCCTTTCTGTAAAAATAAGCCGGCATCCTTGAAAAACACCCCTCATTATATTCATATACCATATTGTAAAACATTAATTCACTATTTAAATAATATTTACATATTGGTAAAATTACTTGTGTTAATAGGTTTAATTCTGAGTACTACTACAAATATTTAATTCATTAGAAGTGTTAGGGTAAATTTTAACGGGAGCTCTTTCAGAAAGATATACCTTTTTAAGTTAAAGAGATTAAAGGCAAAATTATTGCACTGTGCACAAGGATTGCATGCCTTTAGTTAGTTTCATAAACTACAAATCTTTTTCTTATTTCAATAATGACAGAAAATTACTTTTTGAAATGCATACCTAAAATAGTATAAGAAGGTAATAACAAAAATTGTTTAGTATAAAATTCAGTAATCATATAATTTTACACATTGATAAATTTTTTGTGTTAAGAGTGAGGAGCCTTTTCAAATAGAAGTCTTCAAAGTGCATAAAAATCTATTTTTACTGACCACTCAATTTGGACAAAATTACATTTGTAAATTTTTAAACGCATAAAAAAGAGAATGAATATCACATTTAATTTGAATTCCTTGAATTGAATATAGCATGAGCAAAAAAGAAATATTTTTTATTTGCTCATGCTTTTTCTTAGATGCTTTTTTTTTACAATTCAAAATGAAATGTAACAAGCATTATTTGTAATGTTTGTCATTTTGCTTTTTAATATAAAAAAACTTCGATATTAAAAATAATATTTAATGTTTCTTTAAACATAAAAGAGTCCCATATAAAATTTTTATGAAGTTGCGGCCCGCCATTTGACTGGTGTTTTTAATTACGCCCCCCGGCCACATGTAAATTGGAAACCCCTGATCTATATTATTATAAATGCTACATGATCAGAGTAACTATGACTATGTCACACATAGCTTAAAAGTAAAAGCTATCGACAACTACAAATCTCATCATAAGGAACCATTCAAATATCAAAGGAAAAACAATGATACAAAGGAAAATTAATGATAAGCCATTTTTACAGAACAGAATAAAAACAGAAAAGCTATACATTTATACTTAAGTGTGAATAATAATGCAATACTCTGCTTATCATATATAGACCTTTCAAAAACCAAAAGCATGAATTTTCCTACTTGTTGCATATCATTAATTTAGAATTTTGATAAACAAAATTCCCTAATTGTGTTATATTCTCTACGACTAATATCTATCCTTAATATACATAAGGGTCAAAAACTAAGCGCACATTTCAGCAAAAAATTATTTAACAATAATAGACAGGATTAAGATTAATACACTATCTGTACCCATTTGAAACAAATTTAGCAAAAAAATTTGATAATCTAGCATTTTTAAAAAACAAACTTCCTTTGTTAATTTAATTTCGCATGTCACAATAATATTACACTAAAAACAGTTCTTCCTAGGGCATTTAGCATGAAACATTTATTGAAACTTAATATTATGTAAGAACTGAATTAGATCCTAAACAATTTATAAATTACCCTCTTACACTACTTTATGTGGGTCTGTCAAAAAGTAATACTTATTGTTAAAATTAAGATTTTTTTTAGTTAAATTGATATAAGGAAAATTTGTAGCTATTTAAAAATAATTCAAGATATTCATAGTGCACTATTCTTATTTCAAAAACAAGTAAACTAGTGAAAAGATTAATTGATAAATTTCTATAATTTAAACTGAAAATTATGAAATAAACATTTAAAGGTGCATTTTGTTAAAAATTGTTTAAAAAATTTGATAATTTAAAATCATCTAAACTTGATACACATATTAATCAGTCACTTAATATATTAAACCACTCCCTCTGGAGAATAAAAATAATTTATGAATACAAAGGTAACTTATTTAAACATGAGATTCTAAAGTTATGTTCATAACGGAAACTCAAGCAGAAAAATTCAACAGCACTTACCATTTCTGTTATAGTTAAGATTTGCTAATTACATTTAAATGAAAATATCTTAAAAAGCTAAAATAAGCATTCACAAACACAAAAACTAACAGGTAACAATTCTAAATAAAAATGTCAGAGTAACTATGACTTTGCATCATCAAGGCAAGCATTATATTGCAAGCCTTCCACAAAAAGTTTTTCATCATTCTTATATCTTCACTTCAAAATCCTTAAAAGGAAATATGGTCCGCCCTTAGGTTTTTAGATAGGATTAAAAGTAATAGCTATAACTTTGTTCAGAACAACCAACAATTTAAAATAAAGATAAGAGAAATATTCTAACCAAAACTAAAGAGCATAAGTAGCAAAATGACATGCTGTAATAAGCAAAGCTAATATTACATCTTAATAATAAATACGAATAGAGAAAACATTGCTTTTTATGAAATAAGCTAAAATTTGATTTGGTTAAGTAACTAATTAACTCACGTTCTGATGCCCATGCAAAGTTTCCATGGTCAAGTCTTAATGCTCTATATTTTTTATTACCTCCTCTGGTTCTTACAGTATGAATTCTTTGTGGTCCAATCTGAAGGGAAAAAAAGATAGCACTATAGCCTAAGATTATATAACAAAAACAAAAATTATTTACAAACTTGCACACATTTAAGTATTAGGCAATTACTAACTCTGAGAAAACGAAAAAAAAATCAGAATTTTTGTTCCCTACTACTCCGGGCTTTACATGCAGTAAAAAAATTAAATAAAGAAAATTGGATTACTATTAGAATTGAAGGAAATATTTTAAAAATGTAAATTGAAGACATCAGCAACAAGATTCACACCAAAATAAAACTTAAGCAAATCCAAAATTCTTATAAAACAATAATCAACTTAATGTAAAAAATGAATAAGATGCTTTAGATAATCAATAATTAAGATGCTTTAGATATCAGACTAATAATTTTAAACAATTATGATAAGAGAGAAAAAATCTACTATATATTCACTCCTTCATCCTTAACACATCACTACGATGATGAAAGTGTTGTGATCAAAGCAGAAAAGGAAGCACTAAAAGAAGAATTATTTTACGAATGAAAATTAATGCATGGTTCCTTGTTAAAATGTCCATTCCATCACTCCAGAACTAAATTGAACACCAACTATAACTCTGTTATAAAGTACAAAGTTAGGGAATCAATTAAAAAATATCCCAACAATATTCTATAGTGATAGGGATTAAAATTTCTTTAACAAATAAAATAATGAATTTCAATAATTATGGACCTTAAAAATAGCATACATTTACATTAAATATACATTTACAGAAGACTTTTTAAAAGTCTTTTGTAAATGTATATAATGCTTATTTTATATGTATATTGTATTATTTTATATTTATAATGTATATTTTATTAAAATAAAGATAAAATAACTAGTTTCCAACCAAAAACTCTTTTCTTGACCATATTAGCCATTATAAAATAATAGATTTTTCGACTTCCTTTCAGGCAGTCGCAACTGAAATTGAGAATATCTTGCAAAATGTAGCTGTGTTGCACATGGGAATGCAAGAATATCACCGCACCCAGCCCAGTACACGAGTCCCAAGTATTTCATCAAACATGTGAAATTATTGGTGCTTTCATGCACTATAGACTGACAGTAAGCCGAAATAGATTGTGGTTTAAAGAAAAAACATTTAATACTTTACTTAAAAATTTATACTAATATAAGGAATAAATTTGCACTGCAATTACAATTTAGAAAATATATTCCATTTTAATTCAATGTAGCAAAACTATTATCTACCACTAGTATCCAGTCTCACAAGACAACTATAAATCTCACTTAATATATAATAGAAGGTTTAGTTTTGGTAGCCTACTGTAATACATTAAGTGAAATACAAGTATACCTCTCAAAGATAAACAGTATCATAAGTTGATTAAGAAGCATATCATACACCTATTTTAAAGAAAAAAATATTAAGTTGTACTCATACTAACTTTAGTATTTGCAGCAGGGCGTCCCAATTCAAACTTCCTCTTCTTCCTGATGGGCTTCCTTTTACCACCAGTCTTCCTTCGTTTATGCCAGTGATCTCGGGAAATACCTAATTACAAAAAACAAAACTTCATCTTAGTAGTAGCACAATTCTTATATCTGAAAAATTATGTCTAGCACGCAAAAAAAAATTGAATATTGTAGCACATCATTGAAGGTAAAACGTTTCACACTTAGACGTTATTTACCCAATGCTTATAAAACTATTATATATGCACATAAACTCTTAAAATCGATTAAGTAATAGTATTCTATATTGTAAAAATTTAATGCAACTCTGGTTTGAAGAACTGTTTGCTGTTTAAAATTATCTACAGAAAAAGTACTTATGGAGTATAAATTCTGAATTTTTGTATTTTAAAATGAAATTTAATTCTACCAAATCTTGTATAAACATTAGGAACTTAGGTAGAAAATCAAGTACTTGGAAAATGATAAAAAATTGCGAATATCTCCTTAAATTTTTACTAATTAATTGAGATAAGTAAAAGAAAATCAAATATTCACCTTAACACTAATTAGTTTGATATTTTATCATAAAAACAAACCGAATAATATGTTACGCGTGTAACTTTCTATTCCTCTCGAAAAATAAAAGCTTCACACACTCAAAAATGATTTATTTTACAATTATATGATATATCTAGAGAAAAAGGTACATTAATAATGTTACCTATCTTTGTTAGACTATAAAATGACTAGTTTTAATCTAATTAATATGTATCTGAAAATCATGCCCGCTTGATAATATATGTTAATACAATAATAACAGTTTAACACAGTGTTAAAATAATGCAAGAAGAGAAAATTAAAGGTAAAAACATATGCATTATATATATTACATTAAATTGTAAAATGTTAATAATAATGATTAGAAAAGATTTATAATACATACCCATCTTTGGTCAGTAATAGCGATCACCAACCAAAACTTAATGTTACCAATGAATGCCGCGAGTAAGGTGCTGCCACAGGATGAAAAGCAATGATAAAAACGAGAGTAGTATATTCATGTTGCTTACTTATCGCTCACTCTTAGATTACAATGGGTATGATCAAAAATAAAAAACTTCAACTTTAGGTAATGCAAAGAAATTGCCTCAGCCCAAATTTACAAATGGGGAAATGTAATAGATTTATTCCGGTAATTTTCTGCTGACAGGTACAGAAGATTGAAAATTTCGAAATAGTTTTTTCGTTTATTCTTAGTTTCGTTCGGTTGTTGTTGTTTGTTTCAACAAGTCGCTCTAGATCTATGAGCTATCGGCGACGGGTCTAGGAAGCATCCTTAGGATGATCCGAAGACATGCCATCACAATTTTGATCCTCTGAAGATGTCACGGCTCCCCTTTTTCTGTACCCCAATGACTTGCTCGAAGTTGAACATTTCACGGTAGAACAGTTAACGAGGGCTGATACCGCACACCCTTGGTCCCTTTGTAGGTTGATCAAAGTGGTCATCCAACAGCACACAGATCGCAGCCAGTGATGCTTGACTTTTGGAGCTCTTCTGGGAACCGTTTCTTAATGATCAGTTCACTGTGGGACTATTTTCGTTTAGTGAAGGTTACGAAATTTGCTCCAAGGATAGATTTTTTTTTATGGATGGTTGATAGAGTAAAGGAAAGTGGAGAGGGTGCTAAGGGTTAAAATTCGTTGTAATTTTTTCGGGTTACTATTTCTGACTGATTTTTTAAGCCTAAACTTAAAAGAAGCGCACCATCCAATACTGCCATTCTTGCAGTATTTTCAATATAACGCGTCCTTTCAATCTAACTTTCAACGAAATGAGCAACAAATGAATTCGGAAGATTCTGCAAGCTTGCGGAAGATGCTACCCAAAAAATAACAAACGGTGCTATTTTACACAAGTATAGCCAAATCAAAGATGATACTCAAAATATAGTCAACCTTACACTATTTTTATGCTGTGATATTAATTTTGTTGAATTTGTTTTAAACTCACGACCCATCTGAATTTATAAATTACAGAAAACTCCTATAAATGGTAAAATTATGGGTAAATTTAAACACAATAATAAAACTTCCTTAATATTAAACCTATTCACATATCGCCGCATCATCTAGTTTCATAAAGTTTGTTATTTTTTTGAATTCAGTCAACTATCTGTATTATAACCAGTGTTGAACAGCCGATCCAATTCTTAGTTTGCGATCACCAATGTTCAACTCAGTAGCCTTGTAATTTTGAACATAATCCAATAGACAATAAAACACCTGAATCAAGTAATGATAAAAATTGACCTTTGTGGAGGATTGTATGATGGAACTGACCTGTATTTGCGTTACATGAAGAGGAAAAGCTCTCACGGTCAGTCTGATGACAAGGGGACTCTAACTCATGATCTGTCTACCGCTACCATAAAAAAACAGCAATATAGAGCATAAAGGGCAGCAGTGATGCCCTTTACTTTAATAAATATAATATAATAATAATAAATTTGAGAATATCGTGAAAATGTATAATAAGCAATGATCCAACATCCTAGCCTATCATGGTTATTAATAAGAATAATCGTGTCTTAGGATGAATGTCTTGAAAATGCATCTCAATATATATTGAATATATATATATATATATATATATCCAATTGTGATAAACTTGCCCGTCAATCTCTTAACTGACATGCTCAGCATTCCCAATTCAGTTTTTTTTTAAATTTTATTTATTTATTTTTATTTTTTTGCAGTTTAAGGATTAATGCCTGATATTCTCCACACTGATGGTGATGTTTTTATAAGGTTAGTTTTTATAAGTTTAAGTCTTCATCTGTCTAAAGCAGAAGTCGCCAAAGTGGTCTATATAGACCCCCAGGGGTCTATTTAACAAAAGCGGGGGTCGGTCTGACCCAGGGGGTCGATCCGAATCGGAGGGGTAGATTGGGGGTCGAAGAAAAAACAGTTCTTAATACGCAAATCACACATACTTAATTGAGTTTGTGAAATTTGTGAATTTTTTTATAATTGGCTTAATATCAGTTTCTTTATAGAACATAAATTAATAAGCGTATATTTATTGCGGTGAAACAAGTATTTACGTATTTAAAATTGCAAGTTCTCTATCCAACCTGATGAATCTGTTTTTGGCGTTTCTGCTGTTCTTATGATGTAAGTTAGATATTTCAGTAAAATTAAAGGACAAGTCATTGATGAATTTTTATTTGTTAAATGTTTTGAAACTGATGGAGAAGGAGAGACAATTTTTAGATGATTACAAGAATATTTAAATAAATTAATAAATATGATATTCCGCATGAAAATATAATAGCGGTAGCTACAGATGGGGCAGCTGCTATACGATAGGGCGTTACCGAGGTTTTGCTACATTTCTCAANATTTGTTAAATGTTTTGAAACTGGTGGAGAAGGAGAGACAATTTTTAGATGTTTACAAGAATATTTAAATAAATTAATAAAAATGATATTCCGCATGAAAATATAACAGCGGTAGCTACAGATGGGGCACCTGCTATACGATAGGGCGTTACCGAGGTTTTGCTACATTTCTCAAAGAAAAAGTGCCCTGTATACGTACTATAGTACGTATACAGGTACTAGTACGTATAGTACAGGTACTATAGTAATATATTCATTGTGTGTTGCATAGGAACAACTTTGTAGCAAAGTATCCGAGTCCAGAGTTACCTAAAGCTTTACAGTTTTGTATTAAGTGTATCAATCAAATTAAAGCCCAACCTCTTAAATCAAGAATATTTTCCAAGAAAACGACGAGTTATTTAACCAATTACTTCTGCACACCGAAGTTAGATGGTTGTCTAGAGGTGTATGCTTGCAAAGGCTCGTTGAGTTATTTCACTCCACGACCGAATTTCTCAGCGAAATAAACCCTGTTCTGAGTGATAAACTCCAAAACAATAAGAGCCATTTTTTTATTTAGCATACTTATTTGGAAAATTTAATGATGTCGAAACAAAGCTGCAAGGAAAAGATGTAATAATTATCGAAGCTCGAACAATACTGTTAGGGTTGAGGGTTCCAAGTGAAATTAAATTTATTTAGATCTTCATTGCTACGTAAGGATTATCAGTATTTTTCAAATCTGCGACAGACGGAATAAAAGAAGACTTGAAAATATATGCAGATCATCTTCAAAAATTGAGCTGCGATTTTAAACTGCGCTTTGTTGGTTTGGAAAACATTGACATCCCTGATTGGATTATTGCGCTATTTTCTGCTCAAATTGCAAACTTGGACATCAACATACAAGATGAGCTTGCTGAATTATTATCGGAACTTGAAGCAAAGACGCTTTTTGAAAATTTAACAATAAGCAAATTTTGGACAAATATAAATATAATGCGAAAACATGTAAAACTTTACGAAATAGCTCAGCCATTTATGCTAGCATTTCCAAGCTCCTATTAGGTTGAAGCCGGTTTCAGTCACGTGAATTCTATCTTAACTAAGTACAGAAATAAATTAAATGTGTAGTTTCGAGGGGTTTTAAGATTAAAATTGACCAATTTTGAACCCAATATAGCGAATCTTGCAACAACAAAAAAAAACACACCAGACGCACTCATCTCATTGATTAAGAAGCCATAAATCTGTAGTTACTTTACTTATTATTTCTACTTATTTAATAAATATTAAAGTATTTAAATTCGAACATTAATATATTTTTCATTAAACTATTGTTACAAAATGTACTATTGCTTTAATAAATGTTTAAAATCATAAAATAAATCTACAAACACAGTATCTAACAGAGTTTTATTTTAATTAACAGAAAATTACTTTTTATGGGGGTCGATGGAGATTTCGAAAAATTATACAGGGGTCAATGATCAAAAAAGTTTGGTGACCTATGGTCTAAAGTATCAAATCCGTATAAACACTTCCGGAAGAAAAAATAAATAAAAAACGAATCCCGACGACTTAAAAATATAAATGATAATAATATTTTAAAAATGAAAACATTACCGAATATAGATCAAACTCGAAACAATGAAATCCTTTTAAATGCATTTCGTTATTAAAAAATAATTGTTTTATTTTTGTTGGGTGAGCCAAAGTCAGGGTCAAGGCTTTTTAGCTATCATAAATAGAAGAGTTATTTATTATCGGAAAAAAGAGAGAATCACTAAGAAGCACACAGGAAATGTTGTTTTTTAGAAGATTCATTCATATTTACATGAAATGTAGACTAAAATATGATTACAAAAATTTTATTTGCGACTACAGCACTTTTTATTAACATTATATTTGCACCTATTTCCCTGTCTCCTCTACCATCTCTTTCCAAAGAACCCAACAAAAAGACACCTATACTTTTCCTTATCTCCTTCTTTGCAATTTATTTTGGGGTAAAAGATAAATTCTAATGGGATGGACTGATTAAATTAATCAAATGTCAAAATATCACTGATATCCGGAAACTTTTGTGATCCATGATTTCCTGAAACTTCTGGATCATGGATCTCCGGATCGAGCTTAACGAAAAATTCGAATTTTTTTCTGGAGCACAATCTCCTCTGAAAAAGGAAAAAATAAAAAAAGCAATATATATATATTTTTAAATTATCATACATATTTAAGTTCACTATTTATTCTGAGGAGAGGTAATAAACAGTGTTATAATTTTCAATTTTGTTCAAATTCGACATAATTTTAAGTTTAATAATGAGAAAATAACAAATGAAGAAAACTAAATAACCAAAATATAGAATCTAAATAACCAAAAATAACCTAAATAACCAAAATATTTTGGAAAAATCAACATTAAATTAATAAATGTCAATATATATAGTTTTTAAAAGTCTGTTTTAACATATCTTGCTTTTTTACTTATTTCGCAGTTAAAATTATTAAATTCTAGAATAATTAACAAATGATTTAAATTTAAACATTAAAAATAACAATAATAATAAAAACATAATAGAATAGGGGGGAAAAAAACTAAAATTTTATTAAAAAAAATAAAACAATCAATACTCTACTCAAACATGCTAGCGTTATTATTAATTAAATGAAAAATAATTTTACAAATTTTTTTAAACTAAAATTAAAGCATTTTAAAAAAATTATATGTTGATGAAATAAAATAAAACAAAATGATTATAAAACATTTAAAATAATAATGCATTTTGAAAAATGAAAATTAATAAAATTATTACGTAATTGAAAGAATGTAATGAAATTTGTATATACTTTTAAGATGAAGCTAACTGCAATTGCTGATAAAATTTTAGAAATTCAAAAACTAATAAAATTTGAATGCTTTCTTTAAAAGCACAATCTAACAGAGGGGAAATCACTCAAGTATTTTATTCTAAAAAATATATGAAATATTTTTGGAAACAAAAATTTTACTAGAACATGCTACTTTAGGGTGCAACGTTTAATTAATTGGCATAAAATAATAAAAGATCCTCATAATTAAATTGCATATTTATTAAATGTAGGTGTAACAGAGGAGACAAATAAAATCCCACAATTTTGACATGCACTGTTATTTATTCTGAATTCTGTGATTTGGACCATTCTAAGCAATATCTGTAACTTTTTTAAAATTAACGCAGCTCAAGGTAAAATAAATTATTATAAGACTTTTAAAATTCCAACCCTCTTTTTTTAAGTCCAAATAATGCATCGTAACAGAGAGAACATGGAATGTAACAGAAGGGACGTCTTACAAATTTCACAAAAAGTTAAAGGGAAATATCACTGTTAAAAGTGACTCTTCGTTTGTTTACAGTTGGAAGCACTGCTATAATTAAAACTTGTGCTACATCTTTGTAGTTACATTTGAAAGATTTTATTTTACCAGATCCTGTTTAAAAAAAAAAAAACAAGTTTATGATAAATTTTACTATAATCATGCATAACTCCAAAAAATAAATTTTAAATTCATAAATTACAACAAATTTCCTTTAAAATGATATCAAATACAAGGATATTGCTCAAATTTAAAAAATTCACTACTGGTTTCAGTTGGCACGGAATTCAACAGTAGAATATTCAAAGAGCGATTGTTATTCCTTTCTTCCAACAAAGCAATTGTTAATTTTTCTGATAAATCAGGAACCTTTCACCTATTTATTTTTGTTAGAAATTTGGTCTCGATTGTTTTTGTGAATGAACCAATGTTGCACCAATATTTGCAACTACCTACATAAAACAAATTTCTCTTAGAACATTGGGAGAGGTGAAATTATTAAAGGTCTGTCACATGTCCCCATTCACAAAAAGGTTTTTTCCAGATAAACGCTAAAGGAAACTCAATAAGCTTTAGTTATGGAAAAAGAAAAGACAATGCTGCATTGCTACACAGTTTGTAGAGTTATTTTGTTGCCAGAATTTCATTGGATATGCATATTTTTTGTAAAGGAAATAAGTGCATTTTAACTTTTATTTTGCAACACGCAATCAAAAGAAAATAAATTAAAAACGCCTGCAAGAGAGGAAAAAATACTTTTTTTTGTGTGAAAAAAAAACAAACAAACTTAAGCCTTACCACATTCTAGCCATAGCAGAATCTGAGAGTGACAGATTTCGACATTAGGGGCCACAATTGACTGGTGGGGTACTTCTGTTATTTTAATTGTCTGATATTTTTCTTACTTTAAGTTAATATTATTCTGCAATAAATGTGTTTCTATTTCTCAGTTTCTAAATTCTTTTATGGTTTTGGGCACCAAGAAATTCTTTATACTACACCTGCTAACATTTTAAACATTGTTTATATTTTTCAAGAAAATAACAACGAGCTAAAGTCTTAGTTTAGCTAGTACCTTTAGAAATAAAATTTCATGCCCCAGTTTAACAAATATACTAAATTAATTTCAATATACTTTTTTTCCACAAAACGTTGACGTCAACTTTATTTTGTACAATTATTTGTAAAATCTAAAACATAAATCTTATCTAAAAAAATTTAACACAAGGTATCCCTAATTTAAAAAACTTTTTATGTGAAATTGAAGTAGCCCTGATAGCTCCTATCCAAAATTTTCCTTAATGGATACTCTCATATTTGTATAATAATAAACTTCAAAGCACTTCCGTCTTTACTTCACAGACAAACTCAGAGAGCTCACAATGACAACTCAGATCATAGAAGTATCATATAATCAGTGTTGTAGTGCTAAATTTTTGTTTTACTGGAATGCAAGTCACTGCCTCATGGGGAGGAGAAGGGAATCAAAAAATCTTAGAAATAATTCTTCTTTGGTAACTTCAAATCATCTGTAGCTCCTCAAGTTGCTTTACTTAAAATTCCTCATTTTTATTTATTGTAGCCTTTACCATTCTCTCATTGTTCTCTCCATTTACTGAAGAACAATTCTAAATTTTTTAATTAAAGTTATTAATTGATACAGAAATTAAATTTATATTACAGGCTTTTGAAAGTTAAATTACTTTTCCTGTAGTTCTTTTCTTTGGGCAATTTGCATCAAACTTTAAATAACATAATAATGTTACTGTTTAGCTAATTAAATAAAAATTTAAACTTTTCGGCTGAAATTGCTTCGTTTGAATCATCCTTATTTCAAGAACATATCTAATTTTTCTAATGCTTTTTTTTTTGCAATCAAAGAATTTAAAACATTGTAATGATGATAACTTTCAGTTAATTAAGTTGTGATTAGAAGCTAAACAAATCTAACATATTTTCTCCAGGCAAAAACCTTTTAAATTTGAGAACATGATTAATGCAATGGACAGTTAATTTTTTTTATTTATTTATTATTCATAGTCAGATCCTAATGCAACTGGTTTAATGAGAAAGAGATTAGTTCCATATGATAAATGTTTCACTTATATCAAACTTGCTAATGACGTTATTGCTCAGTTGATTGAGCACTCACCCCAAAAAAGAATAGGAAAATTACCATATTGGAAATCTTGTCTTAGTTGCTAGGCAATTATAAAAACAATTAAATAAACTTAGTTCTCTGAAAAGAAAATTACATAAAATGTATGTAATTCTTTGTGTATCGTAATAAAAGTTGTTATATAACTATCAAGAAACTGTTCTGCTGAATTTTACATGCATTCAAAACAAAGACAAAGGAGAAGAACGCTTTCTAGCACAATATACCAGTTTCACTTAATTTTTTTGCAAATTGAACTATTATTTGCAGAAATGGCTAACGGTAGAAAAGTATGCATTAGAAACAAATTTCTACGATATATGAGTAAGATGAATTTTATAATGAAGGAAAACACAGAAAACTGTATCTCATAAAAGATTTATTTTCTGATATTTTTTCACAAAAACAAACTCAGTATTGGATAACTTATTAAACAAGTTTTTGTAAAGAAAAAGCTTGAAATATAAATTACAAAACAATCAGTAGAAAATGGCAAAAATCAAACAACAACTTAAATCCTGGTAATAAACAAATAAATATTTAGAAATTGCTTATATTTAGTGTTATTTTTAGTTGGAGTCAATTTGCCCTTGAATTTACATATATAACTATTTATTTAATATTAAAATACTTTCATTACATTTTAATGAATTGAAGCTAAAACAAACAAAAAATAAGATTTTTTTTAAAGCAAATAATTTTATATTCTTCCAAAGAAAACTTTTTATGGAAATTAAAATTTAAAAAAAAAATATTCACAAAGTTATAACTGAAAATTGTTTGGCAATAACTACAAAATTCTAAGAGAATTTTTTTTAATTGCATCAGAATAATATTTTATATTAGAAAAAAGGAAGTTGATACTTGAGAGGCAAAAGAATTTCCAGATTTAAAAGGAGCACCTCATTTTAATTACCTTAATAACAAATTAATATCGAAGGATATATGTTTAAAAAAATTTTTACAACCCTCTCAGTGTTAGTCCTGGATATTTTTGAAGTTAAATTGCAAGCTATTCCATGAAGAAAAAAAAATTTTTTTTTTCTTTACATTTAAAGATAAAGTAGTGTGTAGAAAGGAACATTTCAGTACTAATTTGCCCAGGGGCTCAATGCTTAGAGAGACGAAATTTTAAAGAAATGTTAAATAATGAATGTTTTCATATGAATTCATTCAAATGAAACGTCAAAATGACCATTTCTAATATTCTAGAGCTTAACATGCAGTTGTTCATTTATTTTTATTTTAGACATAAATATTTATGAAAGACATAATTCTAAAAAAGTCATATAATTTTTTAAAATTTATCCCTTTTATAACAATAGTTTATTTTTTCCAAAAAAAAAAAGAAGGAAAAAAAAAGAAAATACAACAAGTACTCAAGTCTCCATTGAGGATGCAACACTACTTAAAAAATGTTTTTTGGTATCTTCTAAATACTGCTTACCATCAGATTATGTAAACGATGAATTAAAAAAAATAAAGAAATTAAAAAAAATGATGAATTAAAAAATATATATTTTACATCAAAAATTAAAATGTCCAATAACATCCAATATAAAAATATATCATTAAATTTAAAAATAATTTTTTATAACAACGAGTAACAAAAAAAGGTTAATGCTTTTTATGTCAGATTAAATAAGAAATTACTCATTTTCTTTTCCCCCTTGTAAATAATAAATCATTTTTAATATTAAAAATTGTGCTATTGAATTCCTTATAGGCGATAAATTTCAACACTAAGATGCAATTAATTTAATACTTTAAAACTGATTTTGGTAAGATAAATAAATAAATTTATTTGGTTATGGTAATTTAACAAGTTCACTTTTTGTTCATGAAAAAAATCACTTTGAACAGGTAACACAAAACAGAGTAAGTGAGCAGAAACATATTTAGTATTCTTTAAAAAAAAAAAGTAAGCAATACACAGATAAAATGCAAACACATAAAATCACACTTACGAAACTAAAATTGATTAGTATAAAGAGATATAAAAATATTAATAGCTATCATTTAAGTACTATGTTATTAAAACAGTAAATAATCTCTGGATAGATCATGCTATAAACTGAAAATGAGAAACTTTACAGTTCTTTGAGTTGGCTAACACAATAGTCATGGGAGGTTTTAAGTATCTTCTTCTCACTCAAACGTAACAATATCGCAATATGTTGATGCATAGATTCAAATGTATCTTGTTTTAAAAATTCTTCATCTTCCTATTGTAAAACAAGAATATCAAATCACAAGAACAAGAATAACAAGTAAAAAAATGCTTAGTACAGTACAGAACCCATTATCCGGAAATCAGAAAACCGGAAAAAAATTCGATAAATTTTCCCGCCATTTTCAAAAAAAAATTTTTTTTTTCCTCATAAGATTTTAGGATTTTTTTTTTCCTATTTTGAAAGATGTTTACCTTACCATCATTTTGGAAATAATCATTAGTGTATTACTTCATCGTTTTTTCTTCTTTTTCAGATTATTTCCAAAGTATTATTTTTTTTAGTCGAGTTTAACAATAAAAAAAAAAACGGCTTTTTGTAGCGATTCAGAAAACCGGAAAAATCAGTTATCCGGAATAGCGATGGTCCCGATCGTTCAGGATAATCGGTTCCCTATTGTATTTGAAACCAAATGCTGAAATATTTAAAATAATTTTTTAATTAGGATTATATAATGTTCTTATATAATCTTTCATGTTCCTAAATTTGTGTGTAAAAGTAAAATTTTGGCATTTTAAACTTTTTTTGTCGATATTTCATTAATTTAAACACTTTTTTAAAAAAATTAGCAGTCAGTGTGCAGTGCTGATCACACTGCCATAATTATACAACCAGAGCTCTAACCTCCATGATTCTCCCCTTCTGTTTCCCAACAGGCTGTAGCGGAAATGCTTTACTTTTTTTATAACATAACCATAAGATATATAGTAAATTACTTTTAATCAATAATATTTCTCGGCATACCAAACCAGTTTTTTTCTTTCATGTTGTTAGACAGATGAAATCATGCATGATATGAAAAGATTTTTTCACATTAGCCCAGTTTTCGAAACACTTTAGTTGTTACAGTAGTGATAAATATAAATGTTCACACATTAATAAAGTTGAAATAAATCGTTGAGTCAACTAAATGCATAATATGTCCCCTACAAAGGTTCCGAAGTTGGTTCATGTTAAAGCAGATGGGGCTGATTACTTAAAATTGAAATAATAACACGGTTCCCACTTAATTTCAGAAAAAAATTCCCTGTTTTTCCCAGCTTTGTCAGGAAAATTTCAATGAAAATCCACATGAAAAAATTACCTGACTTTTCCAGTATATAAGGTAAATTTCAAAGAAAATCCATATTTTTTTTTTTTTAATCTATACCATGAAATTTTTCTTCAATAATTTTTTTAATTTATAATAAATACCGTATATTCCGGCGTATAACGNGGTTCCCACTTAATTTCAGAAAAAAATTCCCTGTTTTTCCCAGCTTTGTCAGGAAAATTTCAATGAAAATCCACATGAAAAAATTACCTGACTTTTCCAGGTATATAAGGTAAATTTCAAAGAAAATCCATATATTTTTTTTTTTATCTATACCATGAAATTTTTCTTCAAGAATTTTTTTTATTTATAATAAATACCGTATATTCCGGCGTATAACGCGGACTTTTAATACAAAAAATAACATTGGAATTTACGGGTGCACGGTATACGCCGAATACAAAAAATTATAGATTAAAAAATTTAAATATGATATTCTGATCCGTCCAGATTATTTGAAATGCTGCATTTTTTTAATGATTTTCTAACCATCTGAGGCTTATTTCCATCCCATGCTTTTAATATCCATTCGCACACTGTTTCCAAATTTGCATGACGCATATGTTCGTAGGTTTTCTCGGACTGAAACTCCCAAGTGTTCCACTGGCTTTAAATGGTTTGTTCAAGCAGGCGTCCCATGGTTGAACTAATGGTGTCAATCCGCCTGGAATAACTGCCATATCGGTGTTACATTCTTTCAACAATTTGTTTGTATTATCTGTAAGGTGGGACCTAAACATGTCCCACACTAAAAGGCTTTATGGTTTTGTTACGCAACCAGGACGAATTTGCCAGACATTTTTTACTCACAATTTAACACCATTTTTGGTCCATCAAGCCTTTTTTATAGACATGAACAAAATACCTTTTGGAAAATTAGATTTAAGAAAAGTTTTTCTCTTAAATATAACCATTGGTTTTAGTTTCGTTCCATCCGCTAAGCAAGAAAGGGCTACGGTGAAATGAGATTTCTCATGTCCTGTTGTTGTTACGTTGACAGATTTTACTCCCTTTAAATCAATTGTTTTATTACCGATCATGTCAAATATTACTGGGGTCTCATCCATATTTCTTATTTGCAAAAGTAAATATTCCTTTTTTTCCGCAGTTCTATAATATATTTTTGAAAACTTAACAATTTGCTATCCAAGTCTTTTGGCAGTTTTTGTGACACTTTGGTTTTTTTACGTAGAACAAAATTCTTTCGAGCCATAAATCAGCTACACCAACTCACAATAGCCTTGAAATTTTCATTCTCGTGTGGATTAATCTTTGCCCATTTTAGAGCAAACAAGCGAACACAGTTTCTTGCTACAATCAAGCCATTTTGCCAATTTTCCAAAACCCAGTTTTCTACATTGTCCTCTAACATCGGCCATTTTGTTAGTCCTGTATGCAATGCACACTTATCCTTAGGCATATCCATTATTTTATTTTCATTTTTCGTCCATTCACGCACCGAGCTTTCGCCAATACCAAAATGCCTCGTCCAAAATGCCAATACCAAAATGCCATGTCAAATATTACTGGGGTCTCATCCATATTTCTTATTTGCAAAAGTAAATATTCCTTTTTTTCCGCAGTTCTATAATATATTTTTGAAAACTTAACAATTTGCTATCCAAGTCTTTTGGCAGTTTTTGTGACACTTTGGTTTTTTTACGTAGAACAAAATTCTTTCGAGCCATAAATCAGCTACACCAACTCACAATAGCCTTGAAATTTTCATTCTCGTGTGGATTAATCTTTGCCCATTTTAGAGCAAACAAGCGAACACAGTTTCTTGCTACAATCAAGCCATTTTGCCAATTTTCCAAAACCCAGTTTTCTACATTGTCCTCTAACATCGGCCATTTTGTTAATCCTGTATGCAATGCACACTTATCCTTAGGCATATCCATTATTTTCTTTTCATTTTTCGTCCATTCACGCACCGAGCTTTCGCCAATACCAAAATGCCTCGCCGCAGCCCGATTTCCATTTTCTTTTGCAAATTTAATTACTTTGCATTTAAATCCAGTGCTGTGTTTGCTCCGTTTGATAGGAGCCATGTCTACTATTAAAAACTACACTGAATTCTTAGAGCTTACAATGTTTACTTTTCAAAGGCAGGGCATCAAATGGTGCGATTGGCAGAAGAGGACTTACGTCATGTCCCCTGATTTGTGGTATGATTTTGAGACATACACAATAGACAGCATTCCAGATACCCCCCCTACTTCTAGAATGTGGGGAACAACATTCTTGCACAGACCTGCACTGCTGAAAACAACAATCTCTTTTCTCAGAATCACATTATTACTCTTTCAACTCCACCCTCACATAAATGTCAAATTCAGTTCTTTTATTTTTGCAAAAGATAGGGAAAAAAACTTTTTATTTACGATCTTGAAAGACGAGATATTGCACATGTACAATCCAAATTTTCGAGCGCGTTATACGAAGAGTATAACTTAAAATTTAAAAAAAGTTATTAGAAATTACGGGTGCGCGTTATGCCCCAGAATATACGGTATTAGACTTTGCGAGCAAAAGCATATAATAGAATGAGAATGGAGAAAAGGAAAAGTTTCACTAGAAGGAGGAATTTTATAAAATAATTGTAATAGATGTTAGAATTACTTAATTCAAAATTCAAACACTTATTACTGTTATTGAAAATTCTAAGAATAGCTATTTCCCAGGTATGATAAGGCAATTTTCCAGGATTTCTTTTTTTGTAAAAAATTGCAACTTTCACTGACTATTCTCTGCTTTTTAGGGTTAAAATAAAATTCCTTTACAATTCCAGGATTTTCCTACTCTCCCTGATCTGTGGGAACCTTGAATAATTTGATTTCATATTAAACAAACTTAATTAGGCAGTACAGTAGAGCGCCGGTTATCCGAACTGCTCGGGACCGAACATGGTTTGGATAATGAAAAGTTCGGATAGTTGGAAAACTGTTTAAAATCTAGTGTACATGAGTATTATTTGTGCACTAACTTCCCTTTGCACCTTTTGTAGGCTTAGGACTGGTAGTACTATCTAAAATAGCTTTGGCATGTTTAAAAGTTTTTTTTCCTTCAATTTTTGAATATTTTTAATTAACTTTTTTTCATTTTGAATTATTTTTATCATATTTCAGTTTCTTATAATTCTTTTTGTCAATTACTGATTTTATCACATTTTTCATTATTTTCCATTGCAAAAGAAAATTCCAGCAAAGATTTCGTTTCAAAGAAGATGCGTTTTTTTTTAGCAGCCATATGTCCCTTATTCTTTAAAATAAATCAACTGAACTGGATCAACATCATTTTGACGTCCTAGCCAATTCATTGCATGCTTCTATATAAGAAGGTCCACTATCTTGAACTTGATCACTTACTTCTTCCTCTTCGTCTGTGGAGTTCCGATTTTCATTCAAAATTTCAGCAACAATTTCATCATTTTCATCCGAAAGAGCCACTGGTTCAGAAACTTCAGTTTTTCTGTTAAGAATTTTATTCCAAGATTTATTATGAACCACAAGTGACAACTACCCATTCCCCAATTATAAAACTTCAGCACTTATCTATTCATAAACTCCTTCTGCATTCCAACCATTGTAGACTATCAAAATGAAGCTCGCATTCTTGGAATATAATTTTTAGTTGTAAAGGGGTAGGTAGGTTTAACTGTACCACCATACATGTATGTATGGCTGCTATAAGAAAACTGCTAAAAAGGTTGTAAATTAAATATGGTCTTCGGATGTAGAGGATATTATTTATTCTTCTTAATTTAGAAAAATTGTCAAGAGGTTAAAAAGTNAAAAAAAAAAAAAAAAAAAAAAAAAAAAAAAAAAAAAAAAAAACTAATTCAGAGGTAGTTCGGATAATTGGACGCTCGGATAATAAGGGTTCGGACAATTGGCGCTCTACTGTATTTAAATTTTACTGAGTACCCACACGTATATTTAGCACTTAGCCCTTTAGTACAAAACAAATTAATAAATTTTTTTTTGAATGACAATGCTTAAAAAATTTAAGATGTAAAAAAAATTTAAAAATATTACATGTGTAGCAAAATGAAGAAAAGTACAATGCAAATACATTAATTAAAAAACTAATTTTAAAAATTTATTACAAACCTCCAATGTAGTTTTGTAAGATCTTAGTAAAAGGAATAACCTATCCCTCAAGAATGAGTAAGCTCTATTTTTGAGATCAGAATTTTCAGATAAAAGGGCATCAATTTGCTCTTTATCACCATTAAGAATTTTCTCCAGCTCCTCTATAACACAAAGCAAAATAGTATCATTTGACACAGTAAAAACAAGGAAATTAAATAAATGTACTTTATATAAAAAAAAGTTTAAATCTGATAGCTACATAGCTGTCAATGTGTCTAATTTCTCTAGAAGATTTCATTTTTAGATTAAAATTGTAGAAAAATTTATGCTTTGATATGTTATTCCTAATTTAATAAATTGAATATCACATTATTTTAAACCATAATATATTTAAAAATGCAACAAAAATAAATTGATGTGGTTTTTATAGGTTGATAATATTTAAATAAGATATTTTTCAGAATTTTCAATGTAATTGTAATTTTACTAGAGCTAGAAAAAATTCAGTAAGAAAAGAAATTCTGGGTAGCTATATAATTATGAAAAAATACCAAAAGAAACTACATAATTTTTTTTTAATCCTATATGTTTTTTACTTATACCATACAATTTTATTTCCCTTAATCAAAGGAAATGACCTAACCTAGCCTAAAAATGACAGAACATTATTTTTGAAAAGGAGAAATCAGATGAGTTCATTAGAGTTGCAATTACTTTATAAAATTACTTTATTAAATCATTAAAGTTGCAATTGCTTTAATTTTTTTTCATTTAAATTATAAATGGAATAAAATTGTTTCTTAATGGAAATTTTGTCCATTAGTGTGACAAAGGATAACATCATCTTTAAGAATTATTATTAAAACAAAATACAAATATTTATAAATTTCTCACCTGATTTCATGACATTAATTTTTACAAATGATAGAAGCTCTTCCAAAATTTCTCTTACAGGATAGAGAAAATAAGGTCCATTTCTGAATAGAGGAAGAAAAAAAAACACTCATAAACTTAACTTTTAGGACAAAAATCAATCAAATTATCTTAATAGAAAATAAGTGAAAATGAATTTTAATTTCTCTTGTCACAATTGCAATTAGCAGGGTGATCACCAATCCTATTACCCAGATTTATTATTTTCAACTATTTTCTAAAATACACAAATACTCTTCTATTCATACGAATATGGCACCAACATTTTATTAAAAATATTTGCATTGTGAAATCCTTTGAATTTAAAAATTAGCTAATTTTAATAGTGAATTGAAATGTTAAACAATATTTATTACAACTGTATGCTAAAAGGTGATGAATTGATGTATTTATTTTACCAGCATTTTATGCTTTTATTATATCTGTCAATTTATTTTACACCAAGTTCTTAGAAATCAGCATTCTTAACAAAATTTGAAATTAAAAGAACAGATTTTCATTTTTTAAGCTCACAACATTTTCTTGATTTCTGGACTAGACGATTAGGCTGCATCAAAAGAGAAACTATGTAATGAATTAATATTCTCATTACATATTTTAATAGTCACTTTCCATATATCTTTCTTAAATGACAATGATCTTAAACAAATAAATGACTACATGGGGCTAGTGTGCATAAGTAGTAGCCAGCTAGTGTAGACATGCCACTAAATTTTTTTTATTTTTTACAAAACAGAACAGAAGAACCTTGATTGCTACACTTAAAATATCAACTAGTGATTTGAAAATGTATGAAAAGTGATTAAGTTAGATTTGATGAGTTGGACTTGAAAATAATTGAATTTATAATTAGTTTAAAAATTTGAATTGAAAAAAAATCATGTACTTTATATAAAAAATTTTAAGATGTAAAAGAAGACTGAATGGTACATATTTACCCATTTAAAACATCTGGAAATTTTGTTTTGAAATTTTTTTTTCTCATCGCAAACAATAAATTTTTGACATTAATAACAGACTGTTTTTTTTTTTTAATGTAAGTTCATATGAATATAGAAAGCTCCTTAGTGTTTGAAAGCTTCAAGATCTTCCGCAAATGTTTTACTGGTTTCGGTCAAGTTCACTTTTTTTATTGGTATCACAACACTTCTTCAGCTTCTGTAACCATTTCTTGAACCTACAAACCACAAGTTTAAAGGCTTTCATCAATTTCATGCCTGACCAAGACGTTTAAAGCTTTTTTTCTAAACTGTAGACTCATTGTCCTCATTTTCTTTTTAATCATTAGCATCAGGAGTAACTTTTTTTTTCTTTTAAAATGATTTAATTTCAATGCTTTTGGAAAAAATCAGTAGAATTTCTGATTGACAGTGGAAGTCTGCTAGTTTCAAAACGATCTAAACGTGTATTATTATAGTTAAAAGAGTTGCATTTGGGGCCGGGATAGCCTGGTCGGTAGGGCGCTGGGCCCATGCCCGAGAGTTAATGGGTTCGAACCTCGCTGGCCAAAGACTCCCCTTGTAGTTGGTGACTGATGCACGATAAAATTCTGTCAAGTCGCAAAGTCCTCCATGTTCTTATAACAAATCAAAACCTCTGGGGGTACTGGATTGGAGATCGATTGTTTTCTGAATCAGGTCAAAATTACGATTAGTGGATGAATGAATGGGTCCGCCTTATAAACAGGTGTGATGTATGATGTGGCGGAAGTCCAATTATTGGCCATAGATGGCGCCACTGAAAAACAAGAATCGCACACTCTGCATTAAATTTGCTCGGTTTCACCCAGCAGGCTTGCCCATGTGGCAAGTGGCATTAGAATCAACCAACCCAACCAACTGCATTTGTCATGGGACAGTTAAAAAAAGATTATACATACGGGAAAACGGAAGATGCAAGAACTATAGATCAAGGTTTGACTGTACTTTAGTGTTTTGAAGTCGGGTTGAGAGAAGTTTGCATACAAAATTAATACATAAAAATAGTACAAATAATTTTCTTTTCAAAATAATACATAGTATTAGTAATAAATGCATTAAATTGTCAAACCTTGCTTTAAATTCGTTACCAGTATTACATTTTCCTAAGATAACACCCTATCTTATACAAAAAATAAATAAATAATAAATAAAAAATAACACATCTAAATTAGCTTATGCATCATTCAAAGTGAATAGAAACGTTCAAATTTTATTAAAAAATTACCAAATACGTTCAAAATAACAGTTAGCTTTTTTTTGTTGCAAATATATAAAAAATTTCCACACTACATCCCCTCTCTCTTATGAACAAGATTATACTTGATGAATGTTATGAGTTTTCTCAAAAATATTACCTTTCTAAAAAAGCTTTTAATCCTATATGACAGTTTGAGGAAGAGGAATTTATGTAAAATAAATCATAGCAAAAATATAATTTGAATTTGCATACTTAGCTATGAATTCTCCCCCTTCCCTTTATGCAAATGTCATTCTTAGATACAGTACATTAACTTATGAAAACAGTTTATTTATCCATAAAATGCTGAGTTTTCTAGAGTGGATTAACTTTTCGCAAAAGTTATACAGTAAGTTAAAAATTTTTATACATATTTGAATACTACAATAAATATTATTTAATATGATAACTACATGATAATAAAAATACATAATAAAAAAATAATTTAACGTTAAGTAAAAAATGATAAGATCAGTGTACATAGAGTGTTACCTGAACTGCTTATGACTTTAATGCTAATAAAAACTTACACTGAAAGATTTAATTTATCACAGACACTGCATTTTAAAGAATGAAGAGGATCGTTTTTGCTTATTCCTGAAACAGATAAAAAAGTCTTTTAATATAATTACAATAATAAAAAATGTAATAATTAGTATGCAGGACAAAGTACCTAGCTTGATTTCAATAGCATCATTTTCATTTTCAGTATAAACAAATCCATTGTGCACAAAAAATTCCCCATTAGTTCTAGGACCATAAAACATAAACACCTAAATAAAAAGAAAGAATGAATAAAATCGATGTTGAAAAATATAAGTTTGTTGAATAAAAAATTCATAGATACTATATGAACTAATTTATTAATAATATAATTTTAAAATATAATTTGCATAATTAATAATATCATAATTTATAGAAGAAAATTCACTATACAAGAGTTTGAACATCACATGCAGTTACACTTTTAATTTCAGATATTGAGATTTAAGAAGTAAGCACGCTTCTCATATTAGCTTCATATGAGAGTTTTTCAAACACATATCAGTTGTGAGGTCCTGTCAACAGGCTAGGGGTAAAGCCATAAAAGTGTCATGATTACAATGAGTTAAAATATTTTAAACTTTAGCTATAATGCCTATTAGCTATATTATGTTTCTTCTCAGAAAATATGTAAGTAAAAGAGTAAAATGGATAGTTAGACTCATTCTTTATTAAATTATGAACCTGATCTTTGTGTTTCGATATTTTGAATAAAAAACACCATTAATCAACCAGCTATGTCACCCTTTTCACATCACCATTTTTTTTAAAATTCAGTCTTGAAAATTAGCTAGCAATGTTGTCCTGATATTTTACACAGTACAGAACCCATTATCCGGAATTCAGAAAACCGGAAAACCAAAAAACCGGAACAAAATTCCATGAATTTTCCCGCCATTCAAAAAAAAAAAATTTTTTTTTCCTTATAAGATATTAGGATTTTTCTTTCTTTTTTGAAAGATTTTTACCTTACCATCATTTTGGAAATAATCATTAGTGTATTACTTCATCGTTTTTTCTTCTTTTTAAGATTATTTCCAAATTTTTTTTTTTTAAAGTCCGGAATAGCGATGGTCCCGATCATTCCGGATAATCAGCTCCCTACTGTACTTCATTTAATGCTTTGCCTCTATTCTCTGCAGCTATGCTATATTTATGAGTGTGTGAAATAGAAAAACAGATAACTTTAACAATTGAATTAAAAAATTAGCTTGAATGGAAGGAAGAGCTGTTACTTTAATTAGTAATATCACAAAAAATATGGACTTGGTTCAAGGAAGGAGAGTAAAAATATAAATATTATCGACCAATTTAAAGCTCTCAATACATTACTGTTGCTTAACTGGGCTCCCACTGGCACAGGAAACAAAATTATTCATCACTAAGCTACCCTTAAGCTACCACCCCTAAGCTACCCAAAATTATTATCAATTCACTAAGCTACCCTTTTAAAAATAATTTTTAAGATTAAACAAAGATCTATTAAGAAGCTAAATCAAAAGAAAAAAAAGTGATTTCTTGATATTGTATGAAGGGTGACATTTGGTTATAATTACAGAATAAATAATTATATAATAATACTCTCATTCTCCTGAGTTCACTATATGAATCAAGAGGTCAATTTTTAATATTCAAATGGCTTAATAAACACATTTAGCACTATTAATATCTTGCTTACCAACATTTAAAATTCTTTATTAATTAACTGGTGCTCAAAAATTTAGAAAGTTTAAGTACCCAGAAAATTGTTAAATAATTTAGAAAAAATGATTATTGAGTTACCTGATCACCTTTAGAAAAAGCCTTGAATGAATATGACACAAGAGAATCCTTCTCCAAATTGAAATCAGTAGAAAGCTAAAAAAAGATAAAACAAAATGGCTATAGTCAAAGCCCAGTTATTAATTTAAGTATTAATAAATAATAATTTAATTCAATATGAATAAACTTGATTGTATTTAAGTCATCAATATAATGAATTTATGTAGTCTATAACTAACTAAATTGTAGATAATAAACAAATATATAGAGCAAGAGCTACAATACACTAAAAATAACCGATGAGTGTAATATTGATTAACACAATAACTTTTGACCTTTAACAACAGTTTAAGGTGAAACCTGATAGCTTTAACAAAAATTTTTTTTTTTAACCTTGTAATTAAGTGAAGAAACTCTTAAGCAGGAAAATGAGTTATAGAACAGCAGCTGAGAGTTATTAAATAGTTTATCTATTATATAAAAACATTAAGAGATTCAAAAGAAAATTAGTTTGTGAGTCCTCACTTTTCCATTAGCATGATTACACATGTCAAAAAGGGGTATCAAAGATATAGACATATGACCATCTTCAGTTGTAGGTATTATATTTTGTCTAGTCATAACACTTGAAACAGCCCACCTGAAAAAAAGTAGATAGATTCATAGATAATTATATATTATTTATATAAACTATGATGTAGTATTTTAATTTAAATATCTCTTTTCATTCAAAAATCTAACTTGTTTAATAGATATAATTTTTAATTTTGTTAGACTTAATAAATTAGAAGAAAATAATTTTTTACATTTGGTTTATCACATTCAACACACATCATTGAAACACTTTATGTAAAATAATAAAATAAAACTGAAATTACTCAAACTTGCATAGTATTTATTTCCATTTGTAGAGATAACTTTGAGAGAAATTAGGAAGGGAAATAATTGGATCTGAATGTTAGATCCTAGAGAGGGAAAGCTATCAGTAAATCCTTATTGCATCTAAAAAGTAATGTAAATTTTTAGAACTTTTAAAAACGTTTTTACTGTAATTTATTCATTGACTTAAATCAGACTTAGTTTATAATTACTAATTCAGATAATTAGAACTCTAATTACTATTTCCACTTTAATTTTCTCTGAGATTTACGTTAAACTGTTTATGAAAAATTATATAAAAAAGGAAAAATTTAAATGCATAATAAAATCAGAAAAATACATTATTTTATTACAAGTATTTGTACTAAAATAATGTATTTTTATGATTTTATTCAATGTATGTAATTTTAAGTAATGTGTGTGATGCATGGCACATATGACTACGACAGGAGATGTAGAAAAATACGATTTCATTTTGTTGATTCGAACATCCAAAGAAATAGTAGAAAGCAGTGGACTTGGCACAAACTCATTGATAGTCACAATGCACAATGTCACAGCATAGGTAAACGTTTTGTGCACAATATGACGAAACAGTTAGCAGGCACAATCAGTAACACTTGTTGAAACTAAGAGCTAACTAAGAAAATGGCAGAGTGAAAGCACACAGGCAACAGCATCTGCCAAATGTGGAACAGAAAATCACCATTGCTTAACAGGGAAAGGACGAAAGAAAAGAGTAAAGAAGTAAGCGAGCTGTACTTTCCAGTGATCTAATTTTCATAACACTGATGCTAGCAGTTAAATGCTTAATATTAACTATTTAAATCACTAAGAAGATAAACATGCATAAATTACTTATTTAAAAAATTATGTTAGAGAAAGATATATGTTAATTCCTTATCTATGACATACATTGCAACCACTCTGTCCCCCCCCCCCCCGATAAATCATCGTGCAACTATTGCAAGAGGTTTAAACAAAGATTGGAACCTTTTAACTATTTTCTTTTTCTTACTTTTCCATCAAGATTTTTCAGCATAAATTTTTTTCTTAGATAACACTATTATTAAACAGGAAATGTGTTTTGTAGTACAATAAGAAAAGCATAAAAGAAAGCAGTAATCTTTGACTGTTACTGAGTCTTCCATTACGAAATAAATAGCCAAAAATATTAATTCAGCGGAGCAAAATACATTTAATTTTGTATTAAAGACTATCTTATAGAAGAAAGGCTGTGAGATATTTGTTTTAAAAACACATTGATTCGTGAGAACGATAAACTTAACATACAGCAAAATTATAAAAATAAATGAATAAAGATAAATATGTGGTCAAAAGAAAAGAAACACTCAAACAAATTTATTTTAAGTTTAAATTTGAAAACAGTTTCTTAATCCCTTAACAATTGGTTAATTTTCAAGAAAACGGTCATAAAAGTGCCTATTTTGCCAAATACATGTATTTGATTAGTGGCATGACATCTAGTTTAAAACAAACTAGCTATCTACAATTACCTAAAATATCCTGGTACTACCATCTGGTGTTTAAAATGAGAAATAAAATGTTTTCCGGGCAAAAGAAATGAATTAAGTTTTATTCTTATTGGCGTGCCACAACTGAACACTCCAGCTCGGAAATTTCACGGGAGTGAGAAATATAGGGCGACACCTCACCCCGTCATTTTTTCAGGAGCGAGCAAAATTTGTATTAAACATATTTATAACCTTTTTGGGAATGATTTAGATTTCATATACATTTTATACATAAATTTTTAATAAATTACAAATTATTTAAACTAACCTATATAACTCATAAGTAAAGTAAGGTCCAATGTTCAAAGAATCTGCCAATGTATCTTTCTAAAACAGATGTCAATAACATAAATCAAGAATTACAATCAAATAATACATTCAACTATTTTGCTTGATTTAAAAAATACAAAAGTGTTTCAAAGAAATTCCTTTAAGTATAATTCAATAGATATACAGACATGAAGTTAAAAGTATCTTACTTGAAAAAGAAGGAAAAAGTAACAATACTGCCTCACAATACTGCGGAATATTTGAAATACTTCCTCTACAATGGTAAAAAAAAATCCAAATGAACACATTAAAAGGTATAACTTTATAAATAACTTAAAAATTGAAATAAAGTTCCATATAAAAATAATGAAAACCATTTTAATAATTAATGATAATAGAAAAAAGATACCTAAATTTATATTACTGTGGCTTTAATTTATTTAATATCTTGTGTATAAGGGTTCATTTTTATTTTTTTAAAATCCACTAATCTTCAAATGATAATAAAAAGACATAAATACATTCTGGTTTGATTTAATGCATATTTAGAAAGCATATTGTAGGGGAGTTTTTAAATCTGGACAAAGCTTGAAATGCATACTTTCAAAATATGGATAAATCTCATAATGTGGGTTATCAAAAATGAACTCAGCTTTAAATGAGTGTTTACAAAAATGGATCTAGCTGAAAATGCATTTTCAAAAAAAAGGATACATATATTTTTATATATTAAAATAGCAGTCCCTGGTGATAAGTTGATCCACCTATTTAAATAAGTAGAATTTCAAATACTTTGAGATTTAAAATTGTACAATTGAAAATCACAACGAAATATATATATAAACCTATATTGCACAACTGAGAGGGTGGTTCTAATTCCCCCCCTACATATTTGCACTATCAGATATTGGGTGTTTTGGGACATTTTCAGTTTTGGAGAAAATAGATATTGTGGTGAATTTGTAATTAAAAAAAAAAGATTTGTTGTTCTGCACAAATTATGCTAACATTTTGAACAAAACAATATAGTAATTCATTTAATGGTGCTTTTGAAAAATACCAAAAGAAATCAACAGCTTAGACTGTTAATTAATCTGTGCACTTACTGATAATTGTTGATAATAGTAGTTTTAATAGTTAAAATGCTTTTTTTGTGAGTTCTTTTAATAAATAACAAAGAATGTTATAAAAAATGATAAGTTTGTTCTGACTTAATGTCACAGCCCGGGTTGTCTTAGTCAGTTTCCTCCACTGGTATACATCAGCCACAGCGGTTCTCCGTGTAATTTAGAATTCCTTCTATGCTATCAAGTCATCTAATATTGGATTTTTCCCTTCATGTTTCTGAATGTAACTTTTAAAAGTGGATATGGATCATTATAAATAGGAATATGTCTAAGTCATCTTAATTACAAAATTTTTAATTACTCTTACTGTATTATGTAATCTGAAGTTGATATATAGTTCAATATTTAAACACATTTTTCAAATATCCTTCTTTAAACTGCAACATGTCTTTTAGTATTTGTTTAAATATTATGTACTTATTCTCTCCAGTAGAGTTCATAATTCAGAAATCACTTTCACACAGATTTACAGGGCTCAGTAGTGAATATATCTCTAAAAAAAAAAAAAAAAAAAAAAAACAATTTGATGGTTAAGATTTCAAAATAAAAATTATTTCTTAAAATACACATTTAATTTACTATTATATTCAATTTTAATATTTTTACCTTATATAAGAACTGAGACTTGATATTTGAACTGATCAACAAATGTAAAATTTCACAAAATAAAATTAGCTAATTTAGACATTCAGCAAAATTTACTACCTAATACAGGAGATCCTTGAAGGTCTTTCAGCTCTTCAAAAGTAAAATAATGTATTGTATTGTATCTTGAAGGTAAAATAGCTAGGATTCAGTTAAAGATTTATTCGAAATAGAAAAACAAAAATATAAAAAATATGAATATTATATTATATAAATTTGAACCATCTATTTTTTTTAAAGAAAATTTTTATTCTAATAAATTAATGACTCCAAAAGGTTAACCCAATGCCTTTTATAGATTAAAAAGAAAAGTTCAACTATGATAAGCCAAAAAGTTAAAATATGATTAGAGAGCTAAAAGGACCAACATATCAATCAAGGAAATTTTTAGATTTCCTAAAAAATAATTAAATCTTATATCTTAAATAATTATAAATATGGGTCTAAATTCTCTATGACATACATACCAACTTACTTTTTTGAAAGCATATAAATGAGAATAAATGAATACATCTACTTTAAATTTTTCGAAAAAAATGCATTATATCAACATCAAGCACAAATAAAAATTAAAGAAGTAAATGCTTAGTGATGGAATAAAGCATTCTTATTAACAAAGAAGTAATAATATAAGAATTATTAAGTACTTTCAGCCAGTGTATGCCTTTCAACATGATGCTTCAAATTGACTTCATAAAACTTTATATAAATTATTTTTTATACGCTGTGCTTGGAAATAAGTTTTTTTTTAAATTTTTTACTTAAAACTTAGTCCGACATAAGGGATTAAAAGGGAAAAGCTAACTTTGCTTATAATAATCTTATTAATTTAATTATACTCAATTATGTTTAAATCATTAACTCAATTATAATTAAATTCAATTACTTTTTTCAGTCTTTTTGGTGCTGTTTATTTGCCTCATCCAATATCTTGATGATTTTCTTCCAAATTTGAGGGGTGCTTAATCAGCATTTATAGCCTCTCTGTTTCAGTACTTACATGCCCAATCAAAATATTTATATACCTTAAGCATCTTGAGCAGGATAATTTTCGAGCTTTGATTTAGAGTACTGAATGTCTTAATGCATATCAAAAATATTTTCAATGCATTTGAGATTAAAATTTTAGTATCTACTTCTAGTAATAAAATAAATGCAAAGAGTCACAACATATGACCCACAACCAAAAGTGTTTTTTAAATACGAAATTATTATTAAGGGGAAAAAAAGCAACCTAGTCAGGCTCAGAAACTGTCATTTTTTAAAAATCTAATTCAGTCTTTCTCAGAATATGTTATTGTACTTGTTTTATTTTTATGGCAATTTCATGGTTTTATTGTACTTGTTTTATTTTTATTTTTAAGTTTTGTTTATGGCAGTAAGTTTAACATTTGCAAATTCGTGGAAAAAAGAAAAGAAAATTATATGCATATACAATGGAACACTGATTTTATATTTTCCACTGAACTAGAGTTAAAAAATGCCCGAAGCGGGATAAGGTAATATCAGGGTAAAGAAAAAAGTTTAAGTATACTTTTCAAAAATTCATAGTTACAAGATGAACTACTAGAAAAAATGTTTTTTGTCTTTCCATCCTTTCTGCTTTCAGATAAAATTTTTACAATACCCCTCTCAATACCAACTATTGCTTGCAAATTTGCTTTATGGTTTACTCATGATCAGTTGTAGGCATACCCTCCAATATTTTTTGCACATCTTCATCTCTATCACCAGGAGCAGGCATTAAATCAGATGCAGAAGGAATTAAAAAGTAATGGGATGTGTCTTGCTGGTGATATACACGTCATCGACTTCAGACATGCAATTTTATTCCGAAGGGCCAATGTTCCCCTTGGATACCGAGAAGCTATATAAAACCCATTTGTAATTATTTTAATCGACATTATCTAACATTGAAGAGATTAAATTCAGAGCTTCCAGAAAATTTATTTTTGCTGTAGAAGCATCTTGCAGGTCATAAGAATCAAGAAAAAGAAAGAGTTACCAAACCAGTTGTTTAGTGTAACGTTCTTTAAATAACTAAATAAATCAAAAATTCAAAGGGTGCTGATAAACATTTTACTCTCAAATTGCACAATTTAAACTCCTATACTTCCTTTAATCCCCTTCTTTGTCTATTCCACCACCCTTCTGATTTTAACTCAAAGAGCAAATCTCCTCTTACAGACAAAAGGACAATAAATAGAATAGAAAGAATGCCAGAAAAGCTACAAACAGCTTATAAGCAACTCTCCTAAAAAAAATAAGAAAGAAGAAGTAATTGGAAATTCATAAAAAGTTTGTGTGAGCTTTGTAGAGAAATAATGATTTTGATCTGTTAGAAAAGCATGTAAGGGGGAATTTTTTTCAGAAGGGCAATGTAAAATCTGGGATAATTTCACATTATCAGTACAGACAGTTTTCACTGATGAACAGAAAATGATGTAAAAAGAGGGATAATTTGTGAAATTGACTACATAAGGTTCCACTATATATATACTGGTATATATATATACATATACAATGATATTTACATAAAAAAATATTTTGTTAGCAAATGATAGTCAAAAATTTCATCAGTGTAAATGTATTAGTATTTTCAAACATCTTATTATGCTTTCAGAAGTTAGACTTAATCTAATTATGCACCAATACAAAGGCTTAGACATTTTTTTTAATTTCTAAAAATCGAAAGAGTTATCAAATTGTGCTCCATTAAACTAATATCATATACAAAATGTATTAATTTAATTTAACATTGATTGATAGTTACAAAAGAAAGACATTGAAAAAAAAAGATACAAATATATGGCATCCAGAATGACTCTGGATTTAGTGATTCCATGAGCAAGTGCATTGAAACTTGTACGTTTGGCATATTTTTTAAAATAGGATCAGAAGATATTAAAGGTCCTGAAATAAAAAAAGAAGGTATTTTAGGATTTAAGAAAAGATTTTTTGGCATAAATAGTATTTTAGACCTAAGAAAGTACTTTTTTATACAAGAGTTAAACAGGAAATTTATAAAGCAGAAATATTTAATATCTTAAAGCCAATAGTAATGATTATTATAAACAATGTAGTTTTTGATGAATCTAAACTGTACTTTTGTTGCACTGTGTGTTTTAACTATACATTTTTTTTATATTCAAATTATTTGATATAAAATAAGATTAGAAATATATAATTTTATAACGTATAATTTAAAATTGATAAAAGTAACATATGCTTATAGAGATGGTAATTTGATTATATCCTGAAATTTTTGCATCAATTCATTGAATTATTCGTTAAATTCCAGAAAGAAAATAACATTTATTACATCATGAAAAGCTACTTTTTCTAAAGGGAAGTACAGTAGAGAACCAATTATCCGGGATGCTCAGGTCCATTGCTATCCCGGAAGTCTGAATTTCCCGGTTTTCGGGATCAACCAAAAAGTGTCGTTAATCGATGTTTTATCGAACCCGAATTACAAGGAAAAAGTGTAATTCATAAAATAAGAGAAAAAAGAAAGGTAATCCTAACTTTAAAAAGAAAAACAAATGGTAGAAAAATAACATTTAAAAGAATAAAAAAATTTTCAAGTTTAGACAAGAAAAACAAATTTAAAAAATACAAAATTCTCGTATTTATTTTTTAAAAATAATTACAATTCCTAAATTAACTAATATAAACAAAACCAATGGTTAAATAACGCAATATATTTCATACCTGATTATACAAGGGAAACGATAAAATAAAAGGAAAACTTATTAATCTAAATAAAAACACTTGAAAATTATCGAACCGAAACGATAGTTAAAAAAGGCACTAGCATAAATATTAAAACACGGAACAAGGCAAGATCAGCGGAATTTTAAAACAAAAACCTAATGATAAAATTTATGAATAAAAATTATTAATTTATTGAGTGCGAAATTTATCTTGAAAAGAAAAAAAAAANTTCTCCTTTTATTTTTTTGTTGATAAAAACACGATATTTAATTACAGCTGATGTGATTCCACATCAATAAAAACTTGCAAATGATACCGCACTTCCAAAGAATGAGAATTTATTCAGAAGAAAAAGATTTTATTTTATTAATTGATGTCAAATAGATAAATATATTTTTCTCTTTCATCTTCTGTTCACTGATTTGCATGCAATGCATTTTCCCCAACCTCCTCGTAAATCAAACAGAAAACAAAATCAACATGCCACAAACTTGAGCTTGATTGACGGACTAAAGGAGAAAATAAAACATTCCTCCCTTCCCTGAATTCAAGGTCGCGGAGGAAATGACGTTTCTCTGGGTAAATGGGGAAAAAAATTCTCCCCTTCCTTACATTTTCCTCTACTCAACTTCAAGGATGAGTTCAATTTCCGCTTTTTTTCATAATCGTTCCAGTTTAAAATGGCGGGAAAACCGATCAAAATTTTTCCCGGTTTTCTGGTTTCCCGCTTATCTGGATACCGGATAAATGGTTCTCTACTGTACTTGTTACAAAACTAAACTAAAAAGTAAAGAAATGTGTTGCTTAAGGAGGTTGCCAAAAATTTATTTCAAATTTTGTAGTTACATATTCAAATTTTAGATAATTCCTTCCTTATTGATGAATACACATTCTTGATAAAATTTAGGTAATCTTGATAAAATTTAGCTATTTTTACAAGAATTGACTTTTTTTAATTTATAAAAAGACAAACAAAAAAGCACAATATCAATGGATTAAAAAAAATAAAAAATACAAAAAAAAAAACTATTTTTAGATCAGAATTATAAACCTTTAATTAATACAGATTTGAGTTACAAGATAGGCACAGTAAAAAGTTAGATGTAGTTATAAAAAAAATTATTAATAACTTTTATGGAATGTTCAACTGTGTGGAATGTGGAAGAATAAAAGTCCATTATCATGTTGAAAGCTTGTTTTTAAAGATCGATCAATTATTGCAAATACTACTCAAATAAGAAGAATATCAGAGATATTGAACTAAATGCTAAAAACTGCTTCCTGGAAATCAGAGAAGAATCCAAATCACATATATTGTTTCAGCTTACTAAGAAAATAAGATGCGGAATAAAGAGTTTTTACAACCAATACGAAGTGCATGAATAAGGGGGACCAGAAAGCAATGTCATTTTAGTGGATTTGATATTTGTTATCAAGATTTTATTTTTAATCAATAATGTTTTCACTCTCATTAGCAACAACCTTTTAATACCGGATTAAAAATGAATATAAAAAATTTATTGATTTTTAAGACTAGCGAATATTTAATGCACCAAAATGACATTACTTTCTGTGGTCTCCCTAAAATTAATAAAAAAAAAAAATTAAATCTTGAATAAAAACATTTATATTTAAATTGAGAACTTTACCTCAACAATATAGCTATAGCTCTTTTTCTGGGACTGCATAAATTATTTGTATGATGGTTTTACAATAATATTCAATATTAAAATGGTTACATTTAGAACTGCAAACAAAAAGTATAACTACAAATTTACCAAGTTTGGAACTTTGAGCAGAGGTTTCTGACATCATTATTTTTCTAGGTATCAATAAAAATTGTTCGTCTTCCTATAATACAATATAAAAAAACATAAAATTTTTCCAAGAAGTTTGATGATAGGCAAAAATTATATGTATCCTATATATTGTTTGGTCTTATTAATTTCACCGCATGCACATACATATATATTTATACAAATATAGTGAGTTCGCCAATACACATCTAGGCATGTACTTTACGCTTTGTATTTGAGTTCATCTCAATAATTTTACTCATAGTAAAAATACTCTTCACAAATGTTTAAAAACAAATTGTGATAGAGGTTTTGCAGCTCAAAATAGAATAAAATATAAAATGCAATTTTTAGTTGGGATTGAGCATTTGAGCATTAGGGATTGAGCTTCCACTTTATCTCATAAAAGAAACCCTTTTCCTGTCAACAATAAAGGCACCAATTTTAACATAAATTTTTAGATGATGTAAAATTGTGAAAAGAAAAAAAAAAACAATAAATTTTATTAATAAGATTCTTTAAGAAACTTTAGACTTGTTAAATATTCCATCAAAAAATCGACAGTGTTTACATAATTAATTTGGTAGTTGTGAGTATTGTGATTTGTGTTATAAAATGGAGGTAACTTAGAAATGGAATTTCAGTTTTAATTCCTCTCTCCTCTATTTTAAATTTCACCCTTCAAAAATTAACAGAGGAGTGAAATTACTCTCTGGTGAATTTTTTTTCGGGGGGGGGGGGGGGGNGGGGGGGGGGGGGGAGTTGCATATGTGCATGCATGTATATCACTCATATGCCTAAACATTTAAAAATGGCTATGAGCGGGTCATACAGTTAGAGGAATTGATAATCACTTGACTTACACCATTTTGAACCAGTATGTTGCTGAGATTTAACTACAGCAAGAAACAATGCAGACCAACAAAATTAAAAGAACACCATATATGAATTAGAAGCCTTGACCTTCATCTAGCAGTTGATTTGTGATGGTTAAAGATTATAATACAGATATTCCGCACACAAAAATTTAAACCAAATAAAGCGAAAAATAAGTTAATTTTAAATCTTTTGTTCAGTAAAATAGGATTTTTCTTTGAGGATAAGAAGAATATGAGCTTGAGGATCAAAAAAACATGCAATAATGTATTGCTCATGAGAGCATTTAAAAAACAAGTAGAAAATAGCAGTTTTAATCACCAATTAACAATTACACAAATAAGATCACTATATAACACAAGAAAATAACAGTTTTGATAAAAGAAACTTAAAATCAATCAGTATTCTTTACAATAGTGCTAATCCATTATTCTAAATATGCAAATATATGTTAGTGATAGTCAAAATCTAAGTATTTTTCTTTAAAACTAATGTTTTCTGGCAAGCTTTTTCCTCCTGATATCTTGTAATGTTTTTAAATAAAACTTATAAAATTTGAAAAGCATTTTGATGTATATTGCATAACATATGCTAACAGTTAAGAATAAATAAATAACATTGCTAGAGATAAATTCAAATACAATAATTTTAAAAGAGTACATACAAAAGACTAAGTTTTCTCACAAGTTAGTAACCAGTTGAATTGACCTACTTGCCCAAAAATTTAAAATAAATGAAAAGAAAAAAAAAATCTGAAAGATATAACTACTGACAAAAATTTGTACAACGAAAGTGACAAGTAGCAAGGTTATAACAGAATTGCATAATAACTACAAATTAAAAAATCACCCACTTAACATTATGAGCAAATAATGAAACTCCCAGCTATGCACTAGTGGGTGATTTCTTACACTTATTACACACAAAAGCTGTTAAACTACATTTTTTAAATTATAGTTTAAAAGATTTTGTAGAGTTTTCCTTACTTAAAGAACTTGGTAAACACTTATCCTCATTTTGAATTTAACTCAGAAAACAAGGAATTTAAAATCAAATACTAAGAATGTTTTTTTTTCTTCTCTTTTTTCAATTTTGAGTGAAATTAAGTTTTCTTTAAATTACACACATGAGGAAGAAAAATTTACCCTCATAATTAGCTTCACTATTTCTGCTGCTAGTACATCTCACATAGACAATTACCCAATTTTTATTACAGAAAATATTTTTAGGAAATACTTCATTATACAATTGAGTTTTAATTCAAAACATTGTAATTAAAAATTAGATAATAATTTTGTGGAAATAAGCTTTTATAAAAACCAATAAACCTTTACTACTATAAGTCATTTTAAATAAATATGATTAATAATGATTATATCATAAATTTTTTTTTTAAAAATCAACATCATTTTAAGTAAAAAATGTGTTGTCTTTTTCTAAAAGGAAATCAGATAAATAAACAAGTCATTCAGATAAAGAGCATGAGCTACACAACAAAATGTTACCGAACTATAAATAGAAATTTAGCATAATATAAATAGACTAAATCGCAACAAATTAAAGAACAATAATTAATAAAAACTGAACACACCTCAAACGATCTTGCAGCAGATAAATATTCAAACATCAATAGAAATATTCTAACTTGAAATGATAACCCAAAAAGGGAAAGTCAAGAGTTGAGGAAAGAAACAAGAACATGCTATTGAAATCTTCTAACAAGTTTGGTTAGTGGATACATACTTTAACAATTTGGGAACATACATTAAAAAACTTACTTTGATATCTTTATCAGCAAAAACACCAAATTCTCCATCATTAATTTCTTTTATAAAAACAGAAGAAAATATAGCCTCATTGTCTTTGCACCATTCATAAAATGCGTTCCAGTTTTTGTTACGATCCCACTGTGGTGGGTTATAACCTACAATGAAACATAGTATCATATTATTACAGGCACACATGAAATAAATCTCTGAAACATATCTAACAAGTAAAAATAATGTCACTTCTAAAAGTTACAAGGAAAGACTGGATAGAAAAAGAAAGGTTGTACATTTTAGAAAAAGATGGCTAGATGAGGAAAAAAGGAGATCCGAAAAACGTGCAAATCAAAAATCGAAAGATAAATTCCAAAGATAGGAAAAAGTGGAGTTGTGTGGTAAAGGAGGGCAAGATTCTTCATGGACTGAAGAGCCGAGAAGTAACAATAAAAATATTTTGAAATAATAACTCCTATTTATAGACAATGCATTTTTGATAAACAATAAAACAAGTGGTTAACAACAAATACTAATATTCATAAAAATTTTCCAATTTACATCATGTATATAGAAAAGTCATTTTAAATTATTTTGAGTAAAAAAACAATAAAACAGATTATAATAGAATCAGGGTTGGCAAGTTTTTGACACATGACGGTTTTTACCGGTTTATAAAGTGAAAATTTGTTTTAGTTATTACATATTATAGATATATTGTTAAATATTATTATACATTAAAGATATAATGTTGCAAAAGGTGACATGTTTGCTATATTTAGAAAGAACTTTTTTTTTTTTGGCTCTCCTGTTTTGTGTTCTTTTGACTTGTTTATTACTCATGCTTCATAATCAATTACTTTTTGATTATGTGTAGCACAAGTCTTTTTAGCTTGATAAGCTAAAGCAATAATATATATATATGTGCTTATTACAAACACAAATATGATTAATACTTTTTAAGATGTTTTATCATAGTTTTCATTCGCTATCTCACAATTGAATTATACCATTTCTTATATTAAACCACAGTTCAAATCTGTGTTTGTTTTCCCNTAAGTATATTACAATATTTCTGTATGAATGTATATCCTTCTATAAGAATACATGTATATAGTTGCAAAATCAATAGCAATCATTTACAACATTCATTTATTAAGGCAATTAAGTGAAAATAATATATTGTCCGCTATATGCCATAAATTAAAGAAAACAGTAGGTTTTTGACGGTTTTTACCGGTAAAAACACGGTTTTTACCACTGTCATGTCAAAAACCAGTTTTTGATGGCAAAAACCCAACCCTGAATAGAATACATATTTATAACACTTACTTGCTTCAATATCTTGCACACTTTTTAAAAGTTCAAAAATGTTTTTCATCTCTTCCCATTCTGCTTGTCTATTTAATACTTTAGTATTAGTACATACTAGAAATGAAATGAAAGGTCTTAATAAATAGTTTATATAATAATATAATTATATGAATATTATTTTAAGATTATCATAGTATCTTTTCATTACAATACCTGTTCACAAAAATTGAAATTGAATAGTTATTTAACTTAGAACAAATTACAGAAAACTATATAGCTAATATACTCTATTTTTTCTTTAATTTCCATGTGACAATGGTCAGCATTTAAAAATTTGAGAATTATTTTGGGACTTATAAAGAAACTAAGAGCATCATTTTCTTTGCATTTAAAGAAGCAATATATTACAAACACTTGAAAATAAGTACTAATAACAACAATTTTTAAATAATAACAACAATTTATGTAAAAAAAGGATGTATTGACAATAAGGTTCCAAAAATGTTTCTAACAAAGCATTGATAGAATATTATATACTATAAAAAAAGAGGGATAATAATGGCATTAAATATTATGAAAACATCAATTTATTTTACTCCTTAACTTTAGTTATCAAACCGGCATATTATAAGTAATTTAGTAAGATACACATACAAATATAAAATAAAAATTATTAATAAATACGCATATCAATTCATAACTTACTATTCATTAATTTCTGGATTAAAGGAGTTAACTGGTCTTTAACCTGCCGAGGAATTTTCTTTTTGTCGGAAAACATTTTGATGCAGTCTGTAAAGAATACTAAAAGTAAAAATAATAATAAATTAAAGTTATTCAAAAAAGTGATAATGAAGGCATCATAAATATTAAAAAAAGAAAAAGCAAATTAGATAGTGAAATTCATAATGACTATGGTTTATACGGACGATGAACTTGTCTTGTAATATTATCCTTTCTCAAGTTTCAAACCAAAAAAAGGAAAACAAAACCACGTGATTGTACTGATTTTTTTTAGATTTCAAAATTTAAAGGGGGCAATTAAATTTAAAACTGATTACATACTTGATGATACGTAAGATAAACCTTAAAAGTTGAAAGATTTACTGTCGGAATTTCATTTAATTCCGAAAAAGTTTTATGTTTATTTATTTTAAGCACTTTTCCGGTTGCTTATTTTTGTTGAGCTCATGACTTGCTAAACACGGTAAAAATATTTAAAAATCAAACAAAGCTGCATCAATTTGTACAGAAATAGATAGCTGAAAACTACCCTAATAAACATTAAATGAAAGTAAACAAAAACTGCGGGTTTCATCAACTCTTTAAATCATCTCTTATTAGAAGACTGTCCTCTAAATTTGTGAATAACTTTCTAATTTTTGTTTACTATAAAAAATTGCTTGAAATATTTTTTAATATTTCATTATGATTATATTAACTTGTTGTTATGTATTTGAATAATTTTTCTTGTGTAGCCGATTGGACAATTTTTCGTCTCTAATGCTTTTAAATTCTTGAATAATGACTTAACTGTTTAAAACATTTCATAGCTTATCAACAAATATAATACTAAATTAAAAATTTTCGATTTTGAAAGTTTTCTAAATTTTATCTTTTAAAATTCTTTGTCTTTACAGAAAAAAAAATATGTCTATGCTAAATATTATCATCTTTTGTTTCTACTGTAAATTTAGTCTAAACAATTATTTTTCATGGTTAAATTAATTTTAGTTGTTATATGAATAATATTTTAGGTTTGTGTTTACAGTGTTTCATAAAATATTTAAAATGTATGTAAATCGATTTATTTTCTTAAAGTTACACCTTATTAAATAATTTCATAAGTCTCCGAAATTTTCTTTTAAAATTTATTTGTCCACAGTTAAGTTTTGTATTATTGCCTCGAAAATAAATTTATTTATGAATTTAAATATTAGACTGATGTATATCTGATATTCCTGTCATTGTGTTGAATTCTAATATTCAAAAATGATTTGAGTATCAGACTCGCTTTTTTATTGCAATAGGTATAAGTTTTAATTAGCAAAAGACTATATTAAAGTATCTATTGCCCTAAATATTGCAAATGGATTTAAAGAGTTTGTTGCTCATTAATCTTTTACTTTGTTATGTCGTATCTATATCATGAAATTTTCTGAAAAACTACTTTTAAGTTGCTATTTTTTTTTTAAATCTTTAATATTTACTTTAGGAGGTCTTGCATTTGCCTGCACCAAAAAAAGTTGCTACGCTTTGAAAGCAACCAGGGCTAATATAGGAGTAAGTCAAATTTTTGTAACTACCTCTACACAAACCTTTATCTATATGTATGTTTTTTTGATATTATTGCAAGTATCACTTAATGGCACTTCAGAACTTACTTTTCTACTAATCACTTGATTTGTATTCAATGCTGTTTTAAACTTATATAAATAAGTGCCAGATTGATGTTTTTATATATATGTCATAAGCGAGACAACAGCCTCTATGTTATCCTGCCAGATGTCACTCGTCTGAAGGAAATGTATAGAACTTTCTCGATGTAAATGAAGAGAGAGTCAGTTGGAATTGTCTGTCCGAGTAGTTTCTAAGTGAAACGGGTAACCTTAGTGGTTAAGAGTCTATATGACTATGTTATTAGTTATTTGAAGTTTGTTTCTGTGTGAAACTTGGAACCTGTGTGGTTCGAACCTGTGTAACTAAATGTTTCCGTGTGAAACTTGGAACCTGTGTGGTTCGATCTTTATTGTTTAAGAGTCTGTGTGACTCATATTATTATTAAAGAATAAGCATAATCATTAAATGCCGTGATTGACTTTATTAATGGTAACCGAGGCATTTACAAATGGTGTCACAATCTACCCCGCCAAGTGAGTACAGAATTTTCTTTTTTTCTGTATCTTAAAGAATAAAATAATGACTTTTCTGTCGAGAGCTCGAAAGGAGGACTTGATTAAATTAGCTGAGGAATTAACTGTTGATGTGCCCCCTACAGCAAAAATTATAGAAATAATTAAATTTATAACTTCATGTAAAGAATATAACGAGGAGGTAACGAAAAACCTCTTAGAAACAATTGTTTCGGAAAGACTAGAAAAAGCCGCTAATGAAAAAGAAAGATTAGCGCAAGAAATTCAACTTGAGAAGTTAAAATCAGATAATTTAAATAAACAGAATGGAACTCATGTAACTACCACAGACACATTTAAACCTAGTGATCTATCTAAATTAATCAAAAGTTTTGATGCTAATGAAACAGATATAAGCACATATTTGTTATTGTTTGAAAGACAAGCTACGAGAATAAACATAGATAAAAAAGAATTCGTTACTTATTTAATGGGACTTTTACCGCTTAGTATCGTCCAAATTATAGCTCAAGAGCCAGAAGAATCCCCTTCGAACTATGATTACGTAAAAACTTTGTTATTGAAACGTTTTAAACTTTCCCCGGAACAATTTAGCAAAAATTTATTTACCATACAAAAGAACTGAATGTTTCTTGGCGAGATTTCGCTTATGAACTACAACATTATTTCGAAGAATGGATAACTAGCATCAAAATTACGGATTTTAAAAGTCTTAAAGAGCTAATGATAGTGGATCATTTGAAACGAAGACTGCCATCGGAAATTCGTGATCATTTTATAGATGATTTACATAAGACCATTGTACTGAAACCTTTCATAGAGCAATTAGAAACATATGAAACTGCAAGATTCCGAGTAAACAAAATTGATAATAAATTTAAAAACTACCTCCCACCAAAACAAAACAAAGATCTCTCAGCTTCCTCTCAAGCTCCAGCTTTCAATATCAATGCATCATGTTTTTACTCAACCAAAAATAAATTGTTGAATATGAAATGTTATTCTTGTAATAAGTACGGTACGGCCATATAAGTAGAAATTGTGATAAAAATGTGGTTAAATGTAGACATTGTCATAAAATTGGCCATAAAAGCAATGAATGCGCAGAAAAGAAAGTACTTCATCACAGTGTTCAAAATACAAGAATTTTGAAACAAATATTCTTTTTAATTATGAAATTTCAGCAGTTTGTGACACTGGTTCAGAAATTAGTATGTGTAGCCCTGCACTCTTTCAAAATTTAGGGTATATTTCTCTTAAACCCCAGCTATTGTTGTAACAGGTATCAGTTCAGAACAAATTTCCCCCCTTGGATATTTTAATGCCGATGTAAGCATTGATAATTTTGTTTTAAATGCTAATATTTATGTAGTAGAAAACATGCAATTTGATTTTATTTTGGGAATGGATATTTTAAGTTGCTTAGACATTCATTTTTTTAACGGTCAACTCACTGTTTGAAATTCGAGCATACCAAAAGTAGTAAATATAAATCGCATAATTCCTTGCGAAAGTAAAAACATTCATTTTATTCCCCACCAAAGCGGAAATCAAAACGCAAACATTTCTTTCACGGCTCCGTTCAAGGTTAGCAATAATACACAGTCACCCACTCCTATGTTAATTTTTGATCAAAGAAAGTCTCACTTTTCTGATTCTGTTTTGACTTCGAAAAATTCGAATATTAATAAGGTTTCACCCTATGAAACTGAAACTTTAGTAAAATCAGTCACAGCATCTCCTTTCAAGGCTAGTGTAATACCCAGATGCGATTCTTTAATTTATGATAAACAAATCGCTCCACTTTCAAATTGTTTTTATTCTTCGGATACTCTTCAGTCAAATAAATATTCAAATAATTTGGAAGCTTTTTCTTTCTTAACTCAGATCTCAAATGTCATTGATCACAATGAATTCGATTTATCGCATATACCGAATAAGAAATTAAAGCAAGATTTAACTCTTTTGATTAATAATTATAAACCGTCTCAGATTAAATCCTCGGACATTAAAATGAATATTATTTTAAAGGATGAAATTCCCATTTCCCAACATGCTCGTCGTTTGTCATTTAAAGAGCGGGAAATAGTTGAAAAACAAATAGACACCTGGTTAAAAGATGGTGTTATTCGTGAAAGTTGTTCAGAATTTTGTGCGCCTATAGTTCTTTGCAAAAAGAAAGATAATTCCACGCGAGTTTGCATCGAGTATAGGAAATTAAATTAAAAATTTGTTCGAGATCGATTTCCCTTACCCCTTATGGAGGACATATTAGACCAATTAGGCGATGCACAGGTAATTTCTTATATTGATTTAAAAGCAACCTTTCACCATTGTGAAATTGATTAAAATAGCCGTAAATACGCATCTTTTATTACGCATAATGGCCAATATGAATTTTTACGGGTACCAATTGGTTTGGCTAACAGTCCCAGTGTTTTTCAGAGATATATTTTACATGTTTTTAGAGAATTAATTAAAGATAAAACTTTAGTTATTTATTTAGATGACATTTTCATTCCAGCAAAAAATGATGAGGAAGGTTTTGAAAAATTAAAACGTGTTTTAAAAACAGCTGCTAATAACGGATTGGAATTAAATTTTAAGAAATGTCAATTTTTAAAACGTTCTATAGAATGTCTCGGTTACATAATTGAAAATGGCACGATTCGCCCTTCACCCTCTAAAACTTTAGCAGTTAAAAATTTCCCGGAACCTAAAACACATAAACAATTAATGAGTTTCCTTGGATTAACAGGATATTTCCGTAAATTTATCCCAAATTATAGTAAAATAGCTAAACCTCTCAGTGATTTGCTCAGAAATAATACTGATTTTAAATTCGATAATGAACAAAAAGAAGCTTTTCAAAAGCTCAAGATAGCCTTAACGAATGACCCAGTTCTTCATTTATATAGACAAAATTCTGAATTAGAGCTCCACACAGATGCTAGTAGCTTTGGTTTCGGAGCAGTTCTTCTTCAAAAAGCAGACAATGGTAAATTTTATCCAATCCATTATTTTAGTAAAAAAACGTCCCAACAACAAGAGAAATATAGTAGCTATGAGTTAGAAACACTTGCCATAGTTGAAGCGCTTAAAAAATTTCGAATTTATTTGTTAGGTGTAAAGTTTAAAATTATAACCGATTGCGCTGCTTTGCAAAGCACAATGAGTAAAAAAGAAATTATCCCTAAAATTGGGCGTTGTATCTTGAGGAGTTTCATTTCGATATGATGCATCGGCCTGCTACACAAATGAAGCATGTTGATGCCTTAAGCAGAAATGTTGCTCTTTTAATTCAGCATGATGAGGTAACCATGAAAATAGCAGCTGCCCAAAAAGAGGATGAGCAAATAAACACAATTAAAACATTAATTTCCAATGGAAATGATAATATACACTTTATTAAAAATGACATTCTTTATCGATACGATAATGGTAGAGAGCTTTTAGTAATACCAGACGCGATGCAAAATGATGTCATTAAAGAAGTTCATAGTAAGGGACATTACGCACTCACTAAAACTGAAGAAGCTGTTAAACAAAATTATTATATTCCTGGTCTAAAAGCAAAAATACAATCTGTCCTAACAAACTGTGTTGATTGCATTCTATGCAACCGAAAGCGAGGAAAGAAAGAAGGTTTCTTGCACCCGATTCCTAAAGAAGATGTACCTTTAAGTACATACCACATTGACTTTATAGGTCCATTGCCTTCAACAAAAAAGAAATATCAGCGCATTTTTTCTGTGATTGATGGTTTTTCGAAATTTGTATGGCTTTACCCCGTCAAAAATGTAACTGCTCAAGCTGCGTTAGAGAAATTGCGGTTACAACAGACAACTTTTGGTAATCCCTCCAGAATTATATCAGACCGTGGTGGTGCATATGTGTCTAAAGAATTTGAGGACTATTGTCAAGAAGAAGATATTCAACATATTCTTATTACTGCTGGAGTACCTCATGGAAATGGTCAAGTAGAGAGATTGCATGAAACTCTTATCCCTATTCTCACAAAGTTATCCATCGATAATCCAATGGACTGGTATAAACACGTAAACGATGTACAAAGATTTATAAATAGTACAATTTCCACCAGTACAAACAAAACGCCTTTTCAACTTATGATAGGAATACCCATGAAAAACAAAGAAGATTTACGGATTAAAGAAATTTTAACAGACGAATATGAAAACTACTTTATGAAACAACGAGAAGATCTTAGAAGTGATGCACAACAATGATTTATGGAAATTCAAGAGAAGAATAAATCTACCCGTAACAGAAAGTGTAAACAACCCCACAAGTACAGAAAAGATGACTTAGTGGCGATTCAAAGAACACAATTTGGAACTGGTTTAAAATTGCGTCCCAAGTTTCATGGTCCTTACAAGATTGTTAAAGTGAAATCCAATGATCGATACGAAGTAGAAAAAGTTGGGCAAAAATTTGTTGGTATTTGTTATGTATACTGCTTTGTTTTTTCCCTCTTTTCAGATTTTTTTAGTCATTCTGTTTCCAGGACGAAACTCGTCAAAATAGCCGAGAATGTAATAAGCGAATACAGCCTCTATGTTATCCCGCCAGATGTCGCTCGTCTGAAGGAAATGTATCAAACTTTCTCGATGTAAATGAAGAGAGAGTCAGTTAGAATTGTCTGTCCGAGTAGTTTCTAAGTGAAACGGGTAACCTTAGTGGTTAAAAGTCTATATGACTATGTTATTAGTTATTTGAAGTTTGTTTCTGTGTGAAACTTGGAACCTGTGTGGTTTGAACCTGTGTAACTAAATGTTTCCGTGTGAAACTTGGAACCTGTGTGGTTCGATCTTTATTGTTTAAGAGTCTGTGTGACTCATATTATTATTAAAGAATAAGCATAATCATTAAATGTCGTGATTGACTTTATTAATGGTAACCGAGGCATTTACATATATATATAGCTGAATACCTGTTTTGCATACTGTGAGAAAAGTAAATAATTAATAATTTGGTATTAATACTGAAAGAAATCGTGTACAAACTGAAAGGGATATACCTACACAATTTAAATTTATCCTAATTATTAATTTATTATTGTTTGAACTTCCCAGTGACTTTACGTTATTAGATTAAACACATTTAAAAGTTCATCCGATAAAAGTTAACTACATTCGGTATCATTTGCATGATGGGGTCAACTCATGATAGTCAAAATTTACTATAATCAATTTTTCCCTGGTAGTTATTCTTTTCAATTGTCAGTAGTAAACCTTTTACCGTAGTACCCATATTGAATGCTATATATATTTTTATCTACATATACCATAATCAATTTTTCCCTGGTAGTTTACCTTTTCAATGGTCTGTAGGAAACCTTTTACCTCTGTACCAATATATTGAATGCTATATATTTTTTATCTGCATACAGTACTGTGTATATTTTTTATCTGTATAAATAGCACCTATTACCACAAAAACAGTAATATTAATTACCAAAATTAATTAAGCATCAATAATAGTATGGCGATTTTTTACGGTACCTAAAACAAATAGATACCTTTTCTCTATTAGTTTTCAATTTTAGTGTATTACTTTTTTAATTTTGGATATAATTGATTTTTGATTATTTAGTTTTGCTTAAAAAAGATAACTCTGAATAAAATAGACTGGTAGTGTCACATAACTTTAAAAAAATAGATTTGTTGATATAATCCAAATATGCTACCTCATTCATTTTAATCATTGAGCTTGTCTGCCTTCACTAATGAAAAATAACTAAATATTAAATAGCATGCAATAAACTTCTTTTTGATTAAATAAAGCTATAAGCTAGCTGTTGTGATGTCAGTAGCAGGGTTGGCAGGTTTTTGACATGTGACAGTTTTTGACAGTTTAAACCATGGTTTAAACCGTCACGTCAAAAACCTCACTGTCAAAAATGTCGAAAATGTCAAAAACCTATATTCATATGTGAAATTTAATTAATACATAAAATTTATATATTTTTTATAAAGGATAGTGTTTCTAAATATGTTCTAGAAAAAATAAATTTAAAATTTTGAAGAAACACTTATATTTTGAATAGTAACCAAAATCTTGTACTTTTGAAAGCTCACATCTTTTGTAATATTATGTATTCATTTTCATGTGTTATTGAAAATCTGCAGTGATATTATTAAGAAATTTATTTATAACCAAATTTAGTGTATAGTATAGATTATACTAAAAATTAGACATTTTTAAAGATAAACATTAGCAGTTTTGTACATTAGACATCTTTTAAAGAAAAATCTTTTTAATATTCTTTTAAATCTTCTTAATAATCTTTTTAACATAAGACAATACAAATTTAAGTGCTTTCTGTTAAATACACAGAGTAGTTAGTGTCGATTTACAGTATATTCAGCCTATTCATTTACTATGCTGAAAATTTAGTTTATCCAAATACTTGTGAATTTCATTTTGCTGAATACTATATACATAGTTTTGTTGAATATCTAAATATTCAGCTGTTGAATAATTACTTCTTGCTTTCAAGATATGCATTATTTGTATTCTTAATACAAGTGGGGGAAAAAAATTAAGAGGTAAAAATTGTTTTAAAATGATAAGTGTAATAATTATAAATAAATATAATAAACAATATGAATTATATTTATCATTATTCACAAATATAACTACTTTTAAATTCAAATTAACATACTGGATAATAAAGATATTCGGTATAACATTAAAATTTTTTTTCATACACTTGTATCAAGTTTGTATTTATACAACATAACTTGTAAGTTCCTTATAAATATTAGTTATATGTTCCTTATATGTCAAAAATGCATAGTAATAAACTTTTAATTTTCTTAAGTATCAAAAAAAGAAAAAAAATTTTTTTAAATATAAATATTTAAACAATTTTTGTGCAAAATTTTTCTGCACATGCATTTGAATATAAATTTCTGAGATTTTAAATCTGTTATTTTACCTTAATTTTAATTAAAAAATATTTTAAAACCTGCTGATTACCTATAGTATAATTAAATTTCAATATAATGCATGGCAACTGTTGGTAGTTTTGAAGTTTATATATTTTCTTGGCAAACTTCAGTTTTTGACATTTTTGACGGTTTAAACCAGTATTATACCCTTGTCATGTCAAAAACCACTTTTTGACGTCAAAAACCCAACCCTGGTCAGTAGACACCACTTTCCGTCATCATTTTATTTGTCAAAAGCAAGTTACATTAGCCGTTAGGCCATTAAACTTCTTGCTTGAAATATAAAAGAAAAATGTCAGTGCTTCACACTTGTCCAAATGTTTTGCCGTCCTCTATCACATATAACACACAAATGTGAAACTTTCCGTCATCATTAACAAATCAATGACGACAGTCTTTAGTTAAGGAACAATAATTTAATAATTTTAAAATAATTTTGGGAGCTGCCTCTCGATCCAGAGAGCATATAAGGACTTAATATTTTTTTCTGTTCATTGCTAATCTTCTGTTACCTAATTGCTAGAATGTTATTTTGTTAAACATATATGTTTTTGTTCGTTTATTAAACATGCTTATAAGTTATCATGATTCTTCATTGGAATACCTCGTCAAAGATGCGCACAATTTAACACATTAGCTAGCAAAAAAAGAATCCTCTTAATTTGATTTTAAACATGACTAATACTATAACGATAAGAAAGATTTATTTTCCAAACATCTCTTCAAAAGGATTGAATTGAACAGAACACAACTCTTCTTATAGATATCCTACTTAATATTTACATAGATGAAACTCTTTAATTTCTTTTTCTGAGGCTATTTTTTCCTAAAAACCTATTTTACTTTTTTTTCCTCTTTTATGTGGATATTATACTTTTTCTTCTGTTTTTTTAATATTTTTATAACATGCCTAATAATTTCAAATGAAAATTTATTAGCATTGAAGTTCTTTTTAGCATTGTTTTATATATTTTACGTCATACTCATTCTCAAATTATTTTATGCTTTCAGATGTCTTTTCCCGATAAAGAAAAAAGGCAGCAATGCTGGTCTTCTCGAGATTTATTCTGGGAATGTTTAGATAAAAATAATGATGATCAAAAATGTTGTACAGAAGAAAAAAAATATTATGAAAAAGATTGTCCAAAACTTTGGGTAAATTTTTTTATTACAAAAATTATTGCTCAATTTTATTAATTTTTTTTATTTATTTTAGTAAATAATTTTTTTAGATATTTGTATAAATTGTTTTACCATCAATGTTAAAGTTTATCTGATGATGATTCCTAAAATTTAATTAAACCAGGTATCCGGCAAAAGCTAGATTTTTTTAAAGCTTGATTCCAGGTAGTAGTTGACAAAAAATGGATTTACTCTTTAACCAGTTCAAGGTAGGATAAATGAACATCCTACAGGGTACAAGGAACATATTAGTTTTTATACAAAAAAATCAAAAGAAAAAAAATCATATTTTTAGTGGAACAAATATTTTACAACATATAGTTCAATTTGTCCATCAAAATAAAAACTTTATTTATTTAACATATCGCTTTGTTTTAAATTACATTCTACAAAAGTTTATTTAGGGTAGCCAATGGCAAAAGACTGCTCTTGAAACCTCTTCTCCATAATTTATTCAATCTTCATTAAACTTATTTAGAATTTTGATAGAGTTAATTGCTAAGAATTGTATCTTTAAAATTTATTAAAAGCAAAAAGAGGTTTAATTTATTATAAGTTTTAAGTGTAACGTATTTTTAATTATGGATCATTAGTAATTTAACTCATTTATTAGGATTCAATTAACTAAACACAGAGCAGGATCTTCCATTAGACGATGCTAGGCAACGCTTAGAGGAGCCGGAGAAAAATATAAATTAATGATTTACAGAAAAATATTTTTAAAAATTTATATATATAGAGATATTTAGGTATTAAAACTTTTTTGTAAATTTCTTTTTAAATGATACAATAAATTCATTGATCTTACTTTTCCAGTTTGAAATCTTTTTCACTCTTTAAGTGAAATGTTAGCCTTCTTGAGTGGTTAACTTTTGGGTTAAAATATGTGATTTTACCATTTATCTGAACGTGTGTTATTCATCAAAAATGGCTACACAGAGCCAGATAATTATTTTAAATATATTTTTCACCTTAACTGTATTATTTTTAAGGATACTTTTATATATATAAACATAAAAAACATGTTGCATAACTACCAATTATTATTTTATTAGTTTCCTACTTCTTATTTAAAATTATATTTATTTTGCCCAAATTATTCTCTTTTCTTTTTTATCTCACTCAAGTTATGTCCATTTTCTTTCGGACCACTGGGGACATTTTATTGAGTATCCACTATATACATACGTAATCATCTAGTTTTACCTGATGCGGTTGATTGTTCCTGTATAAACAATAATGACATATTTGTCTCTTACTTTTTCAGATGAAACCATTACCTGAAAATTCTGTCAATGCTAAATAATAAAAAAATTTCACCTCTTTGTCAACAAAGTATCAATGTCTTGAACTGAACAATTTTATCTGGAATCTTTTAATTTTTAATCATGACTCAATTAGCTAAAAAATATGTGATTAGAATGTTTAACACCTACTCATTTATATGAAACCGGTTATAGAAAAATTCAGCATTATTCAACTTTAAGGTAAATAAATTTTGTTCACTATATAATTAGAGCTGCTCAATCGGTTTTTGGTTTCAATGTTATTCAATATCTGTAATTAACGATAAGTGTCTGATGGCATTACACTTTTACTGGTTGTATCTTACTGAATTAGAATAAACTCAAATGTAATGTCTCTAACGATTTTAAAGCAGGAAAATCTAAGTACAAGAGCGTGATTATTATTATTATTTTAAAAAAAGGGGTATTGTATATATTTTTTCTCGTTTTTTTATTTAATACAAGAATGAGAATTCATAAGTGAGAAGGAACAAAAATGGTTTTTAAACTCTGACCACACTATTAATGTCAAGAAAAACAGAATGGTGACTAAGCTTATCTAAAATCCGTTTATTTTTCGATTAGCATAAAGCGAATGTACTTTAGTCCAATTGGGTACTTGCACTTTAATGACTAATAATATCAGCACCAGCTGATTGTTAATAAACAAAGTGGAATGTTAATGCTGAACTTAGTTTCTCCACATAAGTTAACATGTTTATTAATATGAAGTTAATTTAATACAGTGTTGTATCGGAAATCAAATTTGTGGAAGTATAATTCTTTCTCGTGTATGTCCTTTACTTAACTTAGATTTATTATTTGTTTATGTATTTTATAGTAGCTGTGAAATATTTTTATTTGTGTAAGAAATATATAGTGAGAGAATTGAAATATTTTTATTTGTGTAAGAAATATATAGTGAGAGAATTGAAATATTTGTGTAAGAATATAGAATGTGTCACTTAAGAGAATTGATACTCGACAAGCTTGTCTTACTCAAAGCAGAATGGAAAGAGCAGTTGCTAACGTTTACAAATGCCACATTTCAACAACTAATCAGGATCAAGATACTCACACTACATCACTTGCAGGCTTCTTATTAAAAAAATTGACTGAGAATTTTAATTTATTCTACGCTTATCCTAACCTCTATAATTGTTACTCAGAATTTGGAAACATGTTTTTCAATTTAAATTTGTATGCACAATTTTTATATTTTTTACGAATTTTATAAATATATATGTATATATATTAATCGGGTTCCTTACAGAAACACATTGTATGTACAGTATTTCTTACTCTAAGTTTCTTATATCGCAAAAATTTTGTAGTTTATTTTTTTAATTTTTCCTAACCTTTTTTTTTTTTAATTAAAACCTTTTTTTTTTATTTCAAAAATTTTACATAACTTATATGTATCTCATTACTGTATCAAAAACCTATTTTAACTTTTAATAAAAAAATTTCTGAGTTTCAAAACATTAAATAAGAAATTATTAATTTTTGATCTAAAAAAAAAAACTAGAATTTTAGCAACAAAAAAAAGTTTTTTTAAAAAATATATGTATAATTTTTTGTTTTTTATTAGGTAGTCAAATGGTCCTAATGTGCACTGCACACCGTCTTAGTCATTTTCATCTTTAAAAAGCATGTTAGAAAAAAGAAGAAGACTTTGACAAGTTTTTGAAAAAATTTCTTTGTTACCCTTTGTCTCTGTCCTAAGTTTATTACTGGATGCTGACAGGGCCGGCCCCAGGGTAGGGCGATCCGGGCTTCCGCCCGGAGCGCAATGATCTATGGGCGCCAAAATGATAGTTGACAAGATTGAGAGGCGGCAGGCGGAATTTATCATTTTTATTTCTAAGCACATAATTCAAATAATATAGTATATTTAAACATTAAGGCAAAATCTAGTTGAATTCAATTCAACATGACAAAACCACTCAACCACCGCCTTTCAAGAATTGACAAGTTTTGCGGCCTGTGGCAACATGGCTGTACGGGAAACAACAATTTTGAAACCAAGCGAAACAAGATCTAACAGCCCTTTTTCACTGTTTATAAAAAGGAAGTAGACTTTAAACAATGCATTATTTGCCACTACAAGAAACATTACAAGAAAAGGCTTAGAAGTGGAGAAGAGGTTTTAAGAGAATGGATGGTATATTCCGTATTTCAAAACGCGTTGTACTGTTTTCCATATCGACTTTTTGCTGCACCATCTAGCTTGAGCGCTCTTGGCAATCAGGGATTTAAAGACTGGAAGCATTTAGGGAACTCTTTAGCACATCATGAAAATGCTAAAACTCATATAGATTGTTTGAAATCATGGCTTGAATTGAAGCAAAGATTGAAAATAGGTGAAACAATAGATGCAGTTTCTCAGAGACTCATTGATTCTGAGATAAATCACAGGTCTGAAGTTCTTTTACGCATTATATCAGTCGTTAAAATGCTAGGCTAGAGAGCTCTCTAGCTTTTCGAGGAACAAGCGATAAACTGTATGAACACCATAATGGAAACTTTTTGAAGTTAATTCAGTTATTGGCTGAGTTTGATCCAAAAATAGAGGAACACGTTCGCAGAGTCCTCAATAAAGAAGAAATCAAAGCTACATATCTGGGGAAAACTATACAAAATGAAAAAATTGAATTATTGCATGACAACATAAAGCACCACATCAATGAGCAAGTTCAAAAGGCCAAGTATTATTCCGTGATTCTTGACTGTACTCCCGATGCAAGTAAAGTAGAACAGATGACATTTGTGGTAAGATTTGTCTCCATATAGGAATCAGAGTCTGAAGTTTAAGTTAATATCAACGAACATTTTTTGGGTTTTCTACCCATTGAGAGATCAACAGCTAAGGAATTGTCGGAGGTTTTACTAGAAGAGCTAGAGAAAAATAGGCTTAAAGTAGAAAACATGCGTGGTCAAGGGTATGACAATGGTTCCAATATGAGAGGAGAAAAATCAGGAGTACAAACAAGAATCAGAAATATAAACCCCAGAGCATTTTATGTTCCATGCAGCAGCCATTCGCTAAATTTGGTTGTAAACGTTATGGCAAAATCCTCGTTTGAAGCAGCCAACTTCTTCAATATTGTTCAAAAATTATGTACATTTTTTTCTTCCTCTTCTTTTCGCTGGGCAATATTACGGAAATATATTGATACTTACACCCTAAAACCATTGCGTGATACGTGATGGGAAAGTTCAGTCAACNAGTTCAAGATGAGCGTACGATGACGTATACTATCAAACTCACAAATGGACCAATCAGAGGTTAGCGCTGATTTCCAGCTGACGGCGTCCTGTCCTAAGAAACCAGCACCTTAAAACCATTGCGTGATACGCGATGGGAAAGTTCAGTCAACTCATTAAAAGCTCTGCGGCTTCAAATTGGTTCAATTCACGATGCTTTGTAACAGCATATATGAAGATTCAGAAATCGATAATATGATCAGAGACGAGGCTAGCGGATTATTAAATAGTTTGAAGCAGTTCAAATTTATACGCTCTGTTGTGATCTGGTACAAAATTTTGAGTCATATTAACCCCATCAGCAAACTTTTGCAAACTGTAAATTTTGTTATGTCACAAGCTATTGATATGTTTAGCAACTGCAAACTCTTCTTTGAAAACCTGAGATCAGATGAAACTTTTGAAAGCATCATTTTAGAAGCAACCGAGCTTGCTTCAGAGATTGACGTGGAAGTTAATTTCGAAACCACCACACCACGTCATCGTGTCAGAAGCAAAACTAAGAACGTTTTTGTATGAGGGCCCGGATGAACCCGTTCAAGACCTCAAACAAAAATATAAAATAGATTTTTTTTCACACTATAGATCAAGCAATAAATGCCTTGGAAACCAGATATAATTAGCTAAATACTCACAGTAATTATTTCAGCTTTTTGTATAATATTTTTGGTCTAAAAGACATGCCCAGAAATGAGCTACTGGCTCATTGCAAAGATTTGGAAGTAGTTTTAACTGATGGAAATTCAAGCGATCTTAACGCCCTGGAACTAGCTGATGAAATAAGCATTGTTTCGTCATTATTAACAAAAAAGGAAACCCCTGTTGAAGTTCTCAAGTTTATCGCTACACTTAAATTAGCACCAAACCTCAGCATAGCATTAAGAATCCTACTTACATTGCCAGTCACTGTGGCTTCAGGGGAAAGAAGCTTTTCAAAACAAAAAATAATAAAAAATTATCTGAGAACAGTGCAGACGCAAAATCGTCTCAATGGATTGGCAATGATAGCTATAGAACACCAAATTAGTGACAAATTAGACTTGAAATCACTGGTTCTTGAGTTTGCCGAAAGAAAAGTTAGAAAAAGGGCATTTTAATTACCTTGGTTAATTAGAATTTATTTATAATATAGGATATTAGTTTAGTTAGCATTACTACACTTTAATTTTTGTTATTTTCCCTTAAGTGCTAAATTGCTTATCTTGTTATCTGATGATTGAGTTTTTAATAAAACGTTTTTTTTNGTTTTTAATAATGCTTTTTTTCAATGTTTTCTTGATTTTCTGATATAGTCGCGTGAGATTTACTTAAAAGGAAACGAGGGGGGGGGGGGGAGCAAAATTAAGGTTTTGCCCGGAGCGCCAAAATGTCTAGGGCCTGCCCTGATGCTGTGATACAAGTTTCTTTTTCCAAACATAAACTACATGCATCATTTGTTGCAAGGAGATGATAAAAACTAAGAATATAATTAATATTAATTGTTGCAGATTATCATTAATAATTATCAAGTCTCTTAAAATCAATAATCTATCAGAATTTATCGCATTTACCAGTTATTATTAAAAATTTCCAGTGAAGTTTGGGCAATGTTATAATTTTCAACTTATTTGGCTAGAAATTTCCGATATGAATTTAAATGGTAAATTCCCGCACATACAGTTAGATAATATCAGTTGTTTGTTTACCTGGATGTAGACCAATGAACATTTTGCGTTGTTTATTTATAGTATAAATACTTTGTACTAGAAGATTTTGTATCTTTTTTTTAAAGCGCTTAACCATGAAAAAAAAACAGATATACCGGGCAATGGCACTTTACCTGGGGAAAAAAATATCAGTGTAGGGTATATCGGGCAGTAGCATTTAACTTTTGATATTAAAAAAATTAAACTTTTAAAGCTATCATTTTAAATAACACAAGTAAAAATCCGTATGTTTAGTTCATCTTTGTTATTTTTACCTGACTTGTCTATGTCATGTCGTCATCAAAGCAATTTAGGGATTTGATCAAATCACTAACTTTCTTTAGAGAAATGACTCCATCAAATTGTAATTTTAACATCTTTTATGAACTGATCATCTCCCTTAAGGATCCATTTTCATAATTTTCCTGCAATATAAAATTTTTTTTCTTTTTGCAGGTTCAACACTTTAATAGAAAGAGAGAATATTTGAAGTTCAAAGAAAAGCTTTACTCTTCTACTGATCCTGTTGAAGAATTGAAAAAATCATGACACAACTGAATTTTAGCACCTAACGGAAAGATTAAATTATAGCATTTGAAATGTTATTCAAGACATAATGCTTCGCAATTGTAAATTCTGTCTTGTAATAGAATGAATTTTGTCTGACTTGTTATTCAACTATTGTTAATGTTATACTGACCAATCGAATAGTTGTAATTTGACACATCTTGCCAAAGAGATAATTTTAAAACTTATTGAAAGAGGAAAAAAGTCTTTTGTTTTAAATTAATGTCAATTTAATTCTGTCCAAACTTATCCTCTTTATGCTTTTGAGAACATTAAAAAAAAAATGATCCAAAAATTCAAAAGGCTCCCTGAATATCTTGTTTTAGCCTACTGTCTTTAGGTGCAGATCTTTCCCCATTGATATTCTATATCAATTAAATATGTAATGAAACGAGTTGGAAAATAAGCGTAGGATTTCGTTTCTTTTATATGTGAGGCTCAGATAAGTGCAATAGAAGTTGTATTCTCAGTGAGCATTCTAAGGACACGACCAATCAAAAATTACTTACTAATAACCACTGTGATCGAACTTGTCAGTTGAATACCAATTTCTACAACATTTCTAAGTTTTAGGCTCATCTTGTATCATTAAAAAAGGACAGTTGACAGAACAGATATAGAAACAGTTAAATTTTAACTTTTGAGTCTGCTTGTGCCAAATTTATTAATAGGCACAGAAACTTATTAGATGTGCAGACTAAAAATTTGTATATGATAAACAAAATTTTTTTTTTTTTATAAATGAGACATTGGCTCTACAAGGTTTATTTAAACACACGAAAAGATTAATTGAAGAAGATTTTAAGTGACATTTTGGGAAAATATTAATTTCTCTGGGTAAGATTTAGTGTAAGTGTACACAGTTAATCTTCAAATATTTTCGGTGTTTCATGTGCATTTCATGAACCCTCAAGAAGTAACATCAAAAGCCATTTTTTTGGTAACAAATGCAAACACCAATAATTTATGCTTTTACATTAACAGACTTAAGAGTATTAAAAATTATTGACTGCATCAAACGGAAACATGTAGACAAAATATANGTTTTTGACATGACAGTGGTAAAAACCGTCAAAAACCTACTGTTTTCTTTAATTCATGGCATATAGTGGACAATATATTATTTTCACATAATTGTCTTTATAAATGAGTGTTGTAAATGATTGCTATTGATTTTGCTACTATATACATGTATTCTTATTGAAGGATATATATTCATATAGAAATGTTGTAATATACTTATTGAAAATAGTGCTACTTACTTTTATCATTACAGCTTGATTTGCAAAGGATTCAAAATTTTGCACTTCTTAATTGTTAGAAATAAAAAAACAAGCAAACANTATAGTTGATGTGCCATGGCTCATGATTATCTCTTTGCCTGGATTATCAATCAAGAGAAAATTTCAGTTAAAGCTAATTCATAGCATTATATGCAAATGAAAAAAAAAACACACCCAGGATTTTTTTAAATCCAAAATACGAGAAACCAAAAAAAAAAACTTTAAAATTTATTTTTTTTGTTGCTTTTAGTGTTATGCTTTGAAGATTTCTGAAAAATTGGCATATCCTTTGAATTGAATCTTGTTCCCAAATTCATTACATTTGCAAAAAAACACTTTAATAAGAACAACATTTCTGTTATGTGTTTGTTTACTATGTTTTTAAATAACCTAATATATTTTTCCCCTGAGGTGCATGCTTTTCAATAATCAAATGTTTTGAAATAACCAAAATAATTTTTTACCTTGAGATGCATGCTTTATCTAGTGCTTTTTACATTACCCAGGTTAACTCTTTTTTTAAAAAAAAAAAAATAAATTTTGTTGCATATTGACTGAAAATTTGCTTGTTAAGCATTTGGCTTATGAAAGCAGTATTGTATTCAGTTAAAAAGCTAGTGAACGAATTGATAGATTAAAATTTGAAAATGAATAAAGTTTAATCTTATTTTAATAGTCATAAAATTACGGGAACTGGTTTTAAATGGTTCATATTGTGACCCTCCCCTTTTTTTCTGTTTGATAAACATGCCTGGGACTGATGGGCAATTTAATGACCCAAGGACTCCAAAATTTTAAACGCTTACCATATTAACTCCTAGTGAAAAATTAGATAAAAGTTTTGTCCCATTTAGGAAAAAACAATGTTTATAAAAGAAACTTAAATTTAACTGTTATAATATAATGTATATTTTAAGCAAAAGATAATCATTCCTGTCCTTTTAAAGATTTCTTAAAATGTTTTTTTTTTTTTTTTTTAAGAAAATTAGTATTTACAAACTTATATTGTCCCAGTCACCCTGAAAAGTTTACTTGTTTCATATCATAGGTGATTGCAGATAGTTTGTTAAAAGGCCAAATTTCAACTGGAGTTGCTTAAAAAAAAATAGATAATTAATAGAATCAGAAAATCAGGATGAGCAGTTAAAAAAAGTTTACCTAAAGTCATTCTAGTAAGATACATTTAATTGAATAGTGATGCAATATTAATAAAAAAAAAACATCAAACGAAGGACTCGGGAGGGAGGGGGTTGCAGTTCCAGTCCTAATACAGACATGCCACAGCAGTTTTATAAAAAAGTTGAACAGGTTTTCACAATTAAAACTTAAACTATAATGAAAATTACAAAACGATTATATTAAATAAAAAAAGTTTTTTTTATAAACTTATTCAATATTAATAAGTTCACTTCAAATAAGATTTTTCTTTGTTTCAAATTGTCATTATTCCTTAAAATCTCAATTAGAACCCAACTGAAGATATAGTATTTTTTTTCCATTGAAAATCAAAATCCACCTTAATATTTTTAATTAGTGCTCGGCAAGTTTTGATTTTTAATTAAATATGATTTTTCAGTACACCATTTTTAAAATTCCCCAAATATATTGAATTGCTTATTGGATAAAAATTATTTTAAATATACTGAATAAAGAGAACAATTTAAATTTTTGAAACAACTTTTCTCCATTATACAAGATTTGATTTCATCTTCTAAAAATAGTATATGACCTCTAATTCACCCTGTTATAAAATTTCATGATAAAAAAGTTTCGTTTTAATACAATATTATTTAAAAGTATTGAAAATTCGGGAGTATAATTTCAAGAGTTGAATAGACAAGTTATTTATATCATTTTAAACAATTTGTGAAAAGTTCCATGGTGCAACAAATAAAATTTTTGAAATTTAATAATAGTTAAGTTCGTAAATAAAAAACAGAGTTCTGCAGATAAGAGGTACATTTGCCTGATAATTAACTAAACAGAATGAATGTCTTTAATATTTAGTTGATCTCAATCAATGCACATAGCTTTCAATCTACGCTTAATATTTTTTTTTATAATTGGATTACTTTTCAACTTTTTTGAGACTGTTTCATACATTCTTAACCACCTGAGGAATAAAAATGATATAAAATCAGTAACATTTAATGGGTTTTCAATATTTTTCATTCATTCCTAAGCATTTATCATTTTTATTCTTTTACATTTCTCTTCATTTTATTTTTAAATCTGTCCAATCACAAAACTAAAATTGTAGCTTTATTCATAGGCAACAGACTAGAATTTGTTATTCATATGCTACACATCTTTCAAAACTAGAGAAGAAATACACTGACATTTTATGAATATACAAATTACTCTGTTTTTGCTGATTTTAATATCTATAGATTTTATTAGTAATGGTCACTTTATTCCAAACTATCTATATTGATGTTCCCCACTTGCTTCCATAGCATTCCTTATTGTTCCTATCAGCTGATAAAGAAATAAGCTAATTATAAAACAGAAAAATAACAATTTATTCTAAAATTAGCAATTTTTTTTTACATTTTTTTATCCTTCAGTTTCTGCATTTCATGTGATTTTATGCAAGTTTGGAATTCCTTTACTTCTTTTTGGCATTTTCTCCAATCTTTGGTCTCGGCAATACATTCCTGAAAATAAAATGCCATATTTTGGTATACATGATAAAAAAAGTTGATATTTTTCAGTCCAAAAATAAATAACTCCTTTACACAGAGAATTTATTTTGTCAATAAACTTACATAAAGCTTGTTTTCTTAATTGCATAGTTCAAACAATTTAGCACAAAATATTTTTCAAATAAGGACTAAATTCGTTCCATTGAAAGCTTACAAAACTACAATAATAAGTAAATAGACATAATACGAAAAAAGAAAAACTTTCAAAATGTTTTTTTGCAAATAAAATTTTTTTAAAGTAGCTACAAAACATTACTTGTTTTTAAAAAGCATGTATTTCTATATGCTTTTAAAAAATTAACACTTAGAATATCACAAAGATATATCTTGAAATAAATCCTTGATCTAAAACACAAATATGGTATTTTTATGGAGCCTACAAAATTTGTAGTATTCAGAAAGAGCTCTCTATTTTAAAGAAAACCATTTGATTATGAGAAGAAGAAAAAAAATCAATAAGTAAAATGCAAAAATGGCAGTTTTAAAATGCTGCCAACAATGTATACAAACACTGAATGAAAAAAAAGATCTTTGCAGGCAAGAAAATAAAATTTTAAAAAATGCAATGCAAAGCATTTAGCTAAAACCAAATATTTTCAATACAGTTCCTAACTATATCCAACAAAAAAGAATTGCTTTCTAATGAATTTATTGACAATTATTGAGATAAATGAAAGTCAAAGAATATCAGTTTTATTCACATTCATTTTAAGACTACAAAGTAAAAAAATACATTTTGTAAAAAATTTAAAACAAGTAAAATGCAATTACTAATTAATACCAATTGTAGATTAATTAGCAAGACACCTTGTTACTTCTAGTGTAATACTTGACTTGATCATCTTAAATACCTAAAAAGTCTTTTTATTTAAAACATTAAAAATTTTAATACTCATGACAGTATATTAATAACAATGATCTGTAAGGATGGACTAGATTTTAAGTTTTCAGTGATATATATTTTTTAATAACTAGGTAAGTCTAATTTTTTCTTTGTAGCTGCCCAAAGATCCAAGAATCAAAACTTGAATCCATAAAAATGAACATCTAGTGGAAAGTCTCCCTTTCTTATAAAAACCGATTTAAAAAGTTTTACATCTTTGTTGATTAGATATTAAAATTGATTTTGAAAATAGTAATAACATAAATTCTTATTATGTGTAAGAAACATTATATATTGGTTCTTTTTATATGGCTTACAACATAGAAATGAAAAGTAAATATTTCTGTTCAATATCAAGTATACATGAAATATCATTTAAAAAGTACAATTCTTAAATATAATTATGTAACATTTAGACAATTTGATATGTTGTTCACATTTAAAATTGTGGTAAGGATAGCATAAACCATATTGTTAAATAAAACTTTTTTTTTAACTTATAAGTACTTTATAAATAATGTGTACTTCAAGAAAGTTGAAAAGATAGCTTGCCTAAATTATTTGTTTAGAACCAGTTTATGAAGTTAGATTTATAAGGTTCAATTATAATTTGGAGTTAATTATGATTTTTTGTATAGTTGAATATATTTATAAATGACAGTTAATGTAGTCCTAAGTTAGTTCCAGATATATTTAGCTAAATTTTAAAAATAATAAACCAAAATTTTATTTCAAGAAGTAAACTTTTATTTAGTCCATTTTACTTAAAGATGTTGAGCTATTGTACTGTATTTTGGAAGCAACTGTAATATGCATATTTTTCATAATACACACCATTTAAAAAAAGCAGCTGAGATTTCAAACAGCTCTAGTCTGGATAAACCTTTAAAGGAAGAAACATTCCTTCAATTAATTGATTCAGCGTGTTTCTGCTTTATGTTTAGGAGGGCGGAATTCTTTAACTTTCTTCTTTTTCGCTTTTCCACCTGTCTGGAATTCTTTCCAACTAGTGATTCGGTTATCTCTGCTTTCTTCATAGTTTTTCTGCCATTCCTTATCAGTCTTTTTCTTTTCTTCTTCCTCTATTTCCTCCTCTCTCTTACGTTTCCTTTCTTCCATTCCACGTTCTTCCGCTTGTCTTCGTTTTCTTTCTAAATCTGCAAACAGCTTCATAGTCAAAACATAAACAGCATGCTTATATTTGGCAGGGTCATCTTCCTCTACTTTAGTTCCCTTTCCAGCTTTTTTCTGTTTTCTCCTTTTTTCTTCAACCATCATGTCGGTGCGTCCTTTAGCCTCTTCAACTATCTCCAAAGCTTTAGCACGTTGACCATCATCATCCAATGATTTATATGCTTTATTTATAATATCAAAAGCTTGTTGAGCTCTGTCTCTATCATCAGGATTTTTATCAGGATGAACTAATATAGATAATCTTCGATACTGCTTTTTAACATCGTCAAGAGATGTTTCCGGCTCTATTTGCAATACTTCAAATGGATTTAAATTAAAGTATGTGCTACCAGGTCGGAGCAATCGATCAATTTGTTGTTTTGGCGTAAGAACTGAATCTCTTTTCTCGATTTCTTTCACTTCGGCAATGAAATTCGAAAATAACGCCTCTGTTGGTTCGGCATTAGGTAATGGTATGTTTAAATCCATTTTGAGAAATCTAAACGATGAAACTCAAATTTTAAAAATTCCTTTCCACAAAAAGAGATAACTAACAAAGCACTACCAGTGCTTTGCTTATTTTGAAGTTAATTTACAGTTGAATGCAGGAGAATGTCAGTAATAGTTAGCTAATCATACCTGAACTTTGTAATGCAAATCTGCACATCCAGTTTTATTTAACAATTTATCAACGAGATCTATATCGTCACTGCTAGAATTTTGATGTCCCGTAAAGGATGCTTTTGCAGCCATAAAATTGCAGAACACAGTATGATTGTAAGAGTAGTGAATATCAGTATTTTAAAATTTTAATCAAACAAACAACATTCGACTCATAAATGGCTTCATATTCAACCCGTTTCAACCAATCAGACAATTACAATGGTGGATTGTTGTTTTTACTTTTATTTCACTTCATTTGCCGAAAGAAATTTATATTCAAAATATTTTATTCATAAATTGCATGCTTTAATTTAAACATGTCAAACGAAGCTAGGAATTTAATGGAAAGAAAGGGAAAAAATATTAATTATATAATCTGTGGAATAAATGAATTGAAACAGTAGGTGTTGAGCACAGCTTTTAGCTGAGACAAAGATTATTACAGGACAAAAATAAGCAACCGGAAGTGTTTGACTCCCTGATTCTGGATTTAGTAAATAAATAAAAGTCAGGCTGAGCACTGCCCTGAACTGAATTTGGGGAGAATTAGAATTTTTTAATAATAAACTTATAGCTATAAAATGCAAGAATTGAATGATACCAAAGCAATCTCCTCTGAGTTTGCACATTTGCCAGATTCAGAGAATTACATAAATAAACTGGGTATATTTTTTCTTATATTGAAACTGATTTATTTTGAAGTACTTCATCATTGTAACTTTCTTCCTTCTAAATTTATTATTTTAAGAAATGCTTAAACATGTATTACTTTTAAATCTTGTACTCTTTTGCGTAGGAAAATCTTACGTTTCTTGAAGTGTTATAGAATTAAATTGCAGCGAAAGCCTTGTATGAAACATTAAGTAATTATTTAAAAGTTGGGAGAGATGTATGTTCCATCAGGACGCAAAAAAGGCGAAAAAAAACTTGAGATACATGTTGAACTGGAGCTGTTCATCAATAATCTCACACTTTTTTTTTAATATTTTCGACCCCATCTTCCACTAAGTCACAAAGTATCACAGTTCGTGGCAGGGTTTGTTGATTTAAATCAGCTTGATTTTAATCACGATTTAAATCATGATTTAAATCAAATGATTTTTTTTAAAAAATCATTGATTTGAATCAACTAATTTTTTAGTGTATATATTGATTTAAAAAGTTAAAAAACAGTGTTTTGAATTATTGATACTTTTATTATTTCTTTTCTTAGTTTTAAAATTTATCTTAAATATATTGCTGCATTAATTAATTTTAGCTAACTAAATTACTTTCTTTCTTGGTATGTGTTAAATTCTAACACATTTGAAATTACATCTATAAAAATCTTGACTCTTGAGATTGAAAGTACAGATTAAAGTAAACATTTAAGTATTTTTTTCTCATAATATGTTTACAGTATCTTTGACATCATCAGATTTTCTATAAAGAAATTTTGTGAAAAAAAATTTTCAATGAGTACATAGATTTTTTTAAAATTTTTTTTTAGCTTAACTTATCTGTTTTGATGTAGGATTAAAAACGAATATTTTAGTATAAAAATATATAGATTAAATATTTATTTATTTTTTGATTAATGACTACATTTATAAACACAATCTGCTACATTTAATTAGTCATTTTAAAAATCAAAAGAGAAAAAAAAAAGAAATCACAATTTTAAATTAAAATTATGATTTGGTAATTGAAACTTTGTTTTAATAGTTAAAGTATGTCTTAAATACTCTATTTCATCTAGTCTTTAAATTTCAATCATGCATTTGTTTCAAAATAGTTGCTATGCATTCAAAGCTATGTACTATAATCAAAAATTGTTTTAAGTANTAGTTTGTTAGAGGGTTGCACCCCCTTTTACATTATTCTGCCGGCGCCCTTGCCAGCACGTAAAGGGAATACATAACGTTGCTGCAGATGCGCTGTCCATAGTAAACATCGCTACCATAGAAACACCTTCCCACGTCAATTATCAAGAAATGGCCAACAACCAAAAAGGTGACCAGGAACTGGCCGAAATTTTAGCTCAAACCGGTTACTCATTTTTGGTACTTCAACATTTCTTAATAGGTAATCCTAGTGTGGAGCTGTTTTGTGATGCATATACTAACCGGATTTGAAAATTCGTGCCCGAAGTGGACAAAAAAAATATTTTTTCCAAACTGCATTCTATTTCACAGGTATTAAAGCTTCTTTAAGGTTGGTGGAGGAGCGATATGTTTGGCCTGGTATAAAGAAAAATGTTAGGACGTGGGCTCAGCAATGCTTGGCAACGTTCTAAGGTGACACGTCACACGCAGAGCAAGCTTGGTACGTTTGTTCCACCTAATGCCAGGTTTGAACATGCGCACATCGACATCGTAGGTCCCTTGCCGCCATCAGAAGGTTTTCGCTACTGTCTTACATGTGTCGACGGTTTTTCCAAGTGGCCAGAAGCTTACTCGCTAGCAGATATATCAGCCAAATCTGTTGCTTCAACTTTCTACCCCGGATGGTTGCTGTTAATTTACGTCGCACTAGAGCTGCACAATGGGCTATTGGCGACGGTCTGGGAAACATCCCGGAGGATGATCCGAAGACATGCCATCACAATTTTGATCCTCTGCGGAGGGGATGGCACCCCCGCTTCGGTAGCCCGACGACCTGCAAGCGAAGTCGAGCACTTTACGGTAGCACAGTTTAACGAGGATCAATACCGCACACCCTCGGTCCCTGCGCAGACTGATCCAAGTGGTCACCCACCCGCAGACTGACCGTAGTCAGTGATGCTTGACTTCGGTGATCTGCTGGGAACCGTGTCTTAACGATCAGTTCACTGCGGGACCTACCCCGGATGGATTGCTAGGTTTGGAATACCCCTACCAATCACAACAGACTAGGGAAAACAGTTCGAAGCCTCACTGCTTGATGCCCTGACTAAGTTTCTGGGTTCGGCCATCACCTCCTCCATCAAAAATTCTCCACACGGTCTTTTATAAGCAGTCCGCGCAGACTATTTAAAAAGTGAACCAGTTGTGCGAATGAACCCAAAACCTTTTGTAAAAGTAATTGAGAGAAATTCATCATATATATTTGAGAATTGAATCTGTAGTGGTTGACAAGTGAATAAGGCAAACCAATAATATTCATAAATAAAACAAATTTTTAGTCATATATTTGCTACCTATTTCTTATTTTAACTAGATTTTGTATTAAATAACTCGTTCGGAAAGCAGGGTTTGTTGATTTAAATCAGCTTGATTTTAATCACGATTTAAATCAAATGATTTTTTTAAAAAAATCATTGATTTAAATCAATTAATTTTTTTATATGTATATATTGATTTAAAAAGTTAAAAAACATTGTTTTAAATTATTGATACGTTTATTATTTCTTTTCTTAGTTTTAAAAATTTATTTTAAATTAATTGCTGCATTAATTAATTTAAGCTAACTAAATTACTTTCTTTCTTGGTAAGTGTTAAATTCATTTGTCACACATTTGAAATTACATCTATAAAAGTCTTGACTCTTGAGATTGAAAGTACAGATTAAAGTAAACATTTAAGTACTTTTTTCTCATAATATGTTTACAGTATCTTTGACATTATCTGATTTTCTATAAAGAAATTTTGTGAAAAAAAAATTTCAATGAGCACATAGATTTTTAAATAAAATTTTTTTTAGCTTAACTTAAATGTTTTGATATAGGATTAAAAACAAATATTTTAATATAAAAATATATAGATTAAATATTTATTTATTTTTTGATTAATGACTACATTTATAAACACAATCTGCAACATTTATTTAGTCGTTTTAAAAATCAAGAGAGAAAGAAAAAAAAAAGAAATCACAATTTTAAATTAAAATTATGATTTGGTAATTGAAACTTTGTTTTAATAGTTAAAGTATGTCTTAAATACTCTATTTCATCTAGTCTTTAAATTTCAATCATGCATTTGTTTCAAAATAGTTGCTATGCATTCAAAGCTATGTACTATAATCAAAAATTGTTTTAAGTAGTTAGAGCTTCTAAAATATTCTTTTAATATAATTTTAATATTAATTTAATTTTAATTAAACATTTATAAAGTTTTTTTGGTCATAAATCAAAGATCTTACAGTGTATTTGAATAAAAATCATAAAAATGTGATTTAAATTAAAAAAATCCGATTTAAATAAAAAAATCTGACTTTTTTTATTTCTTTTAAAAAACTCAAAAAAATCACGAACCCTGGTTCGTGGGGATATTTCCGTATCGTGATCTGTTGTGCCAACTACAATCGCCAAGGTGCCAAATAGATTTCAAACCTGCAAATTTTTTTAAAAAAAACATGTAGATGTTTTCCCCAGGGTGGATACAAATTATATCTTTCGAGTTGGTCTCTTTCTGTGCTGTTTTTTTTTTAAGTTTCTCGCGGGCCACTGCCCGGAAATTTCTAAGACTTGGCGATTATTCTGCCACAGATCACGATAAGGAAATCTTCCCACAGTTCACCATGCCCACCTACACTTATCACATGGCATGCTAAGTCACATATATACCTATACTTACCCCTGTAATCACCAACCCGATCAAGTTTTGGTCATGAGTGAAAAATGTCATCATGCCAAAATCTGAGACCGGCCCAAAAATTCAAAGTCAAATTCATTACTTCGTATGACTTGCTGAGTTCGAGTATTTAGCTTCATTTGGTTTCAGTTTCTAATAAAGCATAGCTGATCATTGCGGTGCATCAGATTTCGACAAAATAAATGTATTTTGGTTATTATAAATCACGTAAATAAAAGCATAATGCTTTTTATTTTTATTCTAAAATTATATGATTGGCGTAATTTAATGATTTCTCATTATGTGTCTATTTCTGTATACATGATTTCAAATCAGTAGCTTCATTCATATTCTTTAATGGGAGATTCATGTATCAATCATTGAAATAGAAAGGAAAAGAATATATTTTCCATATAATCAACTAAAAAAAGAGATATTTTTCTCTCTTTCCCTTTTTTTTGTAATTTTTTTTATTCTGCTATACATATCGATGTATACATAAGAGTATGTCTTTAACACAAAATATGTGTATTATTTTTTAAATAAAAATGAATGAGAAAAATTTTCCACTTTGAATAAAATTATATCTTTTATGAAGTTAAAAAAAATTATTAATTAACTCATCATTATTAACATAATTAATTACAGTTTAATGAAAGAAAATATTTGAAAAATGTTAAGATGCCTCAAAAAGTCAAAGTTTTTATAAAATAGCATTGTCTGATTTAAATACAAAATTTGTACGGGACTGCAATTTGTGATAAAAGTTAAACATTTAATGCATTGATATCAGCTTAAAATTACCCCTTTTTTTATGATGAATCTAAGTTACTTAAATAGAACTGTTCTTATTTTAAATAGAAAGTATAGTTCATGCAATGTCAAATGTATGCCTTCGCCACCTTGCCAAATGTGATAAAATCGTAAATTTAGTAAAACCAATTGAATTTTGATAATGTATAATGTAAGCAACTAGAGAGATTATGAGAGCTTAAAGAAAAACGTAAAATACTGATCAATACATTTGTTGACGTGATATCATGTGAAAAAACTTTTTCCTACAGTTTGTGTTAATAAAGCAGGTTAAGTGGTAGCTAGATGCATATTGCAATCCTACTATTTTACTAGGAAATACGTGTTCTGATGATAATAACAAATTTTTTATTAATTTTAACTTATTGTAAAATTTACAAATTAAAACGGTTACTAAAATAAAAAAATTTAACTTCAATTTCATCTTTATGGACTGCTACTTTTAGTGTACGTGTTCTGATGATAGATTATAACCGCCTGCACTCAGCTGGCAAGGAACGTGTTAAGCCCCCACTCAAATTTTGTTAAAAAATTTCTGTGAGTAGTATAAAATTCAATGAAACAGAATAAAGCAGAATTAAATAATTCAAATTACTTATCTTTTACCGTGATCCTTTTTTTCTGAATAATTACAATTGCAACAGTAAAAATAAGAAAGACGGTAGAAATTATTTTATTTAAAAAAAAAGGCTTAAGAATGAAATATTATATTTAAAATGAAATATATTTATTTTACAAACAGTTGGAATCTAAAGAAACGTCTAATGTTGCTTCGAAATATCGTTATATTACTGGTGTAGTCTAAGAAGTTATCAAAAATTAATCCCAACCTATTTGTATTTCTTTTTCTCAAAAACAATAAAATTTTTACATCTTTGATCTTCTCTCCCACTCATTGCTTATTTACTCCTCTGCAACTGTAAAATGACTCTTGATTTGAAAAAAAATAGGAAAAAGATATAATCTTGTCTTCAGTTCAGATGATTATGTCCGGAAAAGTAGTTCTTTCTAGTATTGTATTAATATAGTCAAAGCAAAACATATCAAAACAATAGTGTGAGTGCAATCATATCAATACAATGAGTCTCACTATTGTATTGTTATGTTTTGCTTTAGCTATACATAATAATACAATAATAGAAAGCACTACTTTTTTGGATATAATCGTGTGAGCTGGTGACAAAATTATATCTCTTCCTAATTATTTTTTTTATAATTTTAAAATTTTTTAAATTTGAATATTTTTTAAAAACATTTTTTAATAATTATTTCCTTTTGGAATTCTTATTATCTTTTTACTTGTTTTCTCTATATTTTTTATATATAGATGCATTATCTTTTATAATAGAGAATAAATTATGCAAGCTGAAAGGATCTGACAAGGCACTTTCGTCCAAAAGCATGTTGATGGTCTTAGAGAAAGCAAAAGATGATTACTTAAATCGTCTCATGACATCTTCCAGTGATAACCTCACACCATTTGATGATGATGCTGACAAGGAAGTTTCTGTTTCATATCTTGAAGTAAAGTTATTTTTAATTATTTAAATTTATTATTTTGAGGATTATGTTTTTAGTGTATGAGTTAACAATGTTCCCAATGTTCCCAAATACTAAATTTATTTGTCATTTTGTCCTTTATGTTGGTAGTGCTTTACCTGCAACTCAGTATCCAAATAAATACAGTTGTAAAATGATTTACATGCAACACCCAAACTTCCAACCAAAATTAAATGTAAAAAAGTACTTACAGCTGTTTCTTCAAACATTTTTTACATGTTATTCTTCAACCAATATTACAATAATAAAACTCAGAAAAAGTAGATGTACTAATTCAAGATGTAAAAAGTATCTGTTGATGTTTGTTGAATGTTGGTGATGTTGAATTTTTTAAGGAAATATTTCTTTAATCAATCATGAAAATAACATTCACATAGAAATATAAGCAATGGTAGGTGTAGAATTAATTCATTGCTTTGCACAATAATATATCTACTGCAAGTTTTTGCAATTTTGTTATTCATATTGCATCACTTTATTATTTTTTTTATCTACACACAATTCTTGAATAAATTTAATGAAAGGAGTGTTATTAAACCCTTTTAAGGAAATGAAATTTCTACAAACGGTGTAAAAAAAAATTTCCTCTCCGATTCAGTAAAATATTGTTTTGTTTCACAAAGTTTAAGAAAAGGTTGGTACTTATATAAAATATTGTATACCCATTTTGGTTAAAACCAAAAAAAAGCAACACGAATTTTCATCAGGAATGGAAAATTATATATCAAATAAGTGGTTCTTCTTTTAAGGCTTCTCATTAAAAGTGTTTTTTTCTTCTTTTTTTAATCCTATGTTTTAAAACATTAATTTCATTTTTTTTAAAGTAAATTTTTGATTTTTTTTAATTCTTATTAAATATGCATTGGTTACAATCATGAAATGATATTGTGATAATTTGGCAGAATTTGCACCTACTGTACTGGTCAACAGGATTTTACACAAGTGACAGAAAATTCCTTGTTAATTCTGAGTTTTGCGTGTAATGGGGGCATTTTAAACTAAATATTTATAAAAAATTTCTTCGTTAAATCAGGGCTTGTAATAACCAAAGTCGACTGTATTCTAATATTTCTAATAACAAGTCAAATGCTCATATAGATAATTTAATCTTACCCGATTAATAACAAACATAACAATGTACTTTCAAATTGTGAAAAGGAATTAATTGTTCTAACATGACTTAATTTTCTATTACAATTTATGAAATACTAAAATGAAAGGTAAATTAATTTTAATTTTCTAAAACTAAATTAAAATGTTAATAATTTTTTTTTCCCAGCAAGTTCTTTAATTTGTAAAATTTTTTTAGAACTGCTTGTTAGACAACTCTATAAAATTACAATTGAGTATTTACATATATTTTTCAAAAACACTCAATTACCCTTTCTTTGATTTTATGTATTTTTAGTGTTTTGCTTTAATTATTCCACTAACACTTTCCAGTACTTATATTTTTTAAAGCTCTTTATAAAAAGGTATTCAAACATTTCTTAACTTTTGTTTGAATATCTGGCTAACATTATCAGATGCTTGGCTATTTTGAACTAAGGGAAAATATTCATTTAGTTAAGGAAAAAAATTCTTTGCATTTTTATAATAATTTAAAATAATTTTAATTAACTCAGACGCCCATTGGCTGAGTGGTAGCACTTTTCACTCTAGTGCCTCAGGGCTTGAGTTCGATCCTCAAACCGGGCAAAGTTGACTCAGCCTTTCATCCCTCCAGTGAAAAAAATAAGTCGATAGAATAAGTACCAAGCGTGCTTGGGTACTAAATGCTGGGGGTTCCACATTCGGCTGTACACCCAACCGGAACATCTGCTCCTGCATCCTAGAACCCAGGGTCAAGAAAACTAAGATGGGTACAATAGGCCTTCGCCCTCTATGAACTGTTGCACCACTGAGTTTTAGTTATAATTGACTCAAGACATGAAGTATTTTTCAATATTGATAATGTTAACTACAGTAAACCATAATTTTTTTCATAATTTCTTACACATTAACATGCATAATACTTATGTTTATATTTTTTAGTTAATTATTTATCTCTTTAATTGACGAGCTACATTGGTAAGAGTAGTAGCCATATAATTTTAAAGTTTTATTATTTTTTTTCAGAAAAAACTATTTCCTGAAAAAATTGGGGTAACCCAAGAAGAGTTGCAACATCTTTTAGAATCAGATGTTTTGGCAAAAGCTACTGCAGAGAATGGATGTAAAGACTCCTTAGCGGATGTTAACATTGACAGATAAATAATATATGTGTATGAAGTAATTCCTGAAATGGATGTTTTTCTGCTGTATCATATTATATAAAATTTATAATAATTTATATTAGTAGTATATAAATACACAAGTGGGCGACCTTTGTGCTAAAATACAAATTAAGGTAGACAACGTTAAAGAGCACAAAAATATTATTAAAAGCAGACAGCTGTTTCGGATGCTCAAAGGGCAACCTTCATCAGTGCAACAGAAAACAATAAGTATTGTTTTCTGTTGCNTTAAAATATAAATACACAAGTGGGCGACCTTTGTGCTAAAATACAAACTAAGGTAGACAACGTTAAAGAGCACAAAAATATTATTAAAAGCAGACAGCTGCTTTTGTCATCAGTGCAACAGAAAACAATTGTTTTCTGTTGCACTGATGAAGGTTGCCCTTTGAGCATCCGAAACAGCTGTCTGCTTTTAATAATATTTTTGTGCTCTTTAACGTTGTCTACCTTAGTTTGTATTAGTAGTATATGTTTATTTTAACATCAACGTTTGTAACACATGCTTGTTTTAAACTAAAATATGTCATTTTATTAAAGTGAAGGGGATCATTATATTGTGGACATGCTCAGAGCATGGTAAAATTCTTATCAGGCATGTATCTTTTAAATGTGCTTACTCATCGTGGCATGCAATTTCAATCAACTGAGAAATGTGTGGATAAACAATTCCAAAGGAGAAAAGAAGAATATCGATTCTATTTCATAAGATCTAATTGATGAGAATTTTATTGCATAAATAAGATTTTCTAGAACAAAATTAGCTTCTTCCTCCCTATAATCATGAATATTTTTATATTTAAAAAAAATGCACCAAAAAAGTGAGCATATTGAAATGCACTTGCTGGTAATACCTAATACTTCTGATAATAATACTTCTTTGTTAATTATAAAACTTTACTTCTACTACACAAATGTTTATTATATCAAAACATCCAATGAGAAAAACTAATTCTTCAGAAGTCCCCATCAATATCGGTGCTAATTTTGCTTGTCACTTATTATTGTTAATATTGAATACTTTTTTAATAATTCTGATTTATATTTAAAATGAAAATGTATGTGAAGATATATTATTGTTAATGTCTTTTTTTTTCCCCTACAGATTGTTAATTGTTACATTTATATGTTTTTATTATTGCGCATTGAAAAAAGATGTTACGGCATGTAAAAGTTTCATTTGGACAAATATTTTGTAGAATAGCATGCCCAACTGAACACATAAAATTGTTTAGTTTAAGTCTTGTAAGGTATCCATGCTAACAAATGACTATAAGTATCTTTTATTTATAAATTTAAAAAATTGCTTTGTTTTAAATAAAAGAATTGTTTTGATGGTGAATTGAATAAAAAAAAATTTCTTCCTATTTTTCTAATATAAGTATCCTGAAATTTGATTTTTATTTAGAACACAAAAAAAATATATCATTCTAATTGACATTTGATCTAATTACCAGATTTTCATGCAAACTAATATGCAATAATTTGAAGGGATTAATAAAATTTTAAACATGTTTTTTAATTATTGCTGTTTATAAATTAAGTTATATTATCAAACACATAAATATATTTTCTCTAAAAAACCATATGTTTATTTTTTTAAACGTTTCTTTCATTTGCTTTAGAAATGTAGCCACAATTAGGAAAATTAATTTTAATTCTAATTAAAAAAAATATTAAGTCAAGAGAGATCAAAAGTTTGAATCCCTTAATATTATTATTTTTTTACATATTTTGACAATCTTATCTTTGGCGCTTTTTACTAGAATCATAAAAATTTTTTGCATGCAATTAAAAAATATGTTGATCTGAACATAATTTTATGTAGAAACAAATTTTTTTATATGATTTATTGTTTAACTTAATTGTAGAAAAAAGTTCATTGTGTAGCAGTGTTACATTTTCTTAAACATTGAAATTTTTAATAACAAAATACAAAGCTTAAGTAAAATTGATTGAATAGATCCTGGGATATAAGAATTTTCAATTTTCTTACATTCCAGGAACTATTTAAATGATTTTGTTCAAGTTTTAGATTTTGTCATTAAAATTTAAATTGTTTAAGAAAACATAAAATTGTGTATTCCTTTACAATTTAATATTTGATGATTATTAAATTAAATAATTATAAATAATTGTTAAGTGGACATGCTTTTTAACTGCTCTCTTTGACTATCCTGTAGGAGCCGTAATCTAAGTTGATACAAGCCATCTTATTTTGAGAAAGAATTTATATTTTTATGTCTGACTTCAGATCAAAGATAGCTCAAATAAATTTGCATATTTAAAATGTGATTTCCAAATTGTTGAGATTGTATCATGTGTGAAAATCTGATCATTTTGATATAAAATTTTTTTCGAGTGAGATGATTTCTTTTTCAGTTTAGGATTTATGATTAAATATGTTTTTGTTTAAAAACTTTTCATTTTTTGCAGCATTATTTTTATTTTATAACATGCTGGATATAATTGAATAATTCTTAATTATGATTTTCATAGAATAGTTAAGGTGAATTTGATTATTTTAAATGTATATATTTCTGTTGTCAAAATGCTTAAAAAAGTAGATTTGACTGTAAACCATGTAGTGTCTATTTATTTATTATTTTTTTTAAGTTTACATCTTTTACTGTATTATTTTTCTTACCTGCAATTTTTTAATTCTTTACTTTAATCATAAAGTGCTAAAATTAAGGCTACTTTTATTTTCTTAAATGTAAACAAAATTGTATTGAAAAAAGGGTGCAAATTCAACTGTGATTGTAACTTTCTCTTACATACCAAACTACACAACTTTTCTTATTATTGTTACTTTTCTCAAAAATAATCTGATTTTAAATTTAACTATGACTTAATTTATTATTATTTTACTAGTACATAGTATTTATTTGATGCAAAACATTATAAAATTTTATTTTTTGAATTTGATGTCTAACAAAATAAAGGAGAGGTGAGTCTTTCTCTCAGTATTTATCAATGTTCTTTTCATCTTAATATTATTTATATTATATTATTAAATAATACATATTTAGGCAGCAAATAAAAATGATTTGAACTGCTACTGTGCTTTAAATGTTGCCTTTTATAATGTTGTTATTAGTACTAAATGTAACTATATAATTACTGTTATATCATTTTATCTGAAAACTTTCAAAATGGGTGCTTGAATGTATTACCACTTTATTAGTACAGTAGAACCCGAATTATCCGACACTCCTGGAACCTGAGGTATGATGGAAAATCGAATTTTATGTGTATGTAAACAACTTTTAAGTGAACACTACTCAAAACGTTTAGTGACTAAAATAAAGTTTATTAAAAAACCTTATTTATGTTTTATATTTCTATTATAAATAACGATGCAATGTCAGAAAAAGAAACATAGAAAATATTTTGTTTTCCATTAAAGTGTAGTTAATTAGCACATTTGGGTATTGTCATTACAGCAAATGGAATGGAATTTAGAGACACAAGGTCTAAATATGAATGAATGAGTAATTAAATAACATCAGTTCAAATAATGATGAAGCGTGTCCCGAAAGAGGTGCTGGATAACTAAAATATCAGGTGTCGGATTATCAGGGTTCTGCTGTAATGTTTTTTATTGACCTAAGCTAACTAAGAGTTATAAAAAGTTTCATTAATTTTTATGTAGAATGGGTGCTTTGTTTTACTATGTTAAATAAATAAAGTTTTTTTTAAAAAATATTATAGTCTTCTTGTGGTTCAAAATTTAGTTAATATTTTGAACAAAATATCCCACCTAAATATCCTTTATTTAATACATGATAACTAAACGTAACATTACATTTCATTTTGTATTCTGTTGACAAACTAAATATTTACTGGAAAAAGACAAAAATTAAACAAATGTTGTATATTATTTCATTAATTTAGGTTATGTTCCAACCTCCTTTTGATTTTGTATTTCTACTGTAAAGTGCCAGTGTAATTTTTCTCCAGTACAACATTAAATTTATAGGACAAATTTGTTGTTTGCTTGTTTAATTCACTCTGAAATATGCATGCTATTTTAGTAAATAAATTTGTTTGGATCTTTAAATATTTTTTTTGTGAAATATATCTTTCTTTTGTTAATATTTTGTAGTATTTTCTCTTTTTACCGAATGAAATTACCATTTGTCATCAATTTATTGAAAGACTTGAAATTGTTGTCTTTTACTTTCTTTGTTTAGTGGAGAATAAAAATAACTATATTTTCAGTAATTAGGCAAGAAAATAAGTTTATTTGTCAATAAACACACAATAAAATAAAATTAAAAGACATAAATTAATACTTCAGAATAAATTATGAAATAAGATTAATAATGAGTTAGCATTTTTACAAATCTGAATACAAATTAAATAATGTAAAAACAACAAAATATGATGCAGAACATTTTTTTTGAAGGTATAGAGCAAAAGTTAAGTGTCTTCGAAGTTAACAAACATAAAAAATTTATGTGGTAAAGGAAGTAGAAGATTAAAAGAAAAATTAGTTTTTGACAGATCAGAAAGTAAGAACCTTTACAAGTGGTAATTAAAAACTTATTGGCTTTACCATAAAGCTAGTATGGTAAAGCCAATACCTTATTGTTAGAAACAGTTTAGTCTCTCCAGCACATAAAGGGGAAAAAATGACTTTACTAACCTGATTACAAATCAAATTAGTATTTTCACAAAGTTGAATGCAAATTTAATTAAGTAAAAACAATTAATAAAATCCAGAGCATATTTCTTTCAGTAAGTATAGAAGAGCAAATTTCAAGAATCTTCGAACTTAACATTTATGAGGATTTATGATATGGAAAAAGTGGTTTAAAAAAAATTTTTGAAAAATAGTTTCTGATAGATGAGAGAGTAAGAGCCCTTACCAGAGGTAATTAACTTCTTGCTGGCTTTACCTTAGCTCTTATGGTAAAGCAAAAGCCATTACGTTGTTATTCAAAACCGTTCAGTTTCTCTAACTCAGAAATTATGACAAGTTTTCATTTTTATCACAAACTTTTTATAACTTATCTTGTAAAATTTAAATGTAGCTAACTTTCCCAGAACAGTGTCTTGTATATTCTCTCATAAGAGACATTGAAAGCTTAATTTTCAATACTTTGTATCTTTATTGTTGTTTTTCACAGGATTTTTCATACAAAGACTAAAAAATAATTTATGCTACAACTTTTGATATTTTCTTCAAGAAACAAAAATATCCTTAGTTTGGTCTGTCTTTTATTTCAGTAAAAAAAAAAGTTAATGCTTCTTTTATTACATGTAATTACATCAATTTTTTTAGGATATTCTTTAAATGTAATTTTTGATTATTCTATTTTTATATCTATTGCTATAGTTTCATGTTATCTTTGTACCAGACTTTAATTAAGTAGAAAGCGTATAAAGTACAATAAAATAGTTAAACGGAACAAACTTCTGTTAATAACAAGTATCATCATCTCTCCTGCAACACTGATTAAAAAGAAATAGAGAATTATTCTAGAATTAATTGATCAACTATAAGAAGTTGATGAAATTAATCCAATGAAGAGAGAAGAGTCTAAAGCGGTGAGGGAAGTCTAAAAGCAACTTACTGGCAAATAAAAATTGAAAAAGATTTCGAATTGTTTAAAAAATAAGGAATCTAGGAAAATCACTAATTAAATTACTAGAAAAGAGAATGATTCCCAAAAATTTAGTTTTACACGAATTGAAGAAATTCATGAAATGAAATTCAAACCAGTGATAAGAGCTCTAGCATTGTTTATCTATGAAAGAACCATTTCTGCATTGTTTAATGTTGTGAATAGAATCAAAGTTCATTTTGAAAGAATTTAGCTGAAGGAAATTAGGAAATTATAACCAATGATTAGACCTCGAGCATTGCTATTCGATGACAGCCCCATCTCTACATTGATGTTGATCCTTGTTACGGTACTATAAAAGAAACATAACAGCTGTCTCTCTTTTTTTATATGTATATCTATATATATATATATTATTCCTGTTTTATACATTATTTTCTACTTCATTATTACTATTTCAAATCTGCCAATCTCAAAAAGCCCCGAGAGTTTGTGACCCTGTTTTAGCTCAACAATAATAAATGTTAAAAATGGTATAATACTGATTGTCTAAGATAGGTACTCTGCCAGACATTCGTCTGGAGCTGTGGCGGTGACTATGGTAACGAGGTATGATTATTTTAAGTAGGAGAGCGGGGTCCCTCTTTAGAACTTGTTTCGGCGAGAGAAAAGGAGACCTCTTCATCGAAGCTACCCTCCCTAAAATGCCCTCTTCTTGTTTCCATAGCACCAGACTGCCGCAGACTTAGTAGAGGTCAGACTACCTATCTTAGACAAACAGTACAAAGTTTAAAATTTTAGCTTAGCTTCAACTGTGGTATTTATTTTCCTTGGCAAAAGAGCTTTGAAAAGCCATGTTTAACTAATATGACAGCACTTTTTATGGAGAAAAGAAATTCTAGTTATTCTCATTATTTTGTATAAAAGAATTGCATATAGGTTTCGAATATCCAATCTCCATTTTCACTATTGATCGTATTTTAAAACTTGTTATTGCTTGGATTATTGTGATCTCTTGTTTGTAATTATTTTATGAAAAACAGCATAACTTTCTCCATCCCTTCTTTTTCCTTCTGTTTAATCTCACATAGTTGTGATTGGAATTTATCACAGATGAATTGCTTGTCTTTGCTTGTGAATTGTTATCAGAAGAGTAATCCAAATGACTCTCTGCTCGCAAACCAGCGAGAAGAGCGGTGTCAAATACTTCCTTAAGGTTTCTTTGAGTTAATGCTGAACATTCCACATAAGATATTGCTCCAATGCTGGCTGCAAGAGCTTTGGCTTGATAAATACTCACTGGCTGCTCCTTGTATTCAGCAAGCTCTATCAATGTGTTAATGTCTGTCCTTAGATCACTTTGAGTACCGACTAATATGATTGGTACTTTTGGACAGTAATGTTTAATTTCATGAATCCATTTTTCCGCAATGTTAAAAAATGAAGTGGGGTACACAACACTAAAACATAGGAGGAAGACGTCTGTATGGGGATAGCAGAGTGGACGTAAAGCATCAAAGTCATCCTGGAAGTTTAAAATAGTTATAAATTTTCGATTTTTAAGCAATAAAATTTTGTAAATAATTTTAAAATGTAATACAAACTTTAGAAAATGGCGTATTTGATGCATAAAACTAAAATATCTGGTAAATAAAAATTTATTTAATTTCTTTTTCAAATACATACATTAATTTAGGCTCATTGCACGAATGTGTACGGTTTAAGTAAATGCTAGACGTAACCTTATTGTGCTATACATCAATGAAGTCTGGAAAATATTCAAAGTTTATATTTTAAATTACTTAAAATTTTACATTTTAGCGTATAAAATTACGTGGCATAACAAGATATAAAAAGATGTATTATCTTCTTATTAAAGTGTTTTTCAAGCTTTCTTGAATTAATTAATTACCAGAATATGCTTGTTATCTTTGGGCAGGGTTGGCAGGTTTTTTGACATGTGACAGTTTTTGACAGTTTAAACCATGGTTTAAACCGTCACGTCAAAAACCTCACTGTCAAAAATGTCAAAAACCTATATTCATATGTGAAATTTAATTAATACATAAAATTTATATATTTTTTAAAGGATAGTGTCAATATGTTCTAGAAAAAATAAATTTAAAATTTTGAAGAAACACTTATATTTTGAATAGTAACCAAAATCTTGTACTTTTGAAAACTCACATCTTTTGTAATATTATGTATTCATTTTCATGTGTTATTGAAAATCTGCAGTGATATTATTAAGAAATTTATTTATAACCAAATTTAGTGTATAGTATAGATTATACTAAAAATTAGACATTTTTAAAGATAAACATTAGCAGTTTTGTACATTAGACATCTTCTTTTAAAGAAAAATCTTTTTAATATTCTTTTAAATCTTCTTAATAATCTTTTTAACATAAGACAATACAAATTTAAGTGCTTTCTGTTAAATACACAGAGTAGTTAGTGTCGATTTACAGTATATTCAGCCTATTCATTTACTATGCTGAAAATTTAGTTTATCCAAATACTTGTGAATTTCATTTTGCTGAATACTATATAGTTTTGTTGAATATCTAAATATTCAGCTGTTGAATAATTACTTCTTGCTTTCAAGATATGCATTATTTGTATTCTTAATACAAGTGGAGAAAAAAAAATTAAGAGATAAAAATTGTTTTAAAATGATAAGTGTAATAATTATAAATAAATATAATAAACAATATGAATTATATTTATCATTATTCACAAATATAACTACTTTTAAATTCAAATTAACATACTGGATAATAAAGATATTCGGTATAACATTAAAATTTTTTTTCATACACTTGTATCAAGTTTGTATTTATACAACATAACTTGTAAGTTCCTTATAAATATTAGTTATATGTTCCTTATATGTCAAAAATGCATAGTAATAAACTTTTAATTTTCTTAAGTATCAAAAAGAAAAAAAAAATTTTTAAATATAAATATTTAAACAATTTTTGTGCAAAATTTTTCTGCACATGCATTTGAATATAAATTTCTGAGATTTTAAATCTGTTATTTTACCTTAATTTTAATTAAAAAATATTTTAAAACCTGCTGATTACCTATAGTATAATTAAATTTTAATATAATGCATGGCAACTGTTGGTAGTTTTGAAGTTTATATATTTTCTTGGCAAACTTCAGTTTTTGACGTTTTTGAAGGGTTTTTGACGTTTTAAACCAGTATTATACCCTTGTCATGTCAAAAACCACTTTTTGACGTCAAAAACCCAACCCTGTCTTTGGGTAACAAGTTACGCTTGAAGTATTTAAAAAGAAGAAGAAAATCTTGCAATTATCTGTAGAGATATGGCCTAACACAAAAACAAGAATATTTTTAAACAGTTTCAACTTTATGGATGTTATTTTCTTTGTTTCGTCTGATTTAGAAACCTAATATAAACCATATTTATTTGGTATACAGTTGCCACCATTTTTGGTGTTGAGATTAACTAAAAAATTTTACAGTACATGTAGTCACATTTTTATTTTATTTTTTACTATTACGGATTTATTTATTCGTTTATTAATTTTTTTGTCTGTTTGTTTACTAACTCATATTTTCATGCTCTTGAGAGTCAAAGATCGAATTTATTAGCTTCATTGCAAAAACATTTCGTTTAAAAAACTAGCACATTATTAGTGATACGAATTCTGTAAAACAATTGTTATTTTGTCAATTTTATATAGATTTTTGCATGACAGCTAGCCCGACAGGTAATAATGTCAGTTCTAAATTTTTTAGATTTTCAGCATGGCAGGCAATAAGGTGGTCGTCATTGCGCGTCAGCCGCCTTTATTTCCCAGACAAGCTGGTACCCATAGATTTGAAGCTGGGTGGGCTATGAGCTGCCACAGACGATAGAACCCCTGTTATTCATAACGACAGTTCAGTGCTTTAAATCCGTAATTGCAAAGAAGAGTGTGCCAGTTGTGATATCAAAAGAATTATACTTGAGATTAGTCAACTTATCGTAAATTTATGCATTAAATTAATTTAAAACTTTTTAAGACATTTGGATCAGAAATTACCAATATTCAAAAATGGAATAGTGTTTCAGATGGGGTATTATTCTTTGGTTTTTTGGACATCTACAATAATTATTTTCTATTGCATACATAAAAGTAATTTGATGAAAATAAAATTTTTGAATCTTTCAATCGTTGTATTGGGAATAAAATTTAAAAATCAAAAATAAAACTATTTAATATTGTTATTTCTTTACTCAGCTTTTTGTTAAATGTAATGAAAGTAAATAAACTATCGATCTGTCAAATCAGACGACATCTGTCAAACAGTTCTCAGGTCAACTAACATTACTCATATCTCTAATTAATTTATTCATCTTTATTAACTACAGTGGCGTGCAAAAGTTTCCGGTTAGTTAATTTCTTACACTTTTTTTTTTGGTCTTTTACTTTTTAAATGAAGGAAAAACAAATAATTCTTGTTTTATTTATTATTTTAAACAAATTTATATAATATCAGATTAATTTTTATTTACTATTATGTGTATATATATACACACTTTTAAATATAAACACTAAAATAAACTACAATATTTTCGTGGAAACAACATTTACATTTGATCAGGAAGCAGCAGTTGATACATCACCATAATTGTGTTAATTGTAATATTTCTGACGTAAATATTCAGTTTGCATTTACGTAACTATCATATGTATAGACACATATGTTTAGAGTTATAAGCTAATTAAAGTTATCTTAAGATGACAGATTCTTTAATGGAATTTCATCTTAATAATCGTTTGGAACGCAAACTGTAAATGAGCAGGGTTTCGAAGTGCATATTGTTTAAAAAGTCTAAAAATGGTAGACTACGTAAAACGGAAAAAGAGGATTAAATAGTAAAAACGCAAGTCAACACAGGACGTCAAGAAAGCTGCAATTCAAATTGCACTGATGTTACACAAAAAAAGTGTAGATGTTTGTGGTATTTTTGTTATATGTTTGTTACAAGACGCTGATATGACATGACTTTCACGAAACGTTGTTGGATTGCTTGGACCTTGGCCAAAGAATACCAAAGAATGTTCGCCAAGGCTTGGACAAATAGCCATAAAGAAACCTTTAATAAGAAAAGAAAATGTGATGACTAGATAGCAGTTTTCCATAGACCATTTAAACTGGACTATAGAAAATTGTAAAAAAAATTTTTTTTTTTCTTTCATAAATACAAATTCAATTTAGTCAGCAGTGAGGGCAGGAAGTGTGTTCGGTGCCCGACAAGAAAAAAAATCACGATAAATATCAAACTCGCAAACATCGTGGATGCGACGTTATGTTTTTGGGTGCTTTAGGATCACGGACTTGGACGACTGATGCAAAATGGATCACTTTCATAATTATGTAACTGCATGATGGAACGCTTCTTGTATTGGTATATTTTACTAAAAAATCTTTTGACGAATGCAAACCAAATGATTCCTCACAATTGCACATTTCTGTAAGACAACGAACTCAAAGCTTTCAAATCTCAAAGCTTTCGTGACAATGGTCTACACCAGTGGTTTCCAACTGGCCATTCGGCCCGCGAAGCCTTTTTTTGTGGATCGCGAACTAAAATATATTAGTTGTCATTTTTTTGCGGACAATTTTCGTAAAAAATCTGTTATTCAAATACAAAAATAATCGTGTTTGTTGCTCTTTTTTATTTCATTTTTCTTGTATTTTGTGAATATAATTTAGCATGTGCGTATCAGAAATTTTCTCGAAGAAATTCTCCGATTTAACTTTTTGAGAAACCACTCATTTTGGACGAAAATATTTACACACATTTGTAAATTTAAAATGTAAGTATCTATTCTCTGGTGGTTGCAGCAGACAAACCTCAATTTTGTCATTGAGCATTTTGTGTGCTACCACGCAAGTTTTAATACCAACCTTTTTAAAGTTTTATATCTCAGCACTTAGATATCTGTTGCACTCGTAGAAATTCTCCGATTTAACTTTTTGAGAAACCACTCATTTTGGACGAAAATATTTACACACATTTGTAAATTTAAAATTTAAAATGTAAATATCTATTCTCTGGTGGTTGCAGCAGACAAACCTCAATTTTGTCATTGAACATTTTGCGTACTACCACGCAAGTTTTAATACCAACCTTTTTAAAGTTTTATATCTTAACACTTAGATATCTGTTGCACATTAACTGTTTAATACATGGGTGCACATTAAAGTTATTGTAGACCGAATTTTTTAATATGAAATTAAATATTTTTTAAAATCTACTTCTTATTTGTAATTCAATACTTTTGTTTTGTACAACTTGGTAAAAATCTGACAGTAATATTTAAAGTTCCTTCAAACATAAAAGAGTCCTACATAAAATTTTGATAACGTTGCGGCCCGCCATATGATTTGTACTTTTAATTGTGGCTTCCGGCCTCATGTAAGTTGGAAACCCCTGGTCTACACTTAACAATATTGACGTTTTACTTTGTGCTCTAGTTTTTAATACCATCTATCATTTATTGGAAGAACCATAGCGTAGCGTGAGAAATCATTACAAGTCAAAATAAGCACTATTATGCTAAGCTTGGCAACTTGCGTGGATCAAGCTTTAGCTGCGTGCATTAGTAATCTTTATGAGGTCATGCCACATTGCTTGTGCTGATGTGATTGCTACAATGGGCTGGCTACAAAGTATTAACAATCTATTATATATAATTCTCTTACGTGGCTCCCAAATTTTGGCTGTATTTCTTTTNTATTAACAATATTCTATAATTTTTCAGTTGTTATATTAATTTTTAAACTTATATAATTAATAAAATTCTTTTTATTCTAATTCAAATCATAATTTGGCTAGATACTTATGATAGCGAAAATATTGTAGTTTATTTTAAATTTATGCTTACAAATCTTTTACATGATATTTAAATTCGGTTAGAACATTAAACAAAATAAAAATTATTTGTTTTAAACTCATTTAAAGAGCCAAAAAATGAAAAATTTCTTATAAAAGATTTATTGATCGGAGAGTTTTTGCACGCCCCTGTATATTCTAATAAATATGTGAATGAAATAATCTTTTTTCGGGGCTTTAGACAACTTTATTAAAGACTTTTTTTTCATCATCAAAAATATTCATTACATATTCATTGTTTAAAATTTCAAGATTTTGTATTTTTGCTATGGAATTTTTTTAATGAAATTGAAAATGTATTTCAATTTCATTCAAACGTTAACTAAACGTATATGTTAACTCACATTTCAATTTCTCATTGGAGCATTGACTGGCCCTTCTGTTGGGGTAAACTTAAGACTTTCCTCTAATTTCAATTATCAATATTTCTAAAGATATTTTTGATGTAATGTACTACTTGTTGTATTTTATATTATCGTTGTCCAACTTATTCAACGATAATCTAAAATAATATAAAAATAAATTATTATTAAATAAAATAATGTAAAATAAAACATAAAATAAAATAATATAAAATAAAATAATATAAAGTAAAATAATATAAAATAAAATAATATAAAGTAAAATAATATAAAATAAAATAATATAAATTATTTTCAAATATAAAATAGGATAAAATATGTGTACCCTTAATACTCATCTTATTAGTAAGAGAAAAATGCTAAATCACTTGTACTAAATATTTGATCATGTATAATTTAATTTGCCACCTATTATTTTTTTGAAAAATATACTGACCTGTCCAGCAGTATCACAGATTTGCAATCTAATTGGCTTGTTATTTACATTCACTACCACTGTAAGCAAATGAAAAAATAAAATTAGCAGGAATATCTATTAATCCAGACATTATTTCTATCAGTTCTATTTTTTACAAAATTTTTATTTTGGATGGAGTTTCTTCCCAAATTTAGGGAGATTACCGACAGAAAATTGAATTTTGTAGCTACGTATTCTAACTCTTGAAAATGGACGATACCTGTTACATTGTTTGAAATTCTAAATATTCCGAGAGCAATTAAGTTACGTTTTTTTATTAACGAATATTAATCCACTCCAAAATCTTGATGATTTACTTCTTTTTCGGCTATTAAGTATCGCTAGCAGTTTCGAGGGTTAATCAATAAAATCAAGTAGAGGTGTAGCTCTTTAATATAAAGTTAAAAAATATATACAAAATCTAATGTATTAAACTAAAACAATACAAGAAGAGCGATATAAGTGATCTAAAATAAATTACGTAGGTGTTACGAGGATTGGTGAGCGATGCCGAACAGGGTGAAGAGCTCATTGGCTTATTAAAGAATGTACCAATATTTTATATATATATATATATTTTTAAAAAATGTACTCATATTTTAAATTTTTCTTAAGGAGTGAATTATTTCAAATTTACGTTTTTTGAGTCATGGTGGCTCAGAGAATAGAGCTTTCGCCTTCGAATAAGAAGAACCGGGTTCGAATCACAGTGATGGCTGGTCGATACGAATTCCGCACCCAGCTCACACCAACCACAGTGAAATATACTCAATGGTACACGGTTCATGAGTTAGAGTCCCCTTGCCATCGAGCTAAACGTGGGAGATTTTCCTCTTCTCGCCACACAGTTTCTCCCAATAATTGATCCAGGAGTTTCATTGGTTTCAAAATCACAAGGCTACGGACAGAGTTGAACATTGGTAGTCGTAAACCTAAAATCGCGTCAGCTCATAAACGACAGTTATAAAAAAATACGTTTTTTGAGCCACGGTGGCTCAGGGGATGGTCAGCCAGTGCTGACATAAGATATCAGTAGTGGTAGACGGATCATGGGTACTCTTACAATATTATTAGCGTGAGCCGGGGTAGCTTAAGGGATAGAGCGTTCGCCTTCTAATGAGGTAAACCGGGTTCGAATCCTTGCGATGGCTTGTGGATACAAATTCCACGCCCCGCTAGTGCTGACGTAAGTCTACTGGATTGAGTTCAAAATTACATTGAACATTGGCAGTCGTAAACCCAAAATTTGGGTCTGCTGTTCAACGGCTGATATAAAAAATGATTAAAAAAATTACTTTTCTCTTACAAATTATACTGTTAAAGATATAATTAAATGCGTATCATATTATAAACGATCGTTCATCGGTCAATTATATTTTTATTAGTTTATGCACATTGTAAAATCAATTTTTATGATATAATTTTAACACATTTCTTTTTGTTAAAAAAAAAAAATAATTATTTTACTTATAGTATGAAGCATTATTCTAAAAGTGATAAAAACAAATAATATAAATATTTCAATACATGGGTGAAATACACAGAAAATTAAGTCGATAATAACGCTGGAAAAACGACCTTGCTTCATATAAATGGAAGAGTTTATTTTAACATCCTAGTTTGCCAAAGTCAATATTTTCAAAAGCGGCAAGAACTCAACAAATTCATGAAAAATTCTTTCTCTAAGCGTTTTACTTATTTAAATGAAACTAGCGTGATAATCCCAATTATTAAGAAGAAGAAAAAAAAGATACTTTATCAATATTTATCATTTTTTCAGCAGTCTCAGTAACTAATGATTTCAAATGTTATTGACCGTTTCTTAACTGTTAATTTAAAAAAAAAAATTATAAACCTCACGATAATAATGGCTATTCAAAAGATATTTTTTACAATATTAATCCTCTTAACACGAACTAGATCATCAGAAGCGAAAGCCTTAGGTCTGGAGTTAATTTCTTAAAGCGAATTTTAAATGCTTCCTAATATTAGATCTTATTTTATTAACTAATTTGACACGCTATATAGCGTGTCAAATTAGTTAATAAAAAGGATGGGGAAATCACAATTTGATTTAGATATGAATATTTAATGACCTCATATTCTACTTATTTTGATTCATCATCTTATTCAAGTTATTCCGTTTAAATCGTATTAACCAGGACTACACGAATTTTTCCAGATGATTCAATTGATTTTATTCAAGAAGAAAAAAAATAGGTCACACACTTATCTCACCAGGCATAATCGTTATAATGATTGAGTCATGCGATGGACGATGCAACTTGCAAGCTCATCTCACACGAATTGTTCCTATTACTATCATAAATTGTGTCTTAAGGATGGTTTCTTTAAATTGTAAATTTGTCACTTTAAAGGAAAATAACAACAGGAACAGTTTAATGCCGAAACAGATTCACCATTGAAACAATTATTGATTTCATGTACAAAAAATTTCAACTACACCAAATGTAAAGCTTTAACAACGAAAAAAAGTTCTTGGGTAAATTATAGATAAATGCCTTCTCTTTTCAAAGTCTTATGGCTAGATAAAATATTTATTATTAATGTAGCATAACTGATTAGTATTTTCGCAATGCATAGTTATAATTTTATAAATATATTTTATAATGATGTATTTTTAACTGATTAGTACATTATCAGGGGTCTGTCCAGACATTTTGTGAAAGGTCCGTCTTTCGTGAAATTGTGAAAAAATTACTCACATTCTTTCAACCAGGGTCCGCTTTTATGAATTTGTGAAAATAGGGTCCGTTATTGCAAAAAAAAACTTTTTCAAGGAGTTTTTAAATTGTAAAGATATACAAGATTATGCTCTGCACTGTAAAATTATAATAAAAAAATTTAAATTTTTAAAAATAAACAACAATTGCTGCTTCTAAATTAGAGATGCAACATACAAATATTTGGTATTTAGCCTATACTGCTGAACGCAGAATTTCGGACGAATAATGGAAGAATCGTCTGCCGAAGACAAAACTTAATTCGTTTACATCCATCTTTCTTGTTATCTGCCCTGGAAAAGGTTTATTTGATTAACAAAATAATAATGAAGATAAACAAATTTGTGAAGGGTCCGATTATAAGAAAAATCATTTTGTGAAGGGTCCGTTTTTAAGTTAAAATATTTTGTGAAGGGTCCGTTTTTATGAAAAGATATTTTGTGAAGGGTCCGTTAATAGACCCAAATTTCTTCTAAACAGACCCCTGATTATTATCGATTTTTACACGTTACGCATATTTCACCCTTTGCAATTTAGAAAAACTTGAACCTAAATTTGAAACAAAGGAATATGGAGCAAATCATGCACAAAAGAAGGCGATGATCTTTATCTTTATAATTTTCAAAATTTAAATTAGTTGATTGAAAACGAAGATAAAAACAATTGTAATTTTAAAGTTTATTTTTATATTATTGTCAAAAACAAGTGGGGCAATTTTTATTCCACTGCCAACGTAACAAAATATTGATTAAAACCTTTTTCTTTTCTCATTTGAAAAAGAAAAATGAATCTGAAAAGCTCCTAATTTTTTATTAACTTGATATTAAGCAATTTCTTGTATTGGCATTTCGACAATGTCAATCAGTGCCGTCTTAATGTAAGTAATATTAACCCATTTTAGACAGAATTTTTATAAAATATGGCATTATTTTCATTGGAATAGGCTTAAATTACATTCATTACGACACAAAAAAAGCTTCGTCCTTGAAAAATAATATTTTATTTGGGAAATAAAGTATATGCACCATTGACCAAATCAATAGACAATCAAGCAATCTATCATTTAGTTGAAGACTAGTTTTTTTTTTTTTTTTGTTACATTTGTTTTCATTTAGTTTATTTACAGAAGTTTGCAACTTTAATCCACCATAAAAACATATGAATAAACTCAAATGGAATTTTAAATATTTTAAAAAAGTTGATTTTGTCAATAACCGTTTCAAGTTGAAAAGAGAAAAGAAAAAAAATTGCGTAGTTTAAAAATTTCTGGACAGAAAGTGTTTGTTCCATTAAGTGTTTACTCCATTAACAGAAAGTGTTAACAGTTAACTACTAATATTTTGTGGATGTCTTGAGAACCTTTGATGATAACAGAAAAATAAAATTAGTGAGAATAAACGTCATAGGGTTAATAAAAAAAAATATTTATTAAAATAGTAGTGCCTTAACGTATTTTAGTTCGAATATGGGTTAACATCAATAATCATTTCAATATTATGAGATCCAGCTTTAGGCATTCTTTCCACTGTCTTTGATTAGATACCACAAATAACAAACAGGCTTTATGTTAATTGTGCATCTGTAAATTCCATACATATGTTAAAAACTATCAAACTAGATAATTTTAGAACATAAACCTCGTAATTTTAAATTCAAAATGTGGGGAGGGGGCGACTGAAAATCCATTGGGGAAGTTCAATATAAGAAAACCAAACAGCGAATGCGGATTGTTGGGTCAAGTCCTCACAATCTTCGTTTTCAAATTATCCTGAAACGTAGTATTCAAGGATCATCAAGTGTGGACAAGACGAGACGTGCATCATGACGCATGCCGCTGTTGATTCTTGATAGTTTACAGTGTGCCTTGGAACCTCGAAGGTCATATCAAATTGAAAACTTTTTTTACTTGTAAAAATAATTTTTAAAAAAATTCAAATACTTAATTTAAATGCATTTTAGGAGATAAGAAAGTTTGGGAAAAGCTGCATCAGTTGAACTGAATTTCAAAACATATTGTAGTAGATATTATATGTAATATACTGCATTGCAAAAAAAAGTTTTTTGATTTCAAGAAAAATGTTGTTTTTTTTTCTTTCTATTTTTTAAATTGCACTCTTGATGTTGTATTTTAAATTCTATCAAAAATTTCGAATTGTTCTCATACTTCAGGCTGAAGTTTCGAGATAAAGAAAAAGCTTAAAAATAACATGTTTTTAGTCTAATCTCTCGTCACTCGCAGACGAGAAGATTGAAGTTCATATTAACCTTCAAACAAAATACGTATTAAAAGGGGAAAATTCAATCCCAAATTTCGAAAATTTCAATTAAATTTTTCGGGAGAGATGTTTGAAAAATGAATTTTTCTCACAGGTTTAGCAACTTAAATTAAACAATAGACCATTCTGTACTATTTTTCTAAATATCTATCTTTCAGCTCGATTTAATAAAAAAAAAGGAATTGCAATTTTTTTAATATTTGATTATTTTTTATTTATTATGTCAGATAAACCCAATGATTGACGTGAGAGCCTCGATGGCTCAGGGGAAAGAGCGTTCGCCTTCCAATGAGGTGAACCGGGCTCGAATCCCGGCAATGGCTGGTCGATACGAATCCGCATCCGGCTTGCACCGACCACAGTGCTGACGTGAAATATTCTCAGTGGTAAACGGATCATGGAGTCCTATGATCCGTCAGGCTAACCGTGGGAGGTTCTCGTGGTCTTCCTCTCCATGTAACGCAAATGCGGGTTAGTTCCCTCTAAAAGTCCTCCACGAAGGCAATTTCTCACAATGCTTGATCCGAGAGTTCCCTTGTCTTCTGGATTGGGTTCAAAATTACAAGGCTACGGAGTTGAACATTAGAAGTCGTAAACCCCAAAATTGGGTCGGCTGTTCAATGACGGTTATAAAATATAAAATGAATGACGTGAACGTGGAAACATATGCGGACTACTTTAAGTAGTCCGCATTTTAGTATTTCAAAAGTTTTCTGAAACCACGTGTTTATTTTGAAACCTGTTTAATGGTAATAAAACTAAAAACAACAAATTATGTAATGAGAAGCATAATTTTAATGGAGAAAAAGCACTTATTTCGTTTCGGGCTACCGTAATAAATCACTATACACTATTATTGATGCCAATTAGGCTTAATTAATTTTGGTAATAGGTACTACAGGGATTGTAGTGCTGTTTTATCGGGGACTAAATGTACTATAAAGCAGGGGTCTGTCCAGACATTTTGTGAAGGGTCCGGTTTTCGTGAAATTGTGAAAAAATTACTCACATTCTTTCAACCAGGATCCGCTTTTATGAATTTGTGCAAATAGGGTCCGGTTATTGCAAAAAACTTTTTCAAGGAGTTTTTAAATTGTTAATAGATACAAGATTATGCTCGGCACTGAAAAATTATAATAAAAAAAAAAATAATTTTCAAAAATAAACAGCGATTACTGCTTCTAAATTAGAGATGCATCATACAAATATTTGGTATTTAGTCTATACTGCTGAATGCAGAATATTCATTTCGGACGAATAATGGAAGAATCGTCTGCCGAAGACAAAACTTAATTCGTTTACATCCATCTTTCTTGTTTTCTGCCCTGG